CTTAAAGTTCCTGAGGGATTCTTAAAAAACGAAAGTTAACATGGACGGCGTCGCAGGCGGCCACTAGTAAATTATATTAAAAACAAAATAGTATGTTATTGTTTTATTATAACGTATGAATAATTTCATAAAGTCATGATATTATCATGAATTCTATTGTATTTTCTCATATTGACTTTACGAATTTGTGGAATGTAAATCAATATGTTACATAAGTCTGTCCAAGGATTTATGTGATTTAGTCAGCCATCATTCGGATTTTCCCATTACTCAATTTAAGAAAGTGAGACAACAAAACGCATCACGACAGTTTAGTTAAAAGATTAAGCAGGTAATTGTTTTTAGGGTTCCCTTCTCCATAAGCAAAAAACGCAACCCTTTTAGGACACTCTGTTGTCCGTCTGTCTGCCCTTAATCTCGGGAACGCGTTTTACATCTAGTTAAAATTTAACCCGTTTACTCAAGTCAAGGAGAAGGAGCTCGATGGCGCAGGTGGTTAGCGCGTTCGGCTGAGATCGTTGAAGTTAAGCAACTTTCGCAGTGGTCGGTCATTGGATGGGTGACCAAAAATCTTCTCTATCTCGAGTTCCTCCGTACTTCGGATGGCACGTTAAGCCGTTGCTCCCGGCTGCATCTGCACCTGCCAATTCGCACTGCGCTCGCGTGGTGAGCCATGGCCCATTCTCCCTATTCCATCCATGGGGAAAACCTGTGCCCCAGCAGTGGCGACATTAATAGGCTGATGATGATGACTCAAGTCAACGGTTTCTTGAAGCTGTGAAAAATAACACTTCTAAGTTAATGAAAACAAAAGATATTGCATACCTACAAAGTACGAAACTCATGGTGGGCGAGTACGACTTGCACTTGATGCCTAAGTACATTCTTAGAAATTAAAATAAATGGGTTAGGTCAATTCTGTGAATCTGTCACAAATTCTACACAGGCGAAGTCACTTGTGGAATAATCAATTACTAACAATCCTTACAAATATACAAACATAACCTGTTTAGTTACTGTGAGTCTACAAACTATGGGTACGGCCAGAGTGCACTCAGATTCAGATTCAGAACAAGCGCGAGAAATATACAGTGTAGTTCAAGCAGGTTGCCTGCTGCCACTATGGCCATCCTGCTTTAACTACACTGTTTATTTCTCGCGCTTGTTTTCTGAGTCTGAATCTGAATCTGAGTGCACTCTGGCCGTACCCTACAGTATGGTTTAAAATGCCATTTATTAAAGGAGTATATTTTTTGTGCATTATAATCTCGTTTGTATTCGAGTCAAATACCTTTTCGGAGATGCTCGGAATTTAAAATTGTCGTAAACATGAATAAAGTTAAAACTTGTACCAAACCCCAATATAAAGTCAGAAAAGTGCGAGTTGGACTCACACACCGAGGGTTCCGTACAATAATATATTATAAACTTAACTTCTTATATATAAAATTCTCGTGTCACAATGTTAGTAAGCATACTCCTCCGAAACGGCCTGACCGATTTTTATGAAATATGAAATTTTATACGCATATTCCGTGGGTCTGAGAATCGGCTACTATCTATTATTCATATCCTTTAGTGATAATGGTTGTCCACCTGTAACGTAGTGTTCTGAAACCAATAGTAACCTGTACAATGCGCCTACGCGCCAAAATTCAAACTATTGGGTATTGTAACATAGTGTTCTCATATGGGTTAGGAGGAATGTTATCCCAGGAAATTGATAGAACACTACATTACACACCCCTAAATTTTTTTTTTGGACAATTTTTTTTTATAATGAGGTATTAAAAAATACATACAACCCTAAATTTTCTCTTCTACCACTTGCCCCTATTTTAATGGCGGTACGAAATTCGCTAGGTCAGCTAATATTTATATAATATCGTTGGTTCCGTACAATTTGGTAGGTACGCAACATAAACGATCGGGTACGTGCGGGTACGAGTCCCGTCTGCTGCCTGGTCCGCATGGACATTTTCTAGTAATATTATCTTTAGATTTACGTTTATATTTTTTCAAACAGTGTTTGATTTCTACTTCTCTTCTTACCTAAATCTTTTTGGGTACTGTACCCAATGGATCATATTACTACTAAATAAATAGTATAGCTACTTCTCCTTCTGTGTTACGGGCGTTTCCGCAACTCGACGTCCATATGACGCCTGTTTTGCGTGTTGAGTGTTTTGCCGGAGTCACTCCAGCCAGACCAGCTCCACCAGGCAGTGCCGGTTTTAGCACTACCAGCGCAGCGCCCTGGGCGAGATTCATACGGCGCCCAACTCCCCCTTGATTGTATGCCGATTATGGTGTTGCGTCATTTAAATCATCATCGTCATTTATATATTTCTATGGGCCTACGATGCCTGAATACAAATAAATAAATAAAAAATCCCGAAAATGTTCTCTGCCATAATATAGAACAAACATTGCGATTTCCACTGGCTCCGAAAACTTCCTTATCGTATCATCATAAAAAAAAACTTCTAAGAATAAAATAGGTAATATTAATGCTGTTGTACAGGAAAAATGTAACAATATTATAGTGTGGTATTATATAACAGGAAAAATATTATATTGTTAAAACTTATTATCCAAATTCTACTGTCTTCCTTTTTAAGTTCATACCTACTTACAGGCAGCTGACAGGTGGACGGGTAGATGGACCAGCGGATTCGTTATTTACATTATGTTGTTTTGAATATAAATATGAGTTTTTCTTTAGAAGTGAAACAAAGTGTTCAACTTAGCGTAGTTTCGCCACGCTGTACATAATTTAGTTACCATGCTCGTGAGCGGAGGCTAGGGACACGGTAATAATAGATAATATTACCGTGCTACGGAGCAATGTTAAGACGTTTTCCTTCTCATTCCGACCTCTGCTTTATACAACGCATATTGTAATGATTATATTAATAGTAAATTTTATTTATAGATAACAATTTTTACTAGCTAACCTGATAAATGTATGTCCGAAATTATATATCTACATTCATAGGGGTAAAGTAAACTAAATTCTGTTTATTCCGTCAGTTAGGTAGATTATTAAAAAAATAATGGATCATTTTTTTTCTTTTGTCAATCGACCAAAAAATTACAAGGATAAAGCGCGTCAAAGTTTGGTAGTGGGGGATGGTGACATCATGCAAAATTTCAAATCACTATATCTCTGTGATATTTTGATTACCCGGAAAAAGAAAAAATACGTAAAGAATCCTTTTTGATAACCTACCGGATAGACGGAAAAAAAAGACTTAGTCATCATCCCTATTATCTTGTTCCCAACGACACAAATTTCCCAATAGGCAATATCATGATCATTCTCATTAGTTCCAGCTGCCATGGAAGTAATATCTCTTTTGTTGAGCCCGACAGGGTCCACAATGCTCTATTAATTTATATAAGTATCAACGCCGTTTATGTACGTTATGATAAAACAATAAAATTGATTGATTCTAATCTTTAACTAATGACACTTTTCACTCCGATTAAACGGCAGTTTCTTCAGCATCTTGTAATCTTCTTAACTGAAATCCACTTACAACTATCATTACGAAAAAGTATAAAGTTAATATAATAATAAATCAGTTTATTTTTCTCATCACAATGGCAAGGTACTCTTATGACTGAGAGAATATTTTACAAGAGAATTTAGACATAATAATATAAATAAGCTTTACACTAATAAGGTTTTCATTAATTGTATGTGTGTATGTAGATGTGACATGTGCAAATTGAGGTTACTCATAATTATATCATATAAACTATAAGAAAATTAATAGTCAACAAATTGCAATGCTCAGAATGCAATCGTAGAACGTTTAGATAATGGTCGAATGGAATGTAATTTTTATCGCCTGACATACTCTAATCTTTGTTTTTTCTTCGTTCCCAGAAATGCGTAGGAGATATTATTTTTGGGGTTTGATCCGGCCTAGTCATTGTCTCTGGCTACTGCCATATGTATTCTTTGCTACAGCTGCGGTATGTAGTAGATAGACAATGATAACATAGAATGGAACTTCCCGTAGGCTTGCCAGAGCTTTTCGGTGGGTTTTAAAACATGCAGGTGAGTCCCTCAGATTACAGAACGAAAGGACACCAATTACAACCAGCAGTTTAAGGAAATTTTTAAGCACGGGAGAACTCAACGTTCTTGGCACTTGGCATCTTTTTTCCTACGCTCACTGAATCGATGACCGACTATTGCGAATTTACTTAAACCTCTGCAATCAACTGAGCAGCATTATAATAGATATCTTATTCCACAGTTATATAATCTATCCCTAATAAATTAATCCGCGTCAACAACAATCCATCGATGCTCACGTCATACGGATCGTAAAACTCTGACAATACCCAAAAGTATGTCCTTCAAATCTGTAAAATAACATCTTACATTATACGGAAAGACTTTAGTTATTGTTCTGGGATTTAAGCATTGCTTGAACTATGGCTTGAACAAAAACTTGCCTGATATGAATTTACCTAATGCTTCTCTTTTCGATCATCCTCTTCATAATGCATTCTACGCTCCTCTTCTAATCTCACTCTCGAAATACCTTGCCATTGGACTGATTTCCTTTCTTACTCCTATTCTATGCATTCTGCTCACTGGAATTCATTACTGGAATCCATTCGAAGGGCTCACACTCTGTACTCGTTCCGTGAGCAAGTTAAGCGTCATTTCCTTACTTTAAAAATACCTCTTTCCTTTATTTACTTGTTTATTTTTTTTAATATTAATATGCATCTATATTATTATTACCTTTTTATTTTATTTTATTTTATAATATTGCTCTTACACCCTTCCCCTTTTTTTATTCTTATATACTTATATAACTTTCCGTCATGGGTTGCCTGGAAGAGATTGCTATTATGATAAGCAATAAGGCCGCCCATTGTGTAATGTCTCGCTGTCAGTGTAATCTTACTGTTATGTCCTTTGTGGTGTTGTACAATAAAGATTATTATTATTATTATTATTTGATTTGACAATTGTCAAAAATTCGAATTTTCTAAATTTGAAGTGAAATTCCATGTTACAGAATCGACGTAATGTGTTCAGCTTGAAGCAAGAATACAGGCTTTTGTTAAGTAATTAACAGCTCGTTAAATTGTCACGCTTGTCACCGCGACTGACCGGCCGGCGGCGTAGCGTGTAACGCACCATAACTAAACGTCTTAATCCGCCGGATGATTAGTTACCAGCTACTCACTAATCATTGGGAGACAGAACTAATGTTCATGTTATATTTTTAAATGGCAACAACGTTTTAGAACTCAGTTAAGAACGGCGCCGTCGTATAGGGCGTTTTATCTCCCTTTAGTTTGGCGAACACTTTGCATTTTCTGCTACAGTTTTGCATTTTCAGTAGGTTGTTTTGAATAAATATTAAATATACCATTCATAGACTTTGGCACCCTTAAGGGGCACACCAACGAAATGACACCTAGCCTGTCGCAAGTCTCCGAGTCCGCGCGACTTACGAGCGCCTATAAACATACTTTCCTCTAGTTTCAAAAAATATTAAGAAGTTTTGATGTTAGCTCTATATCTACTGCAGATTGACATAGGTACAGTAGGTAGGTACCTATTTGACGCATTTTACGTGTTTCTGTATTTCATCACACTAGTATAAAGGCGAAAGTTTGTGAGTGTGTATGTTTGTTACTTCATCACGTCTAAACGGCTGGAGCGATTTTAATAAAATATGGTATGGAGTTAGCTGACACCCTGGATTAACAAATAGGCTACGTTTTACTACAGGATAATATTCCTAATAAACCGCGGGTAACACCGATGGACACAGCTAGTTGGTTTATCATACACGCCTTTAACAAAAACAAATTAATTCTAATACAAATAAAGTATGTAAGTTATTAAAAGCATATCACCATTATCCATGTTGAATCGTTTGTTTTGTTTTACTAAAACTAGGTACTCACTTATTTATTATTTATTTAAATATTGCTATATCTCTATGTTTTTTAAAAACATACAATATACCTACATTCTTATATACGCCCATCGTACAGCACTTATTGTAATGCGATACTTACCAAAAATAATAATTTATTCAAAGAAATTATAAATACCTATATTCATTTCCTACACAAAGTGCGTAGAAAGACACGCTGAATATTTTCTGCACATTTTCGTAAGTTTAATAAACTTTGTTTTCGTTTGGCAAACTTCCTTACCTACTTCAATAGTTTGTAATACATAAATATACCTACCTACCTACTCGACTTTTAAACACAAAACACCTTTAAATACTTTAAAGAGATTTATGTGTATAAAAGACCATTACACTATCAACTTACCTTACAGGTTTTCCTATAATCTACAAGCAAAGAGCTACATTCGATATTTATTTCAAATCAGGTCAGTTTCATCTTTTTTTTAATAATTTTTAAACTAAGAAATCATTCTATATTTGTAAAAAAAGTTTACAACCTTTATATTGAGTGAACCTTTTTTTGATATAGACCTAACAAGGTACAGTTAGCTAAATTTTAATAAGACCAACAGATACTATAAGTTCTTTTTGTTTGCATGATTTAACATAAGAAGGAGAAAGAAAGCCTCTCTGAGTTTCTTTCGCCGGTTCTTCTCAGCAGAAAGGTCTCTCAATTTTGGAACCGGTGGTAGATTACGGTAGTTAGGGTCGAATAAATTAACTCAAAATCATAAAAAAGAATTAAATAAAGTACTTTATTAATTAAATTAGTTAATATTCATAGACAATAAAGTTTTTATGACGCATTCCTGCAAAGGATGTGAAACGTCAATAAATAAGTAAAATCAGTGCATCTAACCCTTAAACCTAAAACTTGTTTTATTTAAATTGTCTAATTTCCCCAGCCGCAAACTGGGTTACTTATACTTACCATATTCAGAATTTATATATTATTATTACTTTATACGTCCGTGTTTAGGTCACAGACATTAAACTAAAATGGTTCAGTACATTCCGAGAAAATCGACTGTGACAGACAGACAACAGAGTGATCCTATAAGGGTTCCGTTTTTGCCGATTGAAGTACGGAGCCCTAGAAAGGCAGAGTCTGGGCGGAAAGAGAATGGGCGTGGCGAAAAACGGAACTAACATTAAGATTTTTATTTGGCAATCAAATCCAGCAATCTGTAAAACGTCAAAGTTTTGTATTGATACGGATATGTTTGTTGTTGTGATTTCTTACGGATTTTTGTATTTAATCATGTCTTAAAGGGGTAAAACCTTAGAAATACGGTAGAAAAGCACTACAGCGTCCTCCAATCTAAATCCCATTCTCTTTCCGCACAGACTCTACAACACGACGAATATAGATCCACCTCCTGCTTTTGTTTGAAATCGGTAAAAAATACTCTATGCTACCTGATATTAAGCCTAGATAAATAGATATGAAAACGAGTTGAAGTGTTCAGCCGTTCAGCAGGTTCAGCTGCTCATTGTTATTATTACCGTGGCTGCAGCGTATTCGCGACTGGGTGTCCCCGGTGTCCCCCGAGATTCCGCCGCACTCGAGTGGCGTAGGTACGAGTATGATTCGCTTTCCGACCGTTTGTATGAAGATAGAATACTGTATATATTATTACCGTGTCATTGTGATCTGTAATATCGGCTCGTATCTGGATTGGTAAAGTACCTATCTATTTAGGTAAAACAATATTGCAACATGTTGTTGTTTTTCTCAATAACTTTATGATATTGCCATCCCAAGTTATGACATAGTAACTTAGTGTGCGTAAATAGGATTCCGTATTAGCGTAAAAGCATAGAAAAGCTTTTTTAAAGCTTCATTCTTATTTGTATCATTTAGGCGTATCGTATCTCCATCGCGTGGCATCGGTGTGTATCATGATCGCTAGTATGGACGCAAGATGATACCCGGTTATGATACATGCCGTATCCGATACGGCCCAAACCGCTCTGATCGCGTATCTTGATACACCACGTATCTGATACGCATATCACGATCGGTAGTATAGACAAACGTATTTTGATACTGTATCACGAAACTGTATCGCGATACGATACGTGATACACCGCGAACTGTGTCGGTTTTTCGCCGTAATCATCAAAGGGGGGATACACGTTGTTTTGAACAAGTTCAAAAGGATTCACGTCCAGTGAATCCTTTTGAATGCATTTAAATCGCGTAGGTTGACATCGCTGAACCGTTTGCGAACAAAAACACGACTGAACTGTACGAGAGGGAATTCCGATCCTTGTATCTTTTCCAGACGTATCAAGAAAAGATACGAGGATCGGAAGAAAAGTTGTAGCGTCCATATCTGTTCAGTTAGAACCGTTACATTGACACGATTCATCATTGAATAAGTATGGACGCGTTTTTACAAGATACGGCTAATTAATACGACATAGTCCAAACGCGCGTCCATATATATGATACAAATACTCGATACGATACGCCTGATCGTGATACGTCAAGATGATACAAATGTGGACGAAGCTTAATATACCTACGTGAAAATGTTACGTTGTACGTGAAAATAAATAAATACCTAAATCGAACGTGTAAATAAAAAAATGTTGCATTATTGTGGTTATCTAATACGTAAAACTAGGGTAGGTATAATGTAACTCAATATGAAAAACATTTTATGATTTAATTAAGGCCTGGCTAGCCTACCAAAGATTCGTGTACCTAGTATTACAATGACAAAGTCCCTTCGGAAATGAACCAACCCAATATTATATGATCAAACTTGCTATTGGCGCTTTTTTGGGATACCGCGTCCAAACTGGCGACAACGAGCCTTTAAAATTTTCATCCATATGTAGGTCCGTAGCTGTTACTTATCAACCGTAACAGTACTTACATAAAATACATAAAATTTGAAAATGAAAGAATAAATAATAACAGTTGAAATTATCGCAAGACTGTAACCTTTTTCTTCTGCCACAACAACAATAACAATAATACTTTTGATTGGCATCTCTCACAAGAATTAATCGTTGTTTAAAATATGGTAGGTAAATCTTCTAGAGTCTGTGTGGAAAGAGAATGGGCGTGGCGAAAAACGGAACTAACACTAAGATTTTTATTTGGCAATCAAACCCAGCAATCTGTAAAACGTCTAAGTTTTGTATTTTTACGGAATTGTTTGTTGTTGTGATTTCTTGCGGTTTTTTGTATTCAATCATGTCTAAAAAGGGTAAAACCTTACAAATACGGTAGAAAAGCACTACAGCGCCCTCCAATATAAATCCCATTCTCTTTCCGCACATACTCTAGAACCCTTCGTGTGCGTATAACTCGCACTTGGCCGCTTTTTTATCGTCAACGAACAGTCGCCCAAATGTGCTGATAGTATTTATTGTTATCAGCAACATTTGAAGCCCGCAAACGGCGGCCGAAGCTCGCGTGTGCGCATTGAATTATAAAAATACTTAGTTCACAGTTCGAATCATGAGAGAAAAGGAGAAAATCGAAATGAAACATAACGAGGTTCGTTTTGTGTTGTATTTTGTAATTGAAATTCCATTCTGAGTTACGTCACAATTCTAATGTTAGTACAAGTGTTGAGTGCTTTTAACGTTAGTGCGATTTCTTCTAATTAATCGGCGCATCTGAATAAGAGTGGCTAGTTTCCAAAAAAAACTAGTGACATTCAGAGGACGTGCGTATGATTCGCTAATTATACGATGTGAAAATGAAAATTCTAGTTAACGTGGTAGTGGGACTTGTGTCTTGTGTTTAATTTCTAAAACACCAAAAGTGACTTAGCTCATTAAAGCAAATAGCGATGTCTTTTAATAAAAAATCCCAAATAAAACAATAAGCAAATAAACCAAAACTATCTGTACCAATCTTACCACAAGAAGTCAGTCGAAGTTTACTAAGAAAATTTCGTACAAAATCCGTAAACATACTTAATTTTAACCGTGTCATATTTTTGTGCCTACTTTTAGCCAATATTGTTTAATATTATATGCTAAAAGTCATTCGTAAATATCTTGTGCTTAATAAACATAATAAGGCTCATTGTCGAATCATAATTACACTGGAAATCTGCATTGTAAGTAAAAAAATATATGCATGATTGAGCAGAGAAAATGGTTTATGTAATTAATTACATTACACTATTACTATTAAATAAATCATATTTCTCTTTAATAAAAAATGGGTTTATTTTAGTTAATATATTTTTCGTCGTATTGTTGGCATTATTATTGTATATTTTTTTTAATATCGTTATCTCTTGACCTCTGAACCTTTTCGAGGTGTATTTTCCTATTTACGATACCATTTAACTCTGCTATTGGTTAATTCATTTCATAGCAGGGAATATTTACTAATTGTTTAGTCACATTGTTATTTTAATTTAGCTTTTAATGGGAAAGAAAAGACAAAGTTTAGTAGACAATTGGCTCCTCTAATCTGTTCTCCTTTCACGCATGTTTTGATGAATTTCGCTAAGGAGATTAAAGGTACATTCCAGTAGTTGTTACATAAGTAACCTCTTTTCACAAAACAAACTTGAAGGAGTTGAATAAATTGTGGATGAAAGCCTGCATGGCTGCATGAGAAACCTATTAGCCTACGCAGACGTGTCGCAGTCATGGGTGCTTAGTACCTAGTTACCGTCCTTAATTAATAATAACAATGAATTAATTAACAATAACATTCAAAGTTCTAATTTAACAGACGAAACAAAGTTACGGTAATTTACTACGCACATGACGATAATAGAGTCCAATATGTATTTATAGAATCGCAAAAAAGAGAAGTCGTCGCGTTCCTGCAAAATAAAACAAAACGAACTTGAAGGGGTTGAAAAAATTGTGGATGAAAGCCTGTATGAGAAACCTATTAACCTATTCAGACGAAGTCATGGGTGCTCGTTAGTTACTTAATTAATAAAATAAATAATAACAATGAATTCATTAACATTAACATTCAAAGTTCTAATTTAACAGACGAAACATAAAGTTACGGTAATTTACTAGGCACATGATGATAGAGTCCGATGTGTATTTATAGAATCGCAAAAAGAGAACTCGGCGCGTTCCTGCAAAATAAAACAAGACGTCTACTATATCAGTTACATAGAGAGGTCGATAAGATGTAAGATTATCAAGATCAAACTCGATGGTGCATTCGATACAATGCGAATCAAACTCAAATACCAAGTGGTACTTACCAAGTAGTCCACAATAGACTTGCGCAATATTTTGTTTTTGTTTTGATGACGTCCGTGGCCGAGTGGTTTGTACGCCAGGTTTCATGGTGTCGCCGACTCGAGAAGTCCCGGGTTCGAATCCGGTGGGGGCAGATGTTTGTGTGATGAATACGAGCATTTGTACTCCAGTCGTGGATGTTTAATATATATTTCTATATAAGTATACTTATTTTAGTACAGTATATGTATTCTTTCCGTTATTCTAGCATCCCATAACACAAGCCTTACAGTGCTTACTTTGGGGCTAGGGTAATTGGTGTGTGTTGGAATAAAAAAATAAAAAATCAAATACCGTGCTTTATGTTCGTACTACATTTAATTACAGGCCGTAAAGGAGGTACTCACATAAATTATAATGTAGGTATATTAGTACAAGTTATAAGAGATTATTTTCCTGTCTTGAGAAATCAATGAAAATACGTCTTTTTTCATGCGTTAGTTTATATATTGCTTCTTGACTTAAATTACCTAGGTAATCAAGCAAGACTGGGCAAATAAAACGAATCTCCTGAAGCCTCGATAACACGGGGCGAGTTTACAAGTTACAAGCCAGTGAGTTCGCTAGTAGCAGTGTTGCCACCTTGGTGGTTTTTCCACCAGAACTGGTGCTTTTTCACGGCTTCTAGTGGTATATTTTCATTATCTAGCGGGTTAATTTTTTTTAGTGTTTTTTTTAACATGAAATCTAGCAACATATTTTTAAGGGGGAAATGCTCTAACTTTCCGAAATTTCATAATGTTCTATGTGGTTACTCAGTTATTTCTGTAGCATCTCATACATATTCACTGGTTTTTTATTGAAATTAGGGTTTTTTGTTATCAGAGATGTAATTGTAATTTAGCGGATTTTGGTGTATTTTATTAAATCCAAATTTTTGAAAGCTGGCGATTATTTACCTTTTACTTGGCGCCTTAAAAAAATCCAAGGTGGCAACACTGGCTAGTAGCTTGTAAACTCGCCTCGTATCATCGAGTAGCAAATGGTAAAAAAGTCGATGACACGATGTCATGTCATAGTTTCATATCATAGCTTTAAGAAGGGTTACTCTGTTGTTAAAGATTTCTTAAATGATACGGCACCTTCGGCCTAAAAGATTGACTAAGTTATTTTACTTTGCTAATTTTGTTGAAAATTGTTTAATCGGCATTTCTTTTAAAACTAGTATCTAGTTACTTTACTTAATGTTAATTAATCATATTAATATGATGAAAGTTGACATAAATTTATGTTTTCAGTTTCTGATGTCATCTTTCAGTTGGGGGTTGTCCATTAATCACGTGAGGCTCGAAGGGGGGGGGGGGGGGTCCGTAAAAAACACGAAATATCACAAGGGGGGATGGTGGGTGTAGTAATATATCACGTGTATTTACGTAGACCGAGGATACTGTACATTAAATAATGTTCATGTATTAGTACAAAAAGTTTTTCAGTTTCTTTCATTATATTGATGTCAGTCAAAAACAACCTTTCTGTCTACCTCTAAAAGATTAAAAAAATAAGATTCTTTGTAGGTACTAAAAATACACGTGATATGGGGTGGGGGGTGGCGGGCTAGACTTCAACCTCACCATGTATCACCAAGGGGGAGGGGGGGTTAAAAAATGCCAAAAAAAACATCACGTGATTAATGGACGGCCCCTTGACGATACTGTATGAAACAAAACAGGGAGAAAAAAATAGCCCTTACTGAGTGTCTTGTCGGTTCTTCTCAGTACAAGTTCTCCCGCCGCGCCGTAAATTTCTAACCAATGGCGTAGCGTTTGATATTCACAAGAGCTTGTAACAGACTAGACTGAATAAATGATTTTGAATTTGAAAATGCTTAATAAAAATAAATAAATAAATAAATAAATATTTCCAACACTCACACCAATTAGCCTAGCCCCAAAGTAAGCACTGTAAAGGCTTGTGTTATGGGATACTAGGGTAACGGATAGAATACATATATTGTACATATATAAGTATATTTATATGAAATACATATTAAACATCCATGACTAGAGTACAAATGCTCGTATTCATCACACAAACATCTGCCCCCACCGGGATTCGAACCCGGGACCTCTCGAGTCGGCGACGCCATGAAACCCGGCGTATAAACCACTCGGCCACGGAGGTCGTCTATTAATGTATAATGAAACATTATGCTTGAGGTTTTTTTAGAGTTTTGACATAATCTGATTTGTTTACTTTGATAAATTGTCTTTTTAATTTCGCTTCTCATCTAGCACGTATATATTTGATTGAAAGCGGAATAAAAATACAATTAAGGTAGGTAGGTATTAAGAAAGAAAGATTTGCCTTTTCAATCAATACACATTACGACTTAGATTAATGATTGCAGCCGGTCTCCCTTCGGTCGGCAGGGAGAACATCGTCTTTGCATTTTATAAGTATCTTTAATTTCAACTATTTTACTGTGTTAATTTTTAGTTATTATACATAATACAACTCTTAACAGGGTTAGCCCCTTAGCTTAGTTAGCTTTGGGCAATATTGAAAAATATTGTTGATCATTTTTGTTATGGATTTTTGTCAAGAAGATTATAAAAAGGCTAATGCTGTAAAAAAATTAAGACGGTAGTAGTGGCCAGCTTACTGCCATCTGCATACATTGTTTGTATATGTAATTTGAAAACTTGCATGTAACCAAATTAAATTAGCAGCTTTTAACTGATAACTTTTGTTTCTCTATCATTACCAGGAGACCAAAAATGAGAAGAGGCATTCGGAAGGCGACCGCGACGGCGGCGATGTGCTGTCCTCGGTGCTGGAGCACGTGGGCGAGATGGGCCGGTACCAGAAGCTACTATTCCTGGCGATGATGCCGTTCGGCTTCTTCTTCGCGTTTGTCTACTTCGTCCAGATGTTCATAGCGGCCACACCGCAGCAGCACTGGTGCAGGGTGCCGGAGATGGAACACTTGGATGTCGATATAAGGTAGTCACGAACTTCTTGAGCTAAACCGCAGACAAATAACATCACGCAGCAGACGTCCTGTCCTCGGTGCTAGAGCACGTGGGCGAGATGGGCCGCTACCAAAAACTGCTGTTCCTAGGGATGATGCAATTCGGCTTCTTCTTCGCGTTTGTCTACTTCGTCTAGATGTTCATAGCGGCCACGCCGCAGCAGCACAGGTACAGGGTGCCGGAGATGGAACATTTGGACGTCGATATAAGGTAGTAAAGGTAGCTAAAATGTTTGAGCCAAACCACAGACAAATAACATTACGCAGTAGACGTGCCCCTCCTCCATGTTGGAGCACGTTGGCGAGATGGGCTGCTACCAGAAACTGCTGTTCCTGGCGATGATGCCATTCGGCTTCCTCCTCGCGTTTGTCTACTTCTTCTAGATGTTCATAGCGGCCGCACCTCAGCAGCACTGGTACTGGGTGCCATAGATGGAACACTTGGACGTTGATATAAGGTAACGGCAAACTACTAATCCACAAATACAGAAACTTTTGCTTTGGGGTAAAAAAACTATGTCAAAAAGCATCTTCATCATCTCTTCTACACTCTCCTGTCACCACGCGGCAGGCAGAGAAATTTTAATTTTATGATTTTTTTTAAGCATTTAACTGCTAGATGTTTAAATCTAAAGATAAAGATTCTTCTTTCAAATGTTTAATACTTGAAAAAGTATTCATTTGCGAAGAGATGGCGCTGCCTTGCAGCTTAAGGCTAGGAAAATTTCGACGCGGCTAATAGGGCCGTGGTAGCATAATGGTCAGTGCATTCGCCCGGATAGCGAAGGATGCGGGTTCGAGTCCCGTCCGCTGCCTGGTCCGCGTGGATTTTTTTCTAGTAAACTTTTCTTTTAATTTTAATTAATTCTATTTTTTACATGATTTGGAACAATGAAATGAATGACACACCATAATTTATTGAATGGCACATCAATAGGATTTGGTAAGGCAATGCATTTAAATTGTTTGTGATTGCAAATTAGCCTGATCAGAAAAGAAAATGAAATAGCAAAAAAATGCATTGTAATATACCTACCCTGAATCTGAATGCATGTATGTACTTACCTATATATATTGATAAATTACTTATTTATTTTTAAAATTTTGCATGACTAAGTCAATATCGTCAAAACGTGCGGCTATTTTGTGATATTTTTTTTTTATATGGAAAATAAACTCAAGTTTACGACGCTCTTAATAAAGTACAGGTACGTAATGTTTTTAATTCCTAGACTCCTATGGTGTTCATATTTATTTATAAAGGTAATAGTGTCGATTCTGGCAGGATTCTCTAAACTTAAAACTTAATTTAACATCAGTCTGTCCTTTTCATTCTGTATAGAGAAAGACAAAGATACACTATTGTCAAATTTAAGTTTAGCTTTAGAGAATAATGCCCAAATCGACATCATTGTTTGCTAGAATTTTGATTTGGCTCAAGTACTTATAGGATGTGCATGTGTATGTATAAGAAAAAAAAACAAAGTTTGGTGACTGAAATAGTAAAAAGAATTTTTCCTGATAGTAATAATTTTATTTAATTACAAATATCTAGCCGATAAATAAAACAACAACATTTCACTAGACATAATCTTATATTTATTGACTAATTTTGTTAAAATCAAGAAAGTTTTCAATGGCTGTAGCGCAGACAATCGCGCAGTGTTTTTTCTCCGACTCCGTGGAAGGGACAATAGATGGCGTTTTGTACCTCTAGCACGAACCATTATCGAATTCGAATAGTTTGCAAACTGAAATGTCAATGTCAAATTTTGTATGGAAACTTGAACAGCAGCGGCACAAAGTACGCAACGAGAACTAAAAATCAGTACATATTTGACAATGACATTTCGGACTCGCAAACGATACGAATTCGATATTGGTTCGTGCTAGGAGTACTGCTCGGATTTCGTAACATAGGCTTTTGGAGTTGAAGAAAGTTCAATGATACTTTTAACTCTTTAATGATGACTTCTTTGGGTGTAACCTAAAACAACAGGATATTAAATATGAAAATAAAATCATTCCGCGAAAATGCCACCCTCAACAACTACGAGTGAAAGAATATTTGAGAATGCAATAGCTCTTGAATTATTAATTTTATTTTAATACAGGTAGGACAAAGTTAGAACTCTCGTTTGGGGAAGTACCTTAAAAAAGACGACAGTAATAGTGCTTTTTGGTGGTCTTATGCAGATTTAAAGCTCAAAGTCGTTCGTATACAGTCCCAGTTTTCGGTAACTTGACCTGCGACTGTCTGTGCAATTTAAGTACGACTTAACGACCTATTTTGACGACCTCCGTGGCCGAGTGGTTTGTACGCCGGGTTTCATGGTGTCGCCGACTCCAGAAGTCCCGGGTTCGAATCCCGTTGGGGGCAAATGTTTGTGTGTGATGAATACGTGCATTTGTACTCCAGTCATGGATGTTTAATATGAATTTCTATGAAAATATACTTATATATGTACAGTATATGTATTCTTATCCGTTACGTGCTTACTTTGGGGCTAAGCTAATTGGTTTGAGTGTTGGAAATATTTATTATTATTTTGCTTTGCTTATCTCCCATAGGCGGAATCTGACAGCGGTCCACGTGGACGGTGTATGGGACCGCTGCCTCACGTACAGAGCCAACTGGAGCGAGGTCCTGGAAACCATGACAGCCCCCCACCCCAGCACGCCCACACAGCGCTGCGAGAATGGCTGGGAGTTCCAGCTGGGGGACATCCCCTACCACACAGTCATAAGTGAGGTGAGAATCCCAAGATCAAGGGTGTTACTACACCCCAAGGTCCTAACTGATAGCCTCTAATATCTTATGGAGTGACAGATTCTAGAATTTTACTGAGGTCCTGGAGACCATGACGGCCATTATCCCAGCATGCCCCAGAGCACTGCGAAAACGTTTTCGTTGGTGAGGTGAGAATCAGGCTTTGAACTGTTTAGATCGATAGTTGTAGTACGATGCATCCCTAAATTTTCTGGTGTATCAGAGACTACAAATGTTGTTGGAGATCATGGCAGGCCCCCATCCTAGTACGTCCACACAGCGTGCGAGAACGGCTGGGAGTTCCAACTGGTTGACATTCCCTACCACACAGTTGTTAGTGAGGTCAGGGCCGGATTTAGAGGTCCAGAGGCCTTGGGGCAACAAAGGAGCGGAGGCCCCCTCACCTCAAATTATTTTCCAAATAAAGTAAACAATTTTTTTTCAGTCGAGTTTTTCAATAAATAATTTATTGTAACCAAGTAGATTCCCTTAGTATTGAACTAACACATATAAATATAAACGGAAACAAGAATTATCTGAAATTAAATCTTAGAGTTAACGAACGGAACCTTTCGAGCTTTTTTCGCCGAAAAATCGTTGATGAATTCGATTTTTGGGTTTCGGTTGCCCTCCCCTAAATCCGGCAGTGAGTGAGGTGTGTGAGAATCAGCCTTGGAATCTTCGACTTGTGTAGTACCTAGTACCAGAAATCGTCAAATATCCTGTTGTAACTGAGTCAACAACTTGAATGAGCTTTGGGGGAAACCATATTGGACCTTCGTGTAACAACGTGTAAAATAAAACAAAGGAACATTTTTAATAGTTTAGGTGTAGCTGTTCAAAATATCTTTGATGATTTGCTTTTGGACACGGTGTTGAGTAAGTATATTATAAAAAAAAATGTAACTCAATAAGCTTTCCTTAAAATATCGTAGTAGCTATTTTTAAAGTTGGTTGGTATTACATACTAGGTGCTGTGCTGTGACGGTTGGTATTTGGTTTATATTCAAAGTTAAATTAAGACGCGATGTTAAAAAAAAGAGACAAAGCGGTTTTATGGTCGGTCATCCATAATATTACAATGTTACGCTGAACTTAAAACAAAAGTGTAAAAAAAAGGTTTTGCACATTCCGCTGCCTGCCTGCGGGTTATATTCTCAGGATATTTTTTGTCAGTAACACTGGCATTAATTAACAACAGTGGCGTGTCAAAATGAGCGAAGATAATTTAAAATCGAACTTAATTCACACCAAGCACAATCTAACTTAAGGTGAACTTCGACAGCTTTCGACAAATTCAAACTAGTACAGTACCCCTAGCACGAATCATTATCGAATTCAAATAGTTTGCAAACCGGAATGTCAATGTCAAATTTTGTATGGAAACTTGAACAGCAGCGGCACAAAGTACGTAACGAGAACTAAAAATCAGTACACAGTTGACAATGACATTTCGGACTCGCAAACGATACGAATTCGATATTGGTTACAGGGGTACAGCACCCTTAGCACGAACCAAAATCGAATTCGAATCGTTTTCGAGTCCGAAATGTCATTGTCAACTGTGTACTGATTTTTAGTTCTCGTTACGTACTTTGTGGCGCTTTTTTGTATGGAAACTTGAACTGGGGTTTTGCGAAGAAATGGCGCTGCTTTGCAGCTTAAGAATGGCTAGAAGAATTTTGTCGCGGCCGTCAGGGCCGCGGTCAGTGCATTCGCCTGGATAGCGAAGGGTGCGGGTTCGAGTGCCGTTTGCTGCCTGGTCCGCGTGTTTTTTTTTCTAGTTATATTTTCTTTAGATTTAAACATCAAACAGTACCATGATTAAAAATTTTGTTAGATTAGTGTTAAATTGTATTAGAGTCAAAGCTTCCATTATACCTAGATGAGAAGCTTTGGCCTTGCGGCATTGTTTTTAGGCGTTTTATGCATTATAAAGGTAAAGAATCGAACAGGCACGTAGCTGTAGACGGCTCCACTAGAAATAAAAATGGATAGTCGATCATATAATTTCGCAAGTTTCAATTGCAAAAGTATTAAGCGCTCAGTAGATAGTGTGCGAAAACTGTGTAGGTCATGTGATCTCATAGCGTTGCAGGAGACATGGTTGCTGCCGGACGAAATTCCATATTTGAGCACTATCGATAATAATTTTGGATTTGCGGGGACGTCTGCTGTTGACACTTCTACAGGCGTTCTTCGTGGGAGGCCGTATGGTGGTGTCGCACTGCTGTGGAGGAGCAGCGTTTTCCAACACGTATCGGTGTTACGGTGTGATAGTGACCGTGTCTGTGCTATTAAAATATTAACTAATGATCGTCCAGTGATAGTGATGAGTGTTTACATGCCGACGAACTCCGTGGAAAATCTTCCAGAATTTACGGACTGTTTAAGTACGGTGAGCGCAATTATTGATGAATATAGTATTGAATCTGTTTTTATATTAGGTGACTATAATGCTGACATTGACGAATTATTTTATAACGAATTAAACAAATATTGTAATGAACAACGATGGTCTTGCTGCGATGTTGATTTTCTAGGTGCAGATTCGGGCACTTACACGTTTATTAGTGAAGTGCACGGTTCTTGCAGCTGGCTGGATCACTGTGTAGTGACTGAAGCCGCAAAACAATGTGTAACTGACCTTTTTGTCAGTTATGACACTTTTTGGTCCGACCACTTTCCTTTGATAATAAAATGTGATCTATATTTATTAACTCCCATCGTAGCTGGGGATAATATTACTTGTACCAAAAATCATGTCTTGTGGGGTATGAGAAACAAGGAACAAGTGGCCAGGTATACTGAAGAGTGTCATAAAAGACTTAAAACAATAGACTTTCCAAATGAATTTATTGACTGTGCCAACTCCTATTGTAATAATGAAAGTCATAAATATGTACTTGACAGACTTTACTCTGACATTGTGTCTGCCCTTTCTGATGCGTCTTGTGCTGGTCGAGAGGACGCTGGTGGTGGTTGGAGTGGCTCAGGTGTGGCAGGGTGGAACAAGTGCGTCGCCGAGGCTCATAGGACGGCACGTTTAAAATATTTTGAATGGTTAAGGTGCGGTAAGCCGCGTTCGGGTATCATTTTCAATGATATGTCTGAAAGCAGGAGGATCTTTAAGTCACGCTTGAAATGGTGCCAAAATCACCAGAACCAATTACGAATGGACGCCCTTGCTGAAAAACATTCGAGCGGAGATTTTCAGAGTTTCTGGAGATTTATAAAAAGGGACAACTTAAAACCGAGCCGTCCTATGGTCATCGACGGTAAGTGTGATCATAAGGAGATCGCTGATGCCTTTAGGTCTCATTTTACTATACAGTCTCCCTTAGGGCTGGTGGGTCGGGTGTTCGATGCTGAATTACTAAATGGGAATGGAGCTGTGGGTATACAAGTCTCAGCGAAAGAATTAGCTACTATTGTAAAAACCATGACCAGGGGAAAGTCTCCTGGTCATGATGGTCTCAGCGTCGAGCACGTACGGCATGCCGGGCCTCACGCTTATAGGGTACTCGCAATGTTTTATTCGCTGTGTGTGAGTCACTCTTATTTACCGTCAGACGTAATGAAGACAGTGGTAGTGCCTATAGTGAAAAATAAAACCGGTGACATTGCTGATAAAAGTAACTATAGGCCAATTTCCTTAGCTACGATCATAGCAAAAATATTTGACGCTGTGCTCAATGAAAAGTTAAATGAACACATTCACTTGCACGACAATCAGTTTGGATTTAGATCCAAATTGTCCACTGAGAGTGCAATACTGAGTCTAAAGCACAGCGTCAGGTATTATACGAATCGTAAGACTCCAGTATATGCGTGTTTCCTGGATTTATCCCGGGCTTTTGACCTGGTGGCGTACGAGGTTTTATGGAGCAAGTTGGACAAGATGGGTCTACCACGAGAACTTATTAACATCTTTAAGTACTGGTATTCACATCAAATTAACAACGTCAGATGGGGGGGCGCAGTGTCGGAGCCATATCGTCTTCAGTGCGGTGTTAGGCAGGGTGGGCTGACCTCTCCCACTCTTTTTAATTTATATATGGACGCGCTAATCGTGGAGCTCAGCAGTAGCCATGTCGGCTGTCACGTTGATGGAATCTGTGTCAATAATCTTAGTTACGCAGACGATATGGTTCTGCTGAGTGCCTCGGTCTGTGGCTTAAGACACCTGTTGCGCATCTGTGAGAAATACGCTTGCGAGCATGGATTAAAGTACAATCCTACGAAAAGTCAGTTCATGGTTTTCGAGGCTGGTGGTGCTAGATGTCCAGAGAATGTGCCAGCAATACATCTCAATAACATCCCGCTCGAAAGAGTGTACCATTTCAAATATCTGGGGCATATAGTTACTGCTGACCTCGACGACAGTGCTGACATTGAGCGGGAACGGAGAGCATTGTCAAGAAGGGCAAATATGTTGGCGCGCAAATTTTCACGAAGTTCAGTAGAGGTGAAAATTACACTCTTTCGTGCTTACTGCACTTCTTTGTACACATGTGCTTTGTGGGCCCGCTATTCTCGGAGAGTGTATAACGCGCTTCGCGTGCAATTTAACAATGCTTTTAGGGCGCTCCTGGGGCTACCCCGTTACTGTAGCGCCTCGGGAATGTTCGCAATAGCACATACAAACTGCTTTTTCACCACCATGCGCAAAAGGTGTGCATCCCTTGTAAGTAGAGTGAGGGCAAGCCCAAATAAAGTCCTGGCTATGATAGCGGAGAGGTTTGACTGTCCTTACATGCGGCATTGTTGTGCACAGCATATATTATCTAATGGAGGTGTGTAATGCTATTAAATACAATTGTAAAAATATTTTATATTAAAAAAAAATACGGTTTGATATAAATAAGAAATTTTGTGTTCCTATGACATTTTAATATTCATTTTGTGTATGACATTATAATAATATTAACTTGACCTTTGATTTTTAATTATTTTATTTGATGGAAATTATTAAATTTAAATTATGTAATTTTATTAAATTAAATAAATGATTAGGTGTATTTTAAGTGACATGTGCCTATTTCTACAATAATTGATTATGCATTATTATTATGATTATGAGTTATGTTGCTCGAAATAAATGAATTTTATTTTATTTATTTTAAAAAAAAAGATATAAATTATAACATTTTATTTTGTATTTCAGGCTTCAAGTATGAATACTGAGTTAAGAGTTAATGGAAAATGCGCGTTGAAATTCATCCATATCTTAGATCTTATTTGATTTAAATGCAATCCAATGCCCTGTGCATTAGGTTAAAAAAGGAAATATTGCTTTATAAATGACAAAAAATATTATCTGTCTGTTTGGGACTCTCAGCGCGGATGGGTGTGCGAATACGCAGGCTTCGGGCCGCTGGCGCAGGCTGTGTTCTTCGCGGGCTCGTTCGTGGGCGGCATCTTCTTCGGCTGGCTGGCAGACACCTTCGGCAGGGTGCCCGCTTTGGTTGGTAAGATTGTCTGCATGTTTATGGATAAATCAACTCAAAAAGTTCTTTGGTAGACAAAAGCGATCCCTATGAAAGCTAAAAGATACTCCTAAAAAGAATTCAAACTTGACTTATTTATTCTGTGGTGAAACTTAGTGGTGCCGAGTATTTTATGTATAACTATTTCGGTATTTTAGTTTCACAAGAACTGGAAATTTTATTGTAATGGTTATTATTAGGGAAACGCTATCTATATACCTACCTATGTCGTGTTATTTATTGCTTTTTCGTTGATTTGTTTCTTCTTTTTATTATTAATTTTCATATTTCAGATGTAGTGCAATATAAAGGTTAGGTTAGGCCTGATTCTATGTCGGGTGAGAGAGGAGGACGCCCTGGCGGACCCTCTTAGGAGGAGCCGAGTAGGTAGAAGGAGGCGGCAATACCTCCGCCTTCTTCCACCCTAATTTGGGGCCAGCGGGCGTGAGGTGGGTGAACTCACGCCTGCATTGCACGGTCTCAGCTGAAGGGGAGGGATGCCCAAGGTGTTAGATGGGCATCCCTCCGGGACGATGTGGTTGATTCCCAATAAGGATCTCACATCGTCACATCCGGCGGTGACGGCACACCCCAGGGTTTTAGTGGGTATGCCAGTATGGAGAGTAACCATAACCCTGTTGCCCACCCAGTAACAGGGTATGCGCAATTCCTGGGTAAAAAAAGGTCTGATTCTATGTCCAACAAGACAGGTTATTCGCATAAAGTTTTTTTATCCTACTAGTATTATTAATGTGAAATGTTACTCAATCACGCAAAAACTACTAAACGAAATTGGATGAAATTTGGTACGCATATAGTTAAGGACCTGGATTGAGACATAGGATACTTTTTATCTTGCAATAGCGTTAGGTGCCAGACGGATTTTCGAAAAAACTAAAGTTAACGCGGGCGAAGTCACGGGCGGCAGCTAATATTAAATACCTATATCGTTAATTTGATATCTTGTCGCTATCTCTTGTTCATCAATCACAATTGTCATGTCGTTGCCACTCGATTTCAAATCGTTTTACAACGATAGCATACTTACATGCATATACTATCTTTATCTCTATACGAGAATTTTATATATAAGATGTATTTTTTAATACCACATTATAAAAATATAAATATTGTCAAAAATAAATTTTAGGGGTGTGTAACGAAGTCTTCTATCAATTTCCTAGGATAACAATGCTCCTAACTAGGGCTGCCATCTCTAAAATGTGGCAACCAGGATAAGACACGTGATAACCCCGGATTTTGGAGCCCAGAACCCGGACAGACCAAAAAAAAACAGTTAAAAATGTCACAAATCAACTTTTTTATGTTGATCTAGGCAAAAGAGCTAGCAGTCTACCTCATAATAAGTGGTCACTGCTGCCCATGGACACTTGCAGCACCAAGGGCCACTCATGCGTTGCCGTAATTTTTTAACCCGGACTACAAATAAAACCCCGCCCGGACGCTCCCCGGACGCCCCGTAAACTAGGACAAATCCGGGGAAACCCGGAAGGATGGCAGCCCTACTCCTAACCCATATGAGAACACTACGTTACAATATTGGTGCGAAGGCGCATTGTAGGTTTCAGAACACTACGTTACAGGTGGACAACCATTATCACTTAAGGATATGAAAAATAGATAGTAGCCGATTCTCAGACCCACGGAATATGCGTATAAAATTTCATTAAAATCGGTCAGGCCGTTTCGGAGGAGTATGGTAACTAAAATTGTGACACGAGAATTTTATATATAAGATATAATTTGCTGGGACAGCAAAGTATCTTAGAAACTCTTATTAATAAACAAAGATTACGCTTGGATTAGTTAATTCATGTTTTGTTTTTTATTGAACGACAAATGGGGAGCTGGTGAACAAAACGGTATAATTACGCATCTGCTCAAACTACTTTTTTTTTTACAGTCCGGAGATTTCGGGCCCGTTGAATTTGAATCTCAAATAATTTTCAATCATAACCGCTTAAAGCAGTGTTGAAATTACTAAATATATAAATTAAAAACCATGACAAAAGCTCACTGGAGGTATGTCATTCAGTTTTAGGCATTGTCCTAATACAACGCGATCATCGCGCGTTTAAACGATGCGACCATCGCGTGATCACGAACTGGGTGTCCTAATAGAACGCGAATACGCGATCACGATTTACGCGAATATCATCGATCATCGCGCGAACTTCAGTTAGGACACCTATTCATCATTAATAGGTTTAATTGTGCGTTGCGAATAGATTTTTAAACATTTTAGTCGCGCGACTGCATCGCACGATCGCCTATTAGGACAAGGGTTGCCAGGCCGTAAAAGGCAAAGGCCGGACTGCGCACTATATAAGGAAGGCCTGACATTTTGCCATAAAAGCCGGACATATTTATTATATCAGACAGCGGGGCGGCGGCGGGTAGTCACGCTTACGTCACGCGCCGCGCGCGCCAACAGTTTGCTCTCTTGTCCGCTCGGACGCTCGTCTGCCCATCGTCGTACGAATCGCCACTCTGACAAAAAGCCTGACAAAAGCCGGACAGGCCAAACACATTCATATTTGGCCGGACGCGACTGCAAAAAGCCAAACATGTCCGGCTAAAGCCGGACACCTGGCAAGCCTAATTAGGACACCTATTCTAGATCAATATGTTAGGACGATGCCTTATGTACAGCTCCTGTAAAATTTAATTTTATGTAATTATACCGTTTTGTCCGTCAGCTCCTCAAATGACATTTGAGTGACATGAACAAAACTCGGCGTAACTAGTCTAAACTTGTTCCTTGTTTATTAATAAGGAGGCGTGAGACGTACAAATGTCGTTTGATAGTAATGTTAGTATGCACCGCTGGCGCTGCTTTAACCAAAGACGGTAGATTTGACATTGTTTCGCCTTAGAATGTTGTGCGGAAACATTAGGCCCAAAATGGACTTTATCCCTTAAAAACATGTTTTTTCTTTTGTCTAGTTTGTACGTATTAGTACTTTTGTGAGTTGACGCAAATTGTGTGTACGTGATTAACATATAAAGTGGTGATTAAAATGTCTCAACCACTTTCAACCTGAGGCTGCTAGGGATACTTCCAGGGGTGAAAGAAGTGTTAAAATATAGACATAGAAATAGGAGAGGAAAAACAGAGAAGTATTAAGATGAGGTAAAAAGATAAGATAAGGAAAGGAATGAAGGAACGTAGTAAGAGGAGGTATGAAGATACTTATTGATGTTACTTTAAATAGAACTGGTACGGTAAATCGTAGTGTCGTTTTTCGTTTAGGGGCTATTAAAAATTGTTACTGACGCTGTGGAGAGTTTGATGTGCAGACAGCCGAAGTGTGTTGTGTTTTTCGTTTATTGTGTTATAAAGGGGTTATTAGATGTGATAGCGGAATCAAAAGATATTAGCTTATAAAAAATGTGTTCAACTAAACGGACTAAGGATTGAAGTGTATTTGTATGTTGAATTAGATAAGGGATATGGAATGGAAAAGGTATATTGGATGGACATACGGAATCATTGTTAGGTATGTGTATCGGTTAATATATAATAAAAAAATCATAAAAACACATTTGCTATTTGATATCGATAAGAGAACAAAAAAGCTCGGTAAGTTGGTTATTACAAACGAGAAGACGAATGTAATGGCTTACCATAGTTACGAGTTTGTAATCCAATCCTCTTGAATATCATATAACGAAAATTTTCAACACACATTTGCGAGAAAATATCTCTTATCTATTAGACAAGTCCGTCCGTCCGTGGTGCTGTTTCAGCGGCCAAACCGTAAGAGATAGATAAAGAGAATGTTTAAGTTATAAGTTAAGTATAGTCTGATAAGACTACAAACCGGATTTGAGTAACGTAGCACTTCCGGTTTTCGAGAAATCACGTGATTTCTATTTCAAACGAAACCACACAAAATCTCCGAAGTTCTCAATTAATTAAATACATTTTTTTTCTTTTTTTTTTGGTGAACATTTGGTTCACTGGTTTGCTAGTTATACATAATATATGTAATTAAGCAATTTTTTTCTGATAAGTAAATAGTGCGCATTTCCTAATGGCGGCACGTGCGGGTGGTGAAAATTAGAACTAAATCTTTCGTCTCTTCTTCTTTATGGTATTAAAGAGAGACATAGGTATAGACTAAAAGCGACTCCGAGGAGGTTCGATCGAAATAAAAAAAACTGTAAAGAATAAATACGGTGCCATGTATAGGAGCGTGGGTAATGAATGTTTACCGCACGCTTAGCTGTATGGCCCGCAATTTTGAATTTTCGAACAATGTATACAACCTTAGTAAATGCATTTATTGAGTAAATGTTTTGTAAAAGTTATTTCAGGCGGAGCTTATTAAACTAAAATAAGCTTTAAATAAATTAAATAAATCTATAACATACTCGAAGTTATAATAATAGGTCAAATTGCTTTGTTTTAAGGTACAAATATGATGGGGTGCATTGGCGGCGTGGCCAGCATATTCACAACTGGGCTGTGGGACTTTGCCTTCTGTCGTTTCCTCGTCGGAATGGCGTACGACAGCTGCTTCATGATGATGTATATTTTGGGTAATTTTATGTTCTATATTTTTTATTGGAATACAACAAATGACTTAATAGCACCTTAATGTAAAGATCATTACCGCACCTGCCATCCTAACAGGTATAGGGATTTGTTGAGTTTGCTGAAAGGAAAGATATCATTCCTTTTTTTGAAATTTGTCTATAGGTGCCTACTTAACATCATTATTACCCACTGATGGACTAGCTAGAATATCTTGCAGATCTGATGTAACTACTGACTCATTTAACTGTTTCGAGACGCATAGCGAATTTCCTGCTCATTAGAGTGGAAGCTCCAGCCTAGGGAAGTAAACTCGACTTACAAAAGACCACTGAGAATTAACTACCTTTTAGAGTCGCCGCACACGGACCACCGACCACAACCACAAAACGCCGCCACCGGCATACTTCTTGTAGTTATCATACATATTATATGGACTCGCCACACACGGTACGCCGGTGGCCGCCACACACTACAAATCGACGTTGCTCGCTTCTTGTGGCCCGCACCGGCCACTTAATGCGCCGATACAAAACGCCGCCACACGTCACTCGCGCGATTCCCCACCCCTCTCTCCCTTACCTTAGTCGGCCGCTATCACGCGCTTCAGCCACTTTAGTAGCCGCTTCTAGCTTCTCGTGGCGGCGTTTGTGGCTGTGGCGTGTGGCCCGTGTGCGGCGGCACTTAGTGGTGAAAAGTTTCATTTTCGTTAACGGTATAGGATAAGCATTTTCGGGAAAACTCTTTGACTGAGAGAATCAGTAGCTACTTAAGACTCAAATAATGAATTATTGTTTCCACAGTCCTGGAATACGTGGGTCCTCGGCATCGCACTTGGGTGGCTAACATGTCGATAGCGCTGTTCTTCGGAGGCGGCTGTCTGGTGCTGCCATGGCTGGCGGTGTGGATCGCCGACTGGCGGACGCTGCTGCTCGCCACAAGTTTGCCCATGCTCGCAGTACTCGCCGCGCCGCTCGTGGTCCCTGAGAGTGCTAGGTGAGTAGGGAAAAAGGAAATCCAGTGAAATCGCTACTAAAGTGCGAGCACAGAAGACTGTGCTGCGAATGATGCAGTTTGGAAGTCACTACTTCCAGCCACGGGCGTCGGTGCTTCATGCTGCATACAGTGTAAGGTAAATTCCTGATAAGGTTTAAGACACAGGGACTCATGTTAACAGGGCCAATATGTCTGCCTGATGCTACCGTGGCTAGCAGTTTGGATCGCTGACTGGCGGCCGCTGACGCTCGCCATAAGTCTGCCCATGCTCGCATTACTCGCCGCGCCGCTCACAGAACTAGAGAGTGCTAAGTGATAAAAGGCCATCATAAATGATGTCATATTTTCATTATTTTTTTACCTAACGACAAGGCGGTTTCTGAACAATTACATACAAGATTGTTCTCTACATTCAACGATATTTAAAATATCGTTGTATATGTCTAATGTTTAATAGATTTTTTTCGCGAAAACACGGATAATAAGACAATGGCGCTCGATCCGCGGAAATTACATATATCAAATCATACTACGATATATACGTTACACTAACCCCAGTTCCTTTTAATCTATTTGTAAGAACTAAGAAGAACCTACCTACCTAAGAACTATTTGAAATAGCTTTCGACATTTCTACCAAAGCAAACCTTTCGTCTTTGTGTTCCTGTTTACACCTGTTTTCGTTCATTCAAGATGGATTGGACATTAGGGGTGTATTCCATAATATATACCAGTATACTGGCCAGTGCTAATGACATCGTGAATCGATGCTATACTGGTGAATTGTTCCGAAATATACAGGCCAGTGCACTGACGTCATAAATCGACGAAATATTAAAAATAGTGCGAATAAAGAAGTTTTTTTTATTCACCTCATCAATTAAAAGGAATTCTCTTTGTTCGGATGCCATTAATTGTTCTTTAAATAAAAAAAATGTGTGTGTCAGCTCCAACGCACGACTGGAATTTACTCCTTACGTTCGATAGTCTAACCAGACGCAAAAAGAGTTTATTTAACTTAAAAAAGATTTATACTAAATGAAAGGAAACAAAATAAAGAAAATAATATACATATATAAATATATATTTATTCATTTCATATACATTTATTCTAACTAATCGATGAAATATTTTACATTTAACTTTTTACAATAGTCAATTTCAGATGTGCATAAATAAATTATGTAATTATTATTATCAGACTATTATCATTTTTTTAAATATTAATTAAATCAACATTGGTGTCAATTCTGGCGTGATTCTCTAAACTTAAAACTAAATTTAAGGTCAGTCTCACCTTTTCATTCTCTATAGAGAAGGACAAGGATGCACTGTTGTCAAATTTAAGTTTAGCTTTAAAGAATCATGCCAGAATCGATATCATTGTCTGCATTATTAATTACAGTGACAAGTGGTTTATGGTAACTAAAATAAGACACATGGACGTTCGTAGATACGTGGTTCACGAATCTTGAAAATACCGCATCAATGGTTGTACCATACCTCGTTGTTCCCATTGCTCTATCAGAAACAATATCTAAATTCAGTTCAGATTTTAAAAAAATTATTAATGTCAATCCGTCATCTTTGTTTGTCAAAGTTGCGCGACATAGGATGCGCACCAAAAACGTGACGAGGTCATTCATCGATAGATTTTACTCCTCACATTTTTCTCATACCATTCCCCTTATATATGCAAATCGATTCTTAAGATATAAACTCCAAAAAGAAATAAAATTCGAATGCATCTCACGCACGCTGGGTCATACGTCATATTCGTTTTCCCGGTAAAAATATGGTAGCATACAAGTACAATATGGCGTCGGATTCGTAACGTCATTACCCCTGGCCAGTTTACTGATGTATATTTCGGAATACACCCTAGATCAAGCGGAGACGAAGGTTACTCATCTTCAAATTATGCAAAATTTTATAGCATACGGTTTAAATATTCTTTATCATTCCTATTTACGATTAGTCGGATCAACGCTAATACATGATTAGCATATTTACACTACAGTGATATGATTACTAAAGCTAATTCTTCCTACAATTATCATCAAAAGCTGATCTGTAACAAACCGCCTCGAATATATTTGTTTTAGCTTATCGCCATCATTATTTAAGAGCAGTTAATTGTCTGATGAGGTCTGTCTACACGCAAAAACTATTAAAAATATGGTAAGGATAACCAAGCTGATTAACCAGTTAAAACTCAATGGCATTGCGTAGTTTACAACGCGGATAATCTGTATTTTTCTATGAAACGCTCATATAGTGGTTTAAGAAGGAATACCTTTCACATTTACACAAATATTTATTGAATCTTTTTGAGGATCATCCCCATAAAAGAAACCATCAGCTTATAACAAAATTATCTTATTTACTAAAAATTGTAGCAAAGAAGTATGTATATGGTAATATTCCTAACCAGCCACCATATACTTAAAATCTTACAATAAACTTGAAGAGTGTGCATCGGAGTTACATAACTTATTTCCACCTTCACTTTTTTACCACAGAACTACCAGAGAGACGGCAAAACGCCACAGATATACAGTAGAGGTCCCGCAAAATCGTACTAAACGGTTTACTTCCACCTATATCGTCAGAATAGCTAGGTTGTGGAACTCTTTGCCGGGATCTCTGTTTCCAGTCTATAATCTGGGGCTCTTCAAGTCGCGAGTGAATCGGCTTCTTCTAGGCAAGCGCGTCCCACCTTTGGCTGCTACGGCGCTCTTCATCAGGCGCGTAACCGTCAAGCGAGCCTATTTAATGTAAAAAAAAAAGAAAAACTGCGATTTAGCTCAATCGTTGATATACTCTCTCTCAATCCCCTGTCCTGTGTAACTCTGCCAATCTTATTCATCATCACCAACAGAAACATCATCATCATCAGCCTATTAATGTCCCCACTGCTGGGGCACAGGTCTTCCCTATGGATGGAATAGGTAGATTGGGCCATGACCCAGCACGCGGGCCCAGTGCGGATTGGCGGGTGCTAACGACTGCAGATGCAGCCGGTACCAACGGCTTAACGTGCCTTCCGAAGCACGGAGGAACTCGAGATTGAAGATTTTTGGTCACCAATCCAATGACCGACCATTGCGAAAGTTGCTTAACTTCAGCCAAACGCGCTAGCCACCTGCGTCATCGACCTCCTCGCATAAACAGAACAGCACGAAAAGCTAACGCGAACTGTTTTAAGCGCTTTAAAAAATAAGGAGAGTCCGTTTTCAATTATGTTATCGAATTTAATGAAAAAGAACTGTAGTTTACCGTAACACAAGTAAACCATAACAGCTTGGCATCCAGAACCCACCAACATGCTACAAAAAGATCTCAAATATAAATATTACATATTACAAGAGGTTTCTAATGTCTCTACATTTGCTAAAGCTCTCTTCGGAAATTCTTTGTAGTAAGCTTTCCGGCAACCTTCGTACTAAACCTGTCTAATAATTTTGACAAGTAGTATATTAAATAAAATATTTCAGATGGCTGTCGTCGAGAGGGCGGGTGAATCAAGCAGTGAAGGTTTTGAAAAGATTCGAGCGAGTGAACGGCACCAAGATACCTCAGGACGTCATGGACGAATTTATCGTGAGTTCACTATTTTTTATCTACAACTCCTGAAACACATGTTTCCTCTTGCGTATTATCTCTTATCTATTAGACAAGTCCGTCCGTCTGTGGTGCTGTTTCAGCGACCAAACCGTAAGAGATAGATAAAGAGAATGTTTAAGTTATAAGTTAAGAATAGTCTGATAAGACTACAAACCGGATTTGAGTAACGTAGCACTTCCGGTTTTCGAGAAATCAGATTTTGGTGAACATTTGGTTCACTGGTTTGCTAGTCGATTAATAATGATTACCATCAGCTATCTTCGCAACTGTTTTTGAAATAACTTGTAACAACAGATGTAAGTACATATCTAGTGGAGCTCGAACATAAATCTTATATATAATATTATTTATGTTTTATTTACCATACTCCCCCGAAACTTTTATGAAATTTTATATGCATATTCCGTGGGTCTGAGAATCGGCTACTATCTATTTTTCATATCCTTAAGTGATAATGGTTGTCCACCTGTAACGTAGTGTTCTGAAACCTACAATGCGCCTTCGCGCCAAAATTCAAACTATTGGGTATTGTAACGTAGTGTTCTCATATGGGTTAGCAGGAATGTTATCCCAGGAAATTGATAGAACACTACGTTATACACCCCTAAAATTTGTTATTGGACATTTTTTTTAATAATGTTGTATTAAAAAATACATACAACCCTAAATTTTTTCTTCTACCACCTGCCCCTATATTTATGGCGGTACGAAGTTCTCTGGGTCAGCTAGTATACCATATATAATTTAATGAGTTTTTGATAGTGATTTGTTCTTCCTATAATAGTAACACTAGCAAACCACTAATTTCTGCTATCACACTAAAATTATAAAGGCGAAAGTTTGTGAGTGCGTATGTTTGTTACTTCTTCACGTCCAAACGGCTGGAGCGATTTTAATAAAATTTGGTATTGAATTAGCTGACAATCTGGATTAACACATAGGCTACGTTTTACTACGGGAAAATATCTCTAATAAACCGTGGGTAACACCGCGGACACAGCTAGTATTACATAATACAAAAACTCGAAACTAGAAGAAATATTTATTGAGTGTTTGACACTTGTTAAATCATCCCATTAGACATAATACTTACGAGTACTTAACTCCTTGGTGCTGCGTTCAGACCAAGGTCTTTGTAATTTAAATGGTTTAGCATTCTCCCAGAAAATTAAGTTTTCAAACTTAAATAAAAAAAAATGTGTGCTGGGACACAGTAGAAGTAAAACCAGAGCTTGTAACCGGTTTCTAAAATACCGGTAAATAAAGGTTAATACCGGTTTTTAGTAAAGGTTTCGATCGGAGCGATGAGCGGATGAAAGCGGTACCTAAAACCATAATAAACCGGTTTAATCCAGAGCTACACGCGCACGCGTCGGCATCGCTTGTAGTTTGTTTTGTTTGAACTAATCAAGTCACAACTTGTTAATGCTCAGAGATTGATGCATTTATTGACACGTTTGCTAGCGTCTAGTGAGACAAGTTATTCATTTTGTAGTTGTGTTCTGACACACTACTTCACTCACTCGCTCTGTAGTAGGAAAGAAACTGACATAAAATCATTATTAATTTGAATTAAAACGGCGAAGGCGATGCCGTCAGTAAAAGCGAAATGAAACCCTTTAAAAACCGCTAAATTGATTCAAAACCTATTTGATTTTGCTTTATAGGAAAACCGGTTTTTTAAGGTTAAGGTAGAGCCAAACCTAAATAAAACGCACCTAATGTACTTGATACTGATTTAGGTTTGAAAATTAATAGGTAAACAAGCCCTGAATAAAACTCCGCTGCCGCCTCTTACCGCGCGAAACATCGTTTACGGGGGTCCACGTGGCCACAAAGCTTATTCGTGACAGCAAAATCCTAATACCCCCCATCTATATACCAGGGCTTGTTTACAGGTTAATTTTCAAACCTAAATCAGTATCAAGTACATTAGGAGCGTTCTATTTAGGTTTGGCTCTAGCTTAACATTAATAAATCGGTTTTCCTAAAAAGCGAAATCAAATAGATTTTGAATCAATTTAGCGGTTTTTAAAGGGTTTCATTCCTCTTTTACTGACGGCATCGATAATAAATGAATAACTTGACTCACTAGACGCTAGCAAACGTGTCAATAAATGCCTCAATCTCTGAGCAATAACTAGTTGTGACTTGATTAGTTCAAACAAAACAAACTTCAAGCGAAGCCGACGCGGGCACGTGACGCTCTGGATTAAACCGGTTTAAGGTTTTAGGTACCGCTTTCATTTCGTACGCGTTCTGAACGAAACCTTTACTAAAAACCGGTATTAATCTTTATTTACCGGTATTTTAGAAACCGGTTTCAAGCACTGCTATATACAAGTTTCACTTCAAATGGAGTAACTTACGAACTCATATATGATCTCCAGGTGGCGTCCCGCCAGACGCGTCAAGAGAACGAGTCTATAACAGCGTTGTTCCGGAGCGGGCCGCTGCGGCGCATGATGCTGTGCATGGTGGTGGTGTACATGGGGTGCGCCCTCATCTTCGACGGGCTCGTGCGCATGTCCGAGGGGCTCGGGCTCGACTTCTTCATCACCTTCACGCTCGCCTCTGCTACGGAGATCCCGTCTGTGACCCTGTTGGCACTCATACTGGACAGGTGAGAAACATTCGATATCTTTACATAACAAAAACATAAGTAGCTCCCGGTGAACGCGTTAGGAGAAGGACAAGAGAACTTTCAACATGTATAATAAAAGGTTTTTCACCAAAAATTAAAACCGACTTCATAAAAACAAAACCACTTAAAAGTAAGAAATAATGCATATTCTTTTATATAATACTTAAATCTACATTTAAAGTTAAATTATCATTTGAAATCGGTGTCATGCAGATTGACAGATCTGAGTTGCCATTTACTGCTTGGGTTGGCATGGCAGTTACATGGTTGGTGGTTTTGTTTTTATAAAGTCGGTTTTAATTTTTGGGTAAAAATGCTATTATTTTTCACTTTTTATAAGCTAGAGCAACATCAACTTACTCAATATAGATGTTTGACCTGCGATCTCTCTTCAATATTACGAAAAGTAAGAAAAAACGATATGAGCACTGTACCCCTAGCACGAACCATTATCGAATTCGAATAGTTTGTAAACCGAAATATCAATGTCACATTTTGTATGGAAACTTGAACAGCAGCGGCACAAAGTACGTAACGAGAACTTAAAATCAGTACACATTTGACAATGACATTTAGACACACTTAAAATCAGTACACATTTGACATTCATTAAAATGGAAAAACTGTTTCATCGTTTGGTAATAAGTTTAAAGAATTATAGAGGAGCTTGATTGCGCAAGCGGTTAGCGCTTTCGGCTGCGACCGTTGAAGTTAAGCAACTTCCGCAGTGGTCGGTCATTGGATGGGTGACCAAACATCTTCTATCTCGAGTTCCTCTGTGCTTCGGAAGGCACGTTAAGCCGTTGGTCCCGGCTGCATCTGCAGTCGTTAGCACCCGCCAATCCGCACTTGGCCCGCGTGGTGGGTTATTGCCAATCTCCCTTTTCCATCCACAGGGAAGGCCTGGGTCCCAGCAGTGGGAACATTAATAGGTTAATGATGATTATAGAGAATCATGCCACATTGAAATTTTTTGTGTTGTTATATTTGGTTTACATATCGTTTTGTTTCTCAGATATGGTAGACGAATGCTAACTGTCGGGCCGCTGAGTATAGCAGGCGCACTCACCCTTATAGCGTCAGCTGTTCCCAAAGGTGAGTTTAAACATGACACTAAGATTTTTTACAGTTAGATTATATAATACTTAGATCTGGAAAGATCCGTTAAACTTTGACTTGGTTAATGGAGCAAATTATTATACACTTTCACGCCGCAATACACCACAAAATGTTCAAAACACAATTAAATTAACGTTAATACTCTAATACCAACTTGCCTGTAGGTTGTGTAAGTAAGTTAGCACAGCTGCCAAATCTGTGGGAGCAAAAAATTATCGGATGCAACACGCTTTTACTCCTGGACTTCTATATCTAGGTGAAGTATGTCTTGTCTAATGCAATTTATATACAGTGTCACGCCAATACACCAACGAATTAGAAATTATATGGAAGCATTACTCTCTAAAAAAGAAACTTATACAACTAAACTTCAATGCTTTTAGCGCGACAGCACATAGACACAACAAAATATTATAGCTATTATTAACTGTTACTCCGTGATCATGGATGGCGCTTGCAACAGTGCCGAAATATCGGAGACTCATAAAAAACAAGGTACATGGTAACAATCCCGTTAATAGCTATAATGTTAGTGACCATTAAAGTTTTAAACAATACAACAAAATACTTTGATAAATCAAATATCTGCAAATAAATTCGGCTATCCTTTCATTAGGAAATAATGTTAAACGGAAATCCCAACCAATCCCATGATCGGCGTGTTGATCACATAGTTTTCTTGGGATTTCTTTTTAGCGCAGTTCATATTCCATATTATTTCCAATCCGTTGCATTACACACCACAAAGCACTAAATATTCATTAAAAAATTAATTATGCGCGAATCTAAAACTTTTTAATTTTTTTACTTCCTGCGTTGGTGAGTTAGCAAAGCTGCCTCATCCCTGAGAGAAAACAGTAAGCAACATCGCCTAACATCTGTCTCCAGGAATCCCCCAAGTGTCGTTAGCAATTATGGCACGCTTCTGCGTGAATATGGCGTACAACGCGGCCATCCAGTGGTCCACGGAGTTGCTGCCGACGAGAGTCCGGGCGTCCGGCTCCTCGCTCATACACGTCAGCGGGTACGTCGCCACCGTCGTGTCACCGTTCATTGTTTACTCGGTGAGTGCATTGAGGGTCTGTCAATAATAGTTTTACATCTTAAGTAATTTCATTCCCAGTAATCCATTTAGTCAAAATAAGATTAACAAAACTCAAAATTCAAGCTTAAGGATGTTTGAATCTGAAGTCTTTTATTTCACCAAAACTTTCGATCAACATAATCGAAGACCAAATTATATCGGTATGAGCTCCTTCGTGAGATTTAATCTCACCCATGCGGTTTAAATATCTTCCGTTATGAATACTGTTATTTGGGGAGGTTTCGTTAAATTGCAAAGAAATCGCATAGACATTTAAGACAAAACAAAAATAGGCAATTAAGAACAAACGAACGAGTCTCAAAAAACTTCCCTGCGCTATGTTTGATAAAGCTCTTCTTTGCTTAAGTGTGTACCTATTAATATAACTTCTGTTATTTATTTGTAAAATGCTTGAACAACATTGTTACAAGATTCTGAATGAGGGAATGATACATCAACTTAATGAAATTAATAAAAATCAAATGTTCAAATAACCTTTAAAAAATTCATTATGTTCTAAGCTTCTCTTCCTTATGTTTTAAAATACAAATTGGGGTGGTTATTGTTAAATGAATTTTCATTCGATATGCATATATATTCGATCTTCTACCCATTGCTGCGGCGCACTGATTTAGATCAGTAGCTCTAGGCCTCCGACACGAGCGTCACGTTTGATTTCCTATAGCGCTCCAGCGGCCCAGATTCCTCACCGCTGCTGTTCAACCAGTTTACGTCTTGTTGGATTGTATTGTACATATTATTATCAGATACTGCTCGACACAGGCGTACTCTAGTTATTTCCTCACACAACGGTCCAGCGCTTTACGCATCTAGTGGGTCCTCCCGACTCAGATTTATGCGTATGGCGCGTATGCGTGTTTGGGCCTCACTGTCGCACCCCCCCACTTCATCCCCTCTTCACTCATCTATTTTTCTTTGTTGAATGTTATTTAATATTTATGTTACAGGAGCGGGCGTGGGCTCCACTGCCACTGATACTGCTGGGTTCCTTAGGGGTGGGCGCGGCCGCGTGTGGCATAATGTTACCCGAGACGCGCGGGCAGCACATGCCGCAGACCATCGCCGACGGGGAGCGGCTAGTGCGTCAGCACTCGCTGTGCGGGTAACGTTCCTTCTGTTCTATAGTCTGATATTCCTATATCACTTGGGTTCCACTGCTGCTAATATTGCTGGGCTCGGTAGCACTCGAATGCGGGAGCGTGATTAAAATTTAATTCCAGCTGTGAAGTTGACCTAAATCGCTGCGCAGTGAACTAAATGTAGGCAATTAGGCATGCGCAGAATATATATGTTGCCCGTGACGCGCGGGCTAGACGCCTCACAGATAATTCCTCGTGCGCCAACACACGTTGTGCAGGTTAACGTGTCTTCTGTATTATCGGCCTGTTAAGGTCTTCTCTGCTAGATCACAGAGGCCTTCCCTATGGATAGATTGAAATAGTCCAAGGAAGAGAACGGAAAATAATCCATCACTCCGGACACTGCGGCTTGGTGAGTGTTAACGACTGCAGATGCAGTCGGGACCGACGGCTTGATGTGCCTTCAGAAGCACGGAGGAGCACGAGATAAGTTAGTTATTCATTCAATGACCGGTCGTTACGAAAATTACTTAACTTCCACGATCGTAGACCGAACGCGCTTTCTGTATGGTACAAATTTCTGCTGTAAAGTTAGTGTAAGTCGCGGCGCAAACGAAATGTAGGAAGGGTGATGTAGGCACGTGGGTGATATGCTGCCCGAGACGCGCATACAACACAGTCAAATCCCCAAGCATCGTTCGTTTGCCAGTACACGCTGGGCAGGTAGCGTGCCCTTCATATCATCAGCCAATGCTGAGGACTTTTCTATGGATGCTATAGTGAGAATTGGCCGTGACGCGATCACACAGTGGGAATATATAGTAAGTGCTAACGACTGTCCACATGCCATCAGGCATTTCGCACGATAGTTCGCCAGCTTTAGAGAGTACTATAATGTAACATGAAATAGCTAAATTACTTTGTCCCATAGAATATAAAATGTGAAATGAAACATTTATTCAAACCATAACTAAGATACAATGACAATAATGATCGATAATAACTGCATTAGTTATTAAACTGTATCGCAGCTATTAACACCCACCTCCAGAAAAAATAATTTAATACTAATCCTAATTTTACATTAAAATAGAATATGAATGAAATCCAGATGTAAAATAATGGAGAATTTTATACAAAATAAATTGCTCTGACCTACAGAATGTTTACTACAGAATTGAATCTAGACGTTAATTTAGAATGAAAGCTGTTCATGTCCTCTTCCAACCTATAAGTTTCTCAGAAAATCACAAAGCTGGAGTTACTCAATAAATATATCCTCCATATTTTCATAATACACAATTTATTTTTACAGCAAACCTGAAGTAGACGATGAAGATACTGAAGAATTGAAGATAAACAAACAAGGTGCTCTCATCACGTAATCAAATTTAAGGGTTCTTATGGAACTTAATGTGTTCGGCAGTGCGATGTAAACTTAAGTTTTCTTTAAGAACGTTAATGCCCATGGTAGCCCCATCCTTTTCAAACATACCATGTTAGAATAGGAGAGGAATATTGTGGTCTTGCGTTTTCACGAAAACGAATGATTGTTTACATTCAGTAGGCAAGTTTAACAGCTCAGTATAATCCTGGAGAATACTTCACCAGGATGTAAGTAGTTTAATTCTTAAGATATTCCGGAGTTCATTCCAGCTCAGTAGAATTTCTCTATGTCAATATTTTACTAATGCGTACACTTAAGGTCAATTATGGTCGCATTCAATTCATCTTCTAAATAAGTTTAAGGAATGCTTTTACTTTCTTTGAAATAATAATAAATGAAGATCACGCGTAGACTAAGGCCCTTTTCACATGCACACGGTCACGGCACGGCCGCCATGCCGTGCAACCGTGCTAGCTCTTTCACATGTATACGGCTTACACACGGTCGCCGGCTATGGATGTTGCAGTATTATTGAGAATTTTGGGGAACGACGACGTCTATTATCATGGAACAAAAAAAGATTCTTTTCATTATCATCTAATTCTTCGAAACTACTATTTAATCCTATACATACTTCTTTCCACGGTTCTTTTGTCTCGTTCCTGTTTTTATAAGACGCGATGGTTTTATCCCATAAAGTAGGACGCGCTTCAACTAGCGAAATCAACACATCAACATCGATTTCGACAGACATTCTGTAACAATCGTCTGTCCGTTCCCCTATGACTTTAGCTGACGAATGGTATTTGCGCTCGCCGTGCCGTACCGCGCCCGTGTTCGTGTGAACGCGTCTATACAAGTTTATACAAGACTATAAAGACGGTTGCCGCGTCAAAACCGTGCTTATAGTGAATAAGGACGGCTAACACGCGGTCACGGCACGGTCGCCGTGCAATGTGAAAGCTCTCATTGTTGCTCATACATTACTATTTTACACGGCACGGCAACCGTGCCGTGTCCGTGTACATGTGAAAAGGCACTAATGCATTACTTTTAATGGACGCAGCTGAGTGCGGCCGTTTTGTAAATGATATAAAAGAAAATAAATAAAAAACGTTTGTATTGTTGTAATTTTAAAAATTAACACGGTGCTAATAATAACATATCGCCTGAATTTAAACTGAGGTAAATAATGTTTATTTAATGATGATTTTCTTGCAATAAGTAAATACATAAGTAGAAAATGGAAAACTAAAAGAAGATATACAGGCCGTCCCACGGCCATGCCACACGGAGGGAAAGTATATTAAATTGAAATTGAAGAAAGGATATTTTACAGAAAGAAGCCATCATTTTATTTTTAATAATAAGCAGAACTGTATTCACAGTTTTTCTTAAAACCGCCTGCTACAACCCGTGAACTCGTGAAATGTAAAAAAAAACATATGTATTCTGTGATAACGGTCGTAAGGGATTCTCCGATCGATCTCATAAGGATTTTTTTTCTAAATGACATAGCATTTCAAATGAAAAGGAAACATGAAATATTTACATTTTGTTAAAAATAATTGAACACAAACAGCCAAAATGATGCAAGAAATAAAATTTTAATTAAAATCAAGTGTCCAAAATGTGATTCATTCTGTAGCTAGCTAGCACTTATAAAAACTCTCACTGTGCATCATTTTATTTTTAGATATTATTTTTTAGATAAATTTTGTCTTCTTGCAGTAAAATATCCTAGCTTCGATATTTAATACAGTTTCCCTCCTTGTGTCATGGTATGGATGCCCTGTATAATTGTAAGTACTTATATATTTTTAATAGGTATTGCTTACATCAAAATAAGCGATATATTTAATATAGTGTTTTCATTGATAAATCTCTTTTTATTTTCAAGGGCTTTACTAGCTTTTTAAAGTTTTCCCAGCCTCATACATAAAAAGTAGTAAGTGCTATTTTCATAATAGTATTAATACCTACTTGAGTAGATTTCATGTCACTATTACTAGGTTATTTGTCTTTAAATAATGAAGTTTTACGTATATTTCATGAACAGACTTCAAATTGAATCTGCATAGGTATTCTGTAAGATGCAATCTCATTTATTCAGATTTCTGACAAATGTCAAATATCTAATAGTGGCTGCTTTCACAGCTACAGACATAGCGACATTTTGCCGTGTAATGGGTAATCGTAATGCATATCAAACTTATGTCTAAAATGGCAGCTACCGAAATCTGAAGTGAGATTTTATTTTGCAGAATCGGCCTGCTGCTCATGAAATATAGTGATATTAGCGTAAAGGTGCGTTCAGACTACGCTATACTATTGTAGCATATTGCTTATAGCTCAAAACACGACAATACCGCGCACAATATATTTAACATGTTCACACCACGCTATACTATATTGTATGGGCTTGCTAAACGCACTATACTATAAATCGCAATAGCATAGCGTAGTCTGAAATTTCTTGGCATTATGTCAAATGATTCTATAAAATTTAATAGTACTAACAAGACTAAATTTAAATGCAGTCCGGCATATTAAAATCGTCAGTGAAAAAGTAAAATCGCCTAAACGCCACTTTAGTAACTTTACAGAAACAAGGATCAAAGTTATTTCACAAAAATAAACATTGCTCTTTGTAAAGGAGAGTAGAGCAGCACCATACAAATAAAACCGTATTCATAAAATACTATTTTCTAAATATCCCCCTATTAAAAAGTTACATAGTGCCCTTACTTTACGAACTAGATGTCGCTTAAGCGAAGAACACTCGGCCCGCCATACCTTTTTTTTTAAGCATACATCAAATCATACGCCAAATAGTAGGACGTAAGCACCATTGGTTCAAAAAACACCAAAATTTATGTTGCTTCAGCGTTTTGAACAATAAAATCTTTTAAAAAATGTGACTTAAGCGCCAAAAAAGTACTAAGATCTTCACAAAACATAAACAGATCGACGCAGAAAAAAAACTGGTTACAAAGTGATTAATAATATTATATCTCTTATCTATTAGACAAGTCCGTCTGTCTGTGGTGCTGTTTCAGCGGCCTAACCGTAAGAGATAGATAAAGAGAATATTTAAGTTATAAGTTAAGAATAGTCTGATAAGACTACAAACCGGATGTGAGTAACGTAGCACTTCCGGTTTTCGAGAAATCAGGTTTTGGTGAACATTTGGTTCACTGGTTTGCTAGTATATATATAACTCATTTTCGACCAAAGTGGCGTATAAGCGATTTTGTCTTTCCAGTGTCTAAATATTACTTACTAGAAATAGACTTTAAGATATCTTTTACTTATAAATCCTGCAGTGCTTTACTGTAACTGTAACTGTATAAATTTCAAATCACACCGACGAATTTCGCGGTGAAAAGTGAGTTTGTTGTTACTGAACAGCACTGCTGGTACAAGGGCCTTGTTGAAATATTCTAGTAAAACTTATTCTTGAACAGAGAAACATAATGTTATAATGGTAGTTTATTTTTTACTCTTTAAATAATAAAACTATTTTGATATTTTTTTGTAAGTACTTGCTGTGATTTAATGAATACTTAAAAAATAACGTTATGACTAATAATAAGGAACGAATTAATTTTATAAGTTCAGCTTGTTCAATATACCTACCTATCAGTAAAATATATAATATACATATTTTGTTCAATTTATTGTGTTTTAGGTTTATAAAACTTATTTCAGGCACCAGTCCTTCACAAACTTAGATTCACTATATAAATATAAAGCCTAATGTAATATTATGTAACAGATTGTGAAGTGAACAATAAATACTTAATTATTTCAAGTGCTTACGGCTTAGCGTCATAGCACACAGCAACTCGGAAAGAGATTGTTACCGGCTCGTCTTTGGGCTTGCCGTCAAACAGTTCGTTCGGATTGGCTACGGCTAGACGACGCTGCCACCGCAGCGCTTACGGCGTGCTGACCGCTGGTTGACGGCGACGGCTTCACAAGGCTAGTACAGGTCGCGGCATGTAATCTAGCGCTGAAAAAAACGCGGAAGGGTTTTTTTTATGTTATAGGTGGCATACGAGCAGATGGCTCACCTGATGGTAAGTGATCACCGTCGCCCATGGATACTTGCAACACCAGGAGTATCACAAATGCGATGCCGGCCTTTAAGGCCTTTAAGTTAACTGCACATGGGTACGACTGGAGAGCCAATCGGCACAACGCATGCCCACCCGTGCACCTCGATTCCCCCCCAAGACATCTTAATTTTTACTTCTGCGCAATAACGGTCAGCGCTAGAGTTTCGTGCCGCGACTTATAACCACATGGACAGCACGGAAACGCAGGCGGAGGGCGGGGCGTTAACGAAGAGACGTAAACTAGGGTATGGAGCTACGGAGAGACGTAAGCTAGGCTACGGAGAGACGTAAGCTAGACTACGGAGACACGTAAGCTAGGCTACGGAGACACGTAAGCTAGACTACGAAGAGACATAAGCTAGGCTACGGAGAGACGTAAGCTAGGCTACGAAGAGACGTTAGCTAGGCTACGGAAGGGCGTAAGCTAGGTTACGTACAGTGGACCACGCACGTTCGGGAGTTGATTTCGATTCAAATTAGTGTGCACGGCAGTGTGGTGTAAGAATACTGAACGGCTGGCTTTGATACGGTGACGATCCCTTTCCGAGTTGATATGTCTGCTACGACCATAAGAGCAAGGGCACATGGAGCCACGAAACATGACCACTAGACGTAGCTACCAATCGAAGTCGCAATTGGCGTAGTGGCAGACGCCACTCACGGCCACTAGTGGCTTCAATTGGTGGCTAAGTCTAGTGGCATGACTGAGCCACTAGTAGTCGCGTTTAGTGGTCGCGATTTTTGGCTCAATGAGCGCTTTCTCTTGGTATAAATATTACAACGAAAATTTGTCGATGCTACTCAGATTGTCACGAAGCAATTTAACTGTAAAATTGAACTAAAAATAAGGTAATAGTATAAAAAAAAATAAAAAAAAAAAAAAAAAAAGCTATCATGAAAATGATAAGCAGGTATTGCAACTTGGAGTGATCTTGTTATTACGTTGATAAAATAAGAATATTTGTCGTTTATTTTTCAAATAACACTTATACATATTTCATATTTTTTATTATTTAATTAAAATACATTGTTGCTAGAAAATTTTATTTTTTTATTGTACTACCCTTTTTCGCGATCACTTTTGAGATAACTTATCATAGTAACAAATACGTTGAATATTGATTTACATGACACATTTAGATATCAAGGCCGAGGGTCTAAGGGCCTTCCAAAAAAGTACCGTAGTAGTTAGAATGTATAAAAACTTAGGCATTGAATCAATAGTGCTATTCAATAAGATAAAATTCACTTTCAATCTCAGAATCCACGGTGTGATAAAATTAGAAGGAACATAAAGTTCAAATCACACCGGCGCATTCCGCGGTGAAAATTGACTTTGTTCTTACTGAATACCACTGCTGTTGAGTTGTTGCTGCTGAGTGTCTTAGGTCTTTTTAAAGCATTCAAACCACGAACTTAGACCTATTTGAAGTAGGTAACTGATATTGGGCTAGCTTGATAATATAATTTTATATAAAATGTATTTATTTATCTATTACATGAAAAGTCTGTATAACAGTAAAATTCTATTTTATATGAATAAGAATGTAATACTACAAATTATAACAATTAGAACAGAAACAACAAGTATATTTATCAAAGTGTTTTTTTCGCTTCAGAGTTTTCCTAACTGCCCTTATAAAATGCAATTAAGTAGTTAGACAAAGAAGATGTTTAAATTCCATTTTTATCGACCCCGATAACATATTCAGTCTGATCCACTTTTTCTAGTATGCCTTTCATTTATACATTTTGACATTAACTGGAAAGCTCAATAAAAGAGAATTTAGTATTGTCACATTCAGATTTTTGTTGGAGCTAGAGAAGAATTTTTTTTCTGTACTACTTTTTGAAAATTTCATCATAATATTAACAGGAAAAACAATTTTGTTTTGCTAAAAAATGTCAGATGGACTGGAAGTGTGTCTGAAACTTTAGAGCATATACCAGCGAAAGTAAAAAGAAGAACGCATCAGTTGATAACTTAAAATAAGTTATCAAGTTACTTAAAATAAGTTATCAACTGATGCGTTCTTGCATGTGCAGATAGTAAATGACTACAAGGAGAATACCTATATTCGGAATGTGTTGTTGTCAGTTAGTCTGACAATAACTATAACCTCAGGGGATATAATTAAAATATCATTAGTGCGTCAATGGCGGCGAAAAGATAAATTATGATTCAAGTTTAAATTTGACATTTTAATATATTATCTAGGAAGATTAGATAGTGTAAATAAAAAAAAATACTATGGTAACCTAGGTGTATTATTAAAAATTAGCAATGTCATGATGATTTAGCAATCATTAAGTGTTTGTATCATTTAAAATTCAAATTCAATATAGGCTATTACAAGCACTTGTGAAAGCCTTCAGATTCAGTTTACAAATCTAAAGACCCAGATAGACCTTTCAGGACCGCTCCGCCCCTATGTTCGAAATGGTATTTTTTTTTAATTTTTTGAAAAGGTTTTTTTTTCATGAAGCCTGTGTGCACTAGGCTCCATGAAAAAAATTACCCTCTTTTTGAAGTGAAACTTCTTGACGCACGCATGACTTGGGGGGTAAGCTGGTGAATGCGTTACGCGTTACGAAAAGTGTGTTCGAGCGAGGCGAACGAGAATTGAGTAGGGGATATAAGCAAGGGATATAAGCTCTCTTTCTCTTATGGCTAGTAAATGAAATATGTATGTACGAAGTAATCGTACAATAAATCAATCACTTAGCAATAACCTAATTTTAATGCTTACCGTGCGTTTGCATACGCCGCGCCGCTACCATTATTACTTTAAACTTAACAATAAATCAGTGCATTTTCAACTATCACTCTAACCTTCATTTTATTTCGTCTTCCCTAGCATACGACCTTAGCATACAGTATCTTCAGCATAGCATAACCGAGCATAGCATTCAAGTGTAAGGGTTACACCCTACAATGTATATGTACATACATGTATATATTGTATACACACACGAAGTTGTCCAATTTTTTTACATGAAAAATATACATACACATAATTTTCATCAACAAAGTTTTTTCATACATGAGTTTATAAAGAAGCGATGAATACTTAAATAAATACTTAAATGCGTACATACCAATGACAGTAAATACTTACAGTAACTTTTGGACCCATGAAAATTCAATATCGTTTATTCAGTCTAGGCTGTTACAAGCACTTGTGAATGTCGAAAAGCTACACCATCGGTTCGCAAATCTACGGCGGGAGACCTTGTACTGAGAAGAACCGGCAAGAAACTCAGCAAGGGCTGTTTTTATACAGAGTATACAGAGTCGTCAAATTGAAAAATGACTTCAATATGAGGTAACTCATAAATGTGCCTTTACTGACTCTACCATGAACTTTTTGCCGTGATTCAAAAGCAGCGGTTAAGGCGGGACGCTGCTCTACATACGTAGCGCTATCCTGCTCTATCAGGTTAGTTACGAGTATTTCCTTACATTTCCGCAGAATCAGTCAGTTTACGTTAAAACATTGTTTTTATAGATTGTGTCCACTACGATTGTGATAGTAACTTGTTTGCGATAATATTATGATAACGACTTTTATATAAAAAGCAGACATAATTTCGCTTTCGTTGAAATCAGTGCAGTGCCGCATATTCGTATGTTACGGATGTGTTCAGTTATTTATCTAATTTTGAAATAGATAAAGAATGGAAGACAAGATGCTTAAAGAGGTTTGTTTTTACACTTTTTTAAGAAAAAAAAATTTTTTTATGATGCAAATCAGAAAGAATTTCATCGGTCGATACTGATAAATTAATATTGTTGCAGTGTATGTAATAAGATGCCGCTTGGTACAAAAATAACAATTAAATACAAAAAAAGAACTTTCATTAATTACTAAGGCTCTGCTATCCCACCTTCCATTAATCAACTATTTGTACCTATCGATTTCCAGAACTATAAAAACAGGCTGTTGAAATTTACAGCATAAAAAAGAAAAGTCAAAAGCTTTCTTCATGATATTTTAAAAGAACTTAAAATTAAAATGAATTTACATACTTTCCTTTACCCGAAATAATTTAATATGTAATTATTGGTAACTGAAGATCGCATCGCACATCTCTTCTGTGTAAAAGTCTTGCATCGCCATCTTTTCTGGCTAAAGGTTTTGAGGTCGAATCCCGGTAGGGGAATTAGTTTGTGTGATGAGGAGTGTATGTTACCTAATCATGGTTGTTTTATTATTCTAATACTTATAAATGGATACATTTAAAAGTATGCGTTTTTAAGTTTCCATAGTGCCTGCACGTACTGCAGTTTTTTTTTTTAGTGTAGACTACTGTGTACTAGGGTACCAAACCGCATAGGTTTGGTCGCAGATGACCTTTACAGCGTGACCTATACAAAGTCCCTAGTTCCTGTTAGATCTCCAAACGGGGGTCATAAGGGCCCTAAGGGGACCTCAAGCCGAGAATTGGCTAGTACCCTAGAGGTATTCCAGGCGAATGGCATCTCCCCACGGGGGAAGTCTCCTTTCCGTCTGGAGCCTCTAGACCATTCGAACCTGAGGGGGTTCGAACCTGAGGGGGTACGTCCTACAGTGCTATTCTGTAAGAAAAAACTCACTTTTCATCGCAGAGTTAAAGAGTCAAGAAACGTCTTAAAGACTATTATAGTCAATACAATCATTCTGGTTCCTTATTGTGCACAAAATCAGTTTCACGTTTTCTTGAATGATTTCACAATACAACACGTGTTCGTTCATTTTGATAACGGCATCCATCAGATATCCAAATATTATATATATGATAATAGGAAATTATAATGATAACGTTGCTTCCGTAACTACAAATCTAATAGTTCGATACAAGTAGACCTTCGCTTTTTTTCATTAAAAGTACTTTTATTTATCATCTATTAGATAATATTCTCGTTTCACAGTGTTTGAAACAAAACTCCTCCGAATGATGATTCTTATGAATTGTGTGTATATTCAATAGTTCTGAGAATAGGACGTACCTAAACTATTTTTCATACCCCTAAATGATAAGGGTGGTTCACCCCAATTTTTTGGGACCATTTTTTATGATTGGGCATTAAAAAAATATTCAACCCTAAATTTTCACCCTTCTGCCTCCAAGCTCTATTTTTATGGCTGTACCAAAATCGCTGGATCAGCTATTTTTTTTTTTAATTCAGACAAGTACGTAAGTGAAAATAAGGAGTACTTTATAAATAATGAATTCGGCACGATCAATAAAACTTCATTTTTGTACTGATACTTTTATTTATTTATATTTATAATCAGGCTGAGGAGCTCGATGGCGCCAGTGGCTAGCGCGTTCAGCTGCGGTCGTTGAAGTTGAGGTGACCAAAATTTTACTATTTCGAGCTCCTCCGTGCTTCGGAAGGCACGTTAAGCCGTTGGTCCCGGTTGCATCTGCAGTCGTTAGCACCCACCAACCCGCACTGGGCCCGCGTGGTGGGTCATGGCCCAATCTCCCTAATCCATCCATAGGGAAGTCCTATGCCCCAGCAGTGGGGACATTAATAGGCTGAAGATGATGATGATGATAATCAGGCTACATAGGTGCACCTTAGAGTCTTATACAGATATAAAACAACAACAAACAAAATTTTTTAGATCAGTTTTGTTACGAGGTGTATCTCAAAATCGAAACTAGTTAAGAATGGTAAATTTTATTATATGATGTCCAATATTATGTTGTATTTAAGCAACAAATACTGAAAACGCTGCTGAATAAAATGTACTTTGTAAATTGTGACGAAAACAAACAAATGATTTTTCCTTACGCGATAAATAAATAAATGTCTAGTTTTCTCGATATTAATAATGGCATCCCTTGAAATATTTACATAATACACACATCAAAAGTGTCTAGGGATCAACATATATTTTTGCAATAACTTTTCTCCTGATTGATATTAATTAAAATTTTCTTTAAGGATTCATCAAATAAAGTGTTTTCGTTTGTCACAGTAACGATAAACCAAGTCACCTTTGCATTAATAAAGAAATTTGCCATTTTCCTAATAAAGGGATTTTTGACATTTGAACCACTAACACAAAAGTTCGAAAAAAAGACTGAAATAACAGTTTTCTCTAAAATTTTATTGGGTTACTTAAACAATTAATAATCCGTATTTCTACCGCGAACACTAACAACACAAGAACATCGGTTTGGCATACTCAAAATGAGTTCATCCAAATCACGCTGTGGAATGGCCGCCCATGTTCGTTGCAACAACAAAAAAAGGTCTTCTTGCGACTGGATACCCTCCATATTCGGCAGAGCTCTTCTCTGTAGCATATCCCATGCATGCTCAATCGGGTTCAAGTCTGGCGACTGAGCAGGCCAGGGCAGGACATTGATGTTAGCTGCGGCGAGAGTCTGTCTTACAACTCTTGCGGTGTGCGGTCGTGCATTATCATGCATTAACTGAAATAAGGGACCGATTTGCACTTGTAGAGGAACGATGACGTCTGATACAATCGTCTCAGCATAAATTTGAGCGTTGAGGTTGCCTCTGATCCAAATCAACTCAGTTCTTCCGCCGATCCAAATACCCGCCCATACCATGATGGTTCCACCACTATAAGGATGGACTTCCTGGCAGGATTTTAATCGCTGTTGGCGTCCAGGGGTTCTCCAGTGTCGTATACGTCTTGTATCCGGTCTCATACCAAAACGAGACTCATCAGAAAAGCACACGAAACGCCATTGTTCTTCTGCCCAATTTCTGTGTTCAAGAGCCCATTGATATCGAATCCTACGATTGTGCATTGCTATAGGTGGTACCCGTAGCGGTCTTCGGGAATGAAGGTTCACTTCATGCAAGCGGTTTCTGACTGTTTGGTCGCTAATTAAGTTCCCTGAAGAGTGATGAAGCCTCACGGCTAACATCATGGCGGTTATTGTTGGAGCTCTTCGAGTTAAGATTTGAATGTATCGGTCTTGTCTCCGTGTGGTGCAGCGATACCGTCCTCCATGGCGCTCAGCCACGGTCACCAGTGCTTCGGTATCGTGTCCAAAGTCGACTGATAACACTCTGACTTGTATTCAGAGCTAAAGCCACAGTACGTTGCCGGGAACCAGCTTCTATCATTCCCACGGCTCTGAGCATTTCTTCCCTGCTTAAATGACGTCGCCGCTCCATAATAACGTTGGTTTTAATCAGTAGTAGGGAAACAGTAGCACTAATAATGTCTTCAATGCGTTGTATGTTTTTATAGGGAAAATATTGACAGCTGATTTTCATCTTTTACTCGAATTTGATTCACAGTTCCTGATTCAAATTATGAAATGCACCAAAAAGGATCCATATAAATTTATAAAATCATAAATTTATTACAAAGCCACATCTCAATCTCAAGAAATCCGCATAAAAATGCTTGATCCCTAGACACTTTTGATGTGTGTATTAATATGTGCGTTCACTTTAAAAATAAATAACTAAATTTATATAAAGTAAATATTTCCATATAGCAGACGTAATATTTTGCCATTTTTTGCTCGACATTAAAATATAGTGTCTAATGTTATATAGATAGACGGAACCCTCCGACTCGCACTTAGCTAGTTTTTTAGGAATATTTCCCGCAAGTAGAAGGGAGAGAAAGAGTGAAATCAACAATGCTATTTCACCCTTCGCAAACAAATAAAATCCTACCATAAATAGAAGCCCATTTTAGTTTAAAATTTTAATTTATTAATGTTTGATAGTGGTGTACAATCTGGCATGATTTTCCAAACCTAAAATAAAATTTGACAACAGTGTATCCTTGTCATTCTCTATACAGGATGAAAAGGAGAGACTGATGTTAAATTTCGTTTTAAGTTAAGCGAGTCATGCACCAGAATTGACACCAGTGTCACTCTTAAGAAACACTCTTAGAGAAGATGGGTGTATAGGGTATGTCACGAGTTGTTTTTATAATTATCGTAAAGAAACTGACTAATCGACTTTTATCAATCTTTAAAGTTAGTGTAGGCACAGATGAGGTAGTTACTGGGGAGTTGGGTATGTTGGGATTCTCCAATCTCTCAAGAGCGTCCGTTAAAGATCATTAAATAAATACTACTTAGGGTTGGATATTGTGACACATATTAAACGATTTGTGTATCGTCATGTTCGTTTGTTTAGGAAGTTTTTTGGCGGGTATCTCGACATCATGGAAATGTCGAGACCCTAGATCTACTAAGAGCGACCCTGCATCAGGCATCGGTCGCTCTTAGTAGATCTAGGGTCAATTCCTAGAAGATCTAGGGTCAATTCTTAGTAGATCTAGGGTCAATTCTTAGTAGATCTAGGGCTCAGTTCCTTAGCTTACAATGAGCGGTTAAGTAAAGGTCAGATCTGAGGTCATTCATAAAATTTTTATTACGGTTTTTTACGACCTGAAATTGATCCATTTAAATAATTTAAGTACTTAAGTTTTTTTTTGTTGCTCGGGGAAGTGAACGTTACGCATACTCTGATATTTAATCTTATTAAGTTAATTTTATGAATCTCATATCACAGCACATCATCATGTACTACCCTACTCAATTACCTATGACCATCACGATTTATCAAAAAATATGAAAGTTCAACTTTATTAGCTTTATGCTTTATAATTAATCTAATTGAGTTTAAACAAAAGTCTAATTTCTTATTTAGCAATAAAACAAATGTACTTTAACCATGACGTTTAAGATAAGACAAAAAAATATCTTTAAAGTCAGTACACGACGCGACAATTTCGGAATGCGATGCGGAACATACAGAGATGAGGATTTCCTTGAATTCGTTTCGTCTTGAATTTCAAGTAGTTCATAGTTAAGTCCGAGTCATAACGCTGCATGGTGAGTTCCTTTCCGTACCATCTGTGCGTACCTACATTAGGGACAAAGTATTTATTTCTAAAATAAAAAAATTAAGCCAAATGTTAAAGACTAGCTTTAATTTTAAGAGCCTGCGCTGCGTCAACCAGGAGAACGGCGCGGACGTTCCACATTGTTTTTTTTTGGCACAAAAAATATCATGTCAGTATGACTAACCATTATTCTAAACTATTAAAACAGTAATTCCTCCGGTCCAGGCCCGAATGGACATCCTTCAGCAGTTTGGGTAAGCCCCTGCTGAGGTAAAGTGGCGCCATGGATCTGAAACGGCTCCATGGTGCCCCACCCTCGTTTCTCCAGGTTACATGTAAGGCACGGCGTTTTAGTATAAACTTAACTAGGTTGGATCTCATCCCGCACTACGTTCGACCATTGATCGAAAAATCCTCTTTAAAAGGCCAAGATTTTATTGTAATTGTAAATAAATGTATGTCTCAATAAAATTAAATGAATTAAGGTCAAATAAAGTGCCAACCTTAAAACATTAAAATTTCAAATTTTATTTCGTCTAACAACTGCAATAATGCGATTTGGTATTTTTATGAGTGACAGACCTTATTATAAATTATTATTCTGTGATAGTCAAGGGTCGCACTTTTTTTTTACTTCGTAAACATACCTGGATTAAAAAAAAAATAATTGCTAAACGCGCGCCATGATTTGTTCTTTTAGACCATATTTATCTCAAATAAATATCTTTGTCGGTAACGTTTAAGGCAGCGCAGGCTCTAAAAACGTACCTACATACTTTTGTTAAATATAGTTTATTGATAGGGGGCTGCCCGATACGGAACCTTAAAATTACACTGGCGAAGAATATGTAAATAAGTAAGAACTGTTAACTTGCTTAATCAGTTCGGAAGTAAACCGTGTCAATGAAAACAAGTGATAAAAAAAACCTCAGGAAGTTCACCTTTTTCTCACGCGCCATCATAAAAAAAAACGTATTGTGATACTTACGATGAAAATTTATCTGAATAGGACAATGAACTTTTGAACAATGTCCTTTGTAAAAAAAGTTATTTCTGTTGAATGTAAGTTGTTGATCGCAGATTACTTCTACAGCATCACTGGGATTCGAACGCAACGTCGTGATTCTAAAGCGAACTCAAACCGGGAAACGGCCAATGTTTGTGGTTTTTTTTAGTTCGCTCTGCCGTAGAGAACTAAAACTTATCTCATAGTACCTCTTGCCGGAAAAGACTTTTCTTTTTAAAAGCTTACACATCGGAAGGAAGGATTTATTACCCCTTAGAAGGGGATGATGCATGCAGCGTTGTCCATAATTGATGCGTTATTATGTATTTCACTACGTCTACTTGCCGCAAATTGTTAAATCTTTATTTCAATAAACCTAGATTTAGCCCAAACACATATGTCTCATTTTTAAATCTAGCTTTAGCATTTTCATATTTTTATCGCATTCATAATTTTGGTAAAATCGAGATTTAGCTTCTCTGTAAAGAGGTTGGGCGTATCAGATTTTTCGCTTTAACTAAAGTAGGGGAATTCGGTCCGTCATCCTTCGAACCGATGCTGGGAGGACTGCATCGACCCACCGGCCAGGGAGCCCGTAGAAGCGGCTGTCCCGCTGGCCGCCCGTGGCACAGTACAGGGGCCCGAACGTTCTTAACCTGTTTGCGATGCTGCCTCATCATGCCACGCATAATCTCGGGGCGTGGGGTCCCGGTAGCCCACCCTCCCGCGAGAGTGGCAGGGGCCCTTCCGTCAGCTGTCACCTCAGTGGTGTGTAAAATCTTAGAAAGGGCCCTTAACGTCCATCTGACCCGCTGAATAGAACCTCTGATTCACGATCGTCAATACGGAATTACACCGAATCGATCGATGGGTGACCTTCTAGCGTACGTGAAACACATCTGGGGTGAAGCTATAGACAAGCAGGAAGTGTCTCTGGCTATCAGCCTTGACTTTGACAGGGTCTGGCACAAAAGCCTTCTCTCCAAGCTTCCTGCATACGGTCTGTCTGCTCAGTTCTGCACCTGGGTAACTGACTTCCTGCATGAGCGTAGAATTCACGTCCTTACTGTCGGATGTAGTTTGCAGTTCATGTCAGTGAATGCCGGTGTTCCTCAGGGCTCCGTTCTATCTTGCACACTCGTTCTGCTGTATATCAATAATTTGATTAATCTTGGGAACATTTATTGCTATGCAGACGATACTACAGCCTGCGAGATACTTTGGACACGCACCGGCTAGACGGGTAGAAACCAAGGAGAAACGGGAGCATCTTGTCGCTGAACTCAATCTGGCTTTGGACCACATTTCTGAATGGGGTACTTGGAACTTAGTAGAGTTCAATGCCGAGAAAACCCAGGTTTGCGCTTTCACGGCAAAAACATCACCATTCCTTCCCCTTCCCTCTCTTCAGGAAACAACACTGGCGCTACAGAGCAACATCGCCATGCTCGGTATGGAAGTTCTCTCAGACCTGAACCCAAAGGACTACATCGAAAACAGTTTAGATGTAGTCCTTTGGGTTCAGGGGTTGGGTTTTGATCACAGGATCAAAACAGCTTCACGCAAACTCGGAGTGCTGAACAAGGTACGGCGTTTTTTCACGCCTGATCAACAGTGCTTGTTGTATATAACGCAAGTGCGGTCCTGCGTGGAATATTGCTCACACCTCTCGGATGGCTCCACTAAGTTCTTACTCGATGCCTTGGATAGGTTGCAGTGGCGCGCTGCCCGCATCATTGGCAATGAAGAGGTAACTAACAAACTCGAGTCTCTACAATTACGCCGCAATGTGGCATCATTAGCGCATTCTACCGACTTTACCACGGCAAGTGTTATGAGGAGTTATTCTCCCTTATCTCTCCATCGCCTTTTCTTCAGAGGACCACGCATGCTGGCCTACGTTGCCACCGACTTACTGTGGCCACTATTCCTACACGAACAAAGAAATTTGGTGACTCATCTCTTTGTCGTACTATTCGTAAGTGGAATTCTTTGCCCGCGCACGTTTCCCTCCTTCCTACAATCTGAGGTCCTATATGAGAGGTGTGAAGAAGCATTTTTGCAGGCCGGCAAAGTGAGGATGGCTGGTGTGGCAGTTTATAACTGCTGTACCAGCTATCTTCGCGTTTGGACTCTTTCATCACTTAACATCAGGTGGGGCAAAGTTATTTGCCTTATGGCTATAAAAAACAAAAGGCATAGTGGTTGGTGCATCCGCTCGGAAAGCGGAAGTATCCAGCCTGACATATGGACCGAAAGGATATTTTTAGTAAACTTCTTTCTTTTTCAGGAATCCAAGCAGCTGAACGGCGATGCTCCCAACCAGGCCGACAGCGACATCATGGAGAGGATAATCACAGAGGTGGGCGAGATGGGCACGTACCAGAAGCTGCTATTCGCGAGTCTGATGCCATTCTTCTTCTGCTTCATAGCGGTGTACTGCGTGCAGATGTTCATAGCCGCTACGCCGCAGGAGCACTGGTGCAAGGTGCCAGAGCTGCAGCATTTGAATATAGATCTAAGGTAGACGATTCCTAACAAGCAAAAAGGAATCTACATATACAGTTACTGGTGGCATTCTTTCCAGCAGTGTAACCTTCTGGGCACAGCCCGTAGTACCTGGTTAGAACTTGATAGGTGCACACGGAAAGTGGCACACAACTCTGTCGTGTGACCCAGCAGCGGGATATGAATCTTGTAATTACTCTAGGTAAGAAAATGGTAAGTTGGGGTCTAAAATCAATCTTTCATCTTTCTTCATTGAGTATTGAAAATCAATCTTTGAGAGGGAGCGGTAAGCATGCCCCAACGAAATTCGCTAGAATCGTGGGATCAAGATTTAATGTAAAAATAAATATTACTATTTGTGACACAGGTTGCCAGAATTTTACGAGGTATGATATTTCTTATTCTTTTGCAACTTCAGCACTTTGCAATCTATAGACTCTTGTCATTGATGTTATTTTGGTTAGCTACTGCTATTGGTTTAATTTAAATATAAACCAATAAATTATGGTTTCATCCAAACTAGGTAGAACTTAATGTTTTAAAATTTTCAAGCTTTAATTTTTGTGCTTATTCTTTCTCTAATAAATTATAACTTTTTCTGTTTCTTTAATTCCTTAATCTTCATTTTATCTATGAAATTGCGTACATTCCTCAGACGGAACCTGTCAATCCCTGGAGCGACACAAGGTCGAGACTGGGACCGCTGCCGGGTATACGACGCCAACTGGACTCGAGTGCTGGAGACGATGAGTCCACCGGACACCAACGACACCAAGCCCTGCGAGCACGGCTGGGAGTTCCTTTACAACGACATACCCTACACGACTGTCGTTAGCGAGGTGAGTCACGCATACGCATAGAGAATGGCGCTGAGTGAATATGAAACTGAGCAAATATGAGAGAGTAACGAAGTGATCGGCTGGCCCAAAATTAACTGTTTTTTCTCGCTTTCTAGAGTAATGTCAATTTCATGGTAGTGTCGCTTCGTCCATTTTTACCTAAGTCCATTGGCCATTCTCTATAACTAAGGTGGAACAACACGGAATAGACGAATAGAAGTTACATTTCACACAAAGGCGCAAGGAAATCATAACGCACATTAGGTATATTTGAGACGCAAGTGAGGTGCGCCGGTATTCGATTTGGAGCGCTCTTCTGGTTACTTCACGAGCATGCAACGATCCATTTAAAATAATAGATCGATGCATGCATGAACGTTTGTTACGTAAAGCTTTAAATGAGTTACGGGAGCCTAAAAAAGGAAAAGCGCAAATGTCTCTCCTCATCCTGTCATTCGGAAATCGGGACATCCTTAGTGGATTCAAATAAAAAGCATCCTTGTCTTAAAAGAGCATGAGTATGTGCTTAGCATGAGACGAACTCTTTTGACTGTTATAATGTTTTGTTGGCAGCGTGAATGGGTGTGCGACCGCGCTGGTAACGCCCCGTTAGCGCAGAGTATATTCTTCGTGGGCTCGCTCATCGGCTGCGCTCTCTTCGGCTGGATGGGAGACAAGTATGGAAGACTGCCTACTCTCATAGGTATGTATGTATGATTAGATAAAAAGTAAAAAGGAATTTGCCATCTACTACTCTCTATTAGACGATTGAGTTATAATGCACGGTTTCTGGTCGTGGTCGAATCGAGGTTAATGTCTTTTGCTCGACCTACCTAAATTCATAGACACATGATCCAATAGAAAACAAATAGTGTCAGTAGTCAATATTTACCTATTTTAGAATAAAATTATTAATCTCTGTCTGGCATTTTTTTCCAGCTTCCTATATGATCGGGGGCGTGGGCGGTTTGCTGACTTTGTTCACGCAAGGATTTTGGGATTTCAGCATTGCACGGTTCCTGGTGGGTTTAGCTAATGACAGCTGCGTAGCCATGATAAGTTTTATTGGTGAGTAGTGGTGTTAGAAAAAAACAAAAAAGGTAAAAAAACAAGTTAAAAAATGTATCTAAAATTTAGGTACTAAGTAAATTTAACCATTAAAAAACGCGCTAAGTACACTACCTCAGAGGTGGCGTAGAAATGTGTGCATATTATGACGCTTACAACTTTTTACAACATCGCTATATCTCAGGAACGGTGGCTATTTAGTTTATAAATATGATATAGAGGTAAAGTTAGCCCCCGTATTTCTCTGTTCAGGTGGGTTGTTAAGTAACCATAATTACATCACATTCAACAATACGTGTGTATCACATATTCATTGACGTGTAGCTGGTGTATTTGTCAGTGTTGGAGTACGTGGGCTCGAAGCACCGCACGTGGGTGCTGAATATGTCGTTAGCTGCGTTCGCGGGCGGTGGGGCGGTGTTACTGGTAGGGCTGGCGCTGTGGCTGCACAACTGGCGGCATCTAGTGCTGGTCACCTCGCTGCCTATGATGGCCGTGCTAGCCACGCCTTTCTTCATACCGGAGAGCGCCAGGTAACAATGAAATACGTTAGGATGTTGCTATCTTTTCGTGTCTGGAATAGACCATAGACCTTCCCACTCCTACTCATCTTTCTTTGTGTTTCTATCGTACCCATGCTCGCCGTTCTGGCCATTAGATACTTCTTACTGGATAGTACCAGGTATGTAGTGACGTGGTAGCTAGTATGTATGTTAGTGCTGAACATGTCATTAGCGACGGACTAGCGCTGTGGATGCGCGACTGGCGGCATGTGGTGTTGCTCACCTCGCTGGCCATGCTGGCCGTGCTTACGTCGCCTTTCTTCATACCGGAGAATGCCAGGTATGTAATGACGTCTAGCTAGTGGCGCAGTGTTACTGGTGGGGCTGGCGCTATGGCTGCGCAACTGTCCGGGTTCAGGACTCCAAAATGTGGGGTTTTCCCGCGTCTTGTTCTAGTTGCCAAATTTTAGAGATGGCAAACCTATTGCCAGGTAACACAATACTTCTACGACCTACGTGATGGAGTGGTATGTACACCGGGTTTCAAGTTGTCGCCTACTCTGAGGCCCTGGATCGAACCCCGGGAGGGGCAAATGTTAACAAAGAGAGAGGAACTTCTTAGCAATCCATGGATTCCCGTGGGGCTGCATCGTGTGGTTTAAGGTGGCCCCCTTTGAGATGCGCATCAATGTTCGCTTCTCGATTTGCCCTCCCTTCCTACCCAAATTTGATAGGAGCCTTTAGTGTAGTCTTAGGTACCCGTTCCAAAATTGAACTTACTGCAGTTGTCGACAGGGTGCCGATATTATGAGATTTAGCTGGTAATACCTCTCACTCCTACTTCTACCGCCTTCGATCAAAAATTTCTAAGTCTACTGCATATAAATTAACTAGATAGCCATTTTTAGTTAGTTCGTTGGTAAGATCGTAATATTTATTCAATTTTGTTGTGTGGTCTTTTGGAATATTAGTTTCCCACGGTACAGTGAGCTCTATTATTTAGTACTTTGTGTTTTATTGCAAAATTATTAAGGTACTCTTATTAACAAACGTATCACTCAAGTGCCATTTTAATTCAATGAACTGAGACAAAACATCGAGTAACTAAATCCAAGCTTATTTATTCTTCGTTTATTAATAACGGGGTTTTGTCTTTAGTGGTATTTTATTGGCGACACCTACATGCTTCATTCAAATGTATTTTATTATTTTAAAAATGTTACAGATGGTTAGCTTCTAAGGGCAAAGTAGACAAAGCTGTAAAAGTTTTGAGGAAATTCGAAAGAATTAACAAGAAGAAAATATCAGAGGAGGCGCTCGACCAGTTTATTGTAAGTACGAATACATCAACCTTTCACAGCGTTTATTGCATTATTAAAAACATTATTTTTTACCAACCTAGTGTTTCCCTAACTGGACGTCTATTTGGCACAGCTATTTGTTTCAACTTTTCCCCTGTAATAACATTTCTGATAAAATTACAAAAATAGTCGGTTCAAGCTGTTAACTTCCTTTAAGAAGACTGTTAAATAACTATTACAAAATTATAAACTAGATAGGTCCCTACTAATACTTTATATTATTACTGACAGTTTTCTTCCAAATCAACGACTGCTGGGCCCGAATCCATGAAGGATCTATTCAAGAATCCCCTCCTGCGCAACAACTTGTTGATCCTGATCGTGGTAGGCATGATTGCCAACTTAGGCTTCGATGCCACCTTGAGGCTCTCTGAGGACATCGGCACCAACTTCTTCCTGACCTTCGCCCTGTCTTCAGCTGCGGAGATACCCGCTCTAGTGCTGGTTACATTCACTCTTGACAGGTGCGTGTTTACATTAATTTAGGTTACAGGTTACATTAAATTTATTTAAGGATCGATCTATCTATAACATCAAAACAAAAGTGTCTAGGGATCAATAACATACACATATGTAAAAAAATATGTTATTAACGCTGCCGTCAACTTGGGTAATTTTCCCAAAATCGGCGAAAGGCAAAGGGGCGGCATCTTTTATTCTTTGCTATAGAAAATATCTATCACGGGGAACCTGTTATCACGGGCTTGTCACCCCAGGGAATGCGAAGGGATTTTTGTTCCAAAAAATTCCCACTCGTCACTGTAGGTGCCAGCGGGAATGACCCATAATATTTTACTATTGAAATGCTTTTTTTACAAATGCTAAGGAATAGAAGGGTAAGAGAAAAGCGAGACAGCGTAAATATTTGACGAGAGGTAGATGAAGCGTAGGGCGGACCTAGTGATAAGTATAGTCTATAATTTTCTTAGAAATAAATCATGAGTTATATTTCGTAGCAGTAACTTAATTTGTTTGTGATATATTGCAGAGTCGGACGTCGCTTTATGATAGTTAGTACACTGGGAATATCCAGTGTTCTGGCTATATTCTGCGGGTTCTCTAATTCAGGTAAATTATCCACCATTGTTCACAACTCAAGTCTCCGGTATGAGGATCATTACTAGGTCAGCAATTCAACTCAAAATCAACAGTATAATGATTTAATAAGTTTTTTAAATAATATACTTTTTCAATCACCGAAATCGGTTCATAACTAATTTTATGGTAGCCAATATCCACCGGTGGCCAAAACGTGTGACATCACAGAGCTCGATCTAGAGCTCCGTGACGTTACTGTCATCACGCGGTCAGCCGGAAATTCGTTTAGTTATTTGGTTATAACATCGTCAATATTTGTTGTAGAACAAAAATTTTACCACTGTGTTTTATGGAATCCTTAGACTCTATAAATCTGAATTCTGAAATAAATCGTTACGGACCCTCTTTCCTTTTCAAATTCCAAAAACTTTACTTTCGTGAAAGCGTGAGTTGCAATATTAGTAGGCAAGACAGCATCCCACGTCCTTACTGGTTCCGTATAATTAATGTATTTAATTTCCTTTTCTTTTAAATTAAGATAGTATTCATATTTGGTATTTGATGTATCTGAAATTTATTAATTATTGATTAAGTTATACTAGCAAACCAGTGAACCAAATGTTCACCAAAAAAAAAATGTATTTAATTAATTGAGAACTTCGGAGATTTTGTGTGGTTTCGTTTGAAATAGAAATCAAGTGATTTCTCGAAAACCGGAAGTGCTACGTTACTCACATCCGGTTTGTAGTCTTATCAGACTATTCTTAACTTATAACTTAAACATTCTCTTTATCTATCTCTTACGGTTTGGCCGCTGAAACAGCACCACGGACGGACGGACGGACTTGTATATAGATAAGAGATTTTGCATTATTTGTTTATTATAAGCACAAATAACGCACAACGTTACAATACCGCAGGGCACCTCTAGTAGTATGTATATGATGGATCCATCGTCATTGTGATGCAGGCGCAGTACAACTAGCGCTGGCGGTGCTGATGCGTCTGGCGGTGAACATGAGTATCAGCGCGCACCTGCAGCTCACCACTGAGACCGTGCCCACCGCCATGCGCGCCAGCGGCAGCGCGCTTGTGCATGTGTCCGTCTACGTCGCCATCACCGCCTCGCCGTTCATAGTGTTCTCGGTGAGTGGCTGGACACAGCATCGTCGTCAATGGTACCCAGGCGTGATACAACGCATTCGTACACGTGTCCGTCTACGTCGCCATCACTGCCTCGCCGTTCATAGTGTTCTCGGTGAGTGGCTGGACACAGCATCGTCGTCAATGGTACCCAGGCGTGATACAACGCATTCGTACACGTGTCCGTCTACGTCGCCATCACCGCCTCGCCGTTCATAGTGTTCTCGGTGAGTGGTTGGACACAGCATCGTCGTCAATGGTACCCAGGCGTGATACAACGCATTCGTACACGTGTCCGTCTACGTCGCCATCACCGCCTCGCCGTTCATAGTGTTCTCGGTGAGTGGCTAGACACAGCATCGTCGTCAATGGTACCCAGACGTGATACAGCGTGCTCGTGCACGTGTCCGTCTACGTCGCCTCACCGCCTCGCCGTTCATAGTGTTCTCGGTGAGTGGCCGGACACACCATCGTCTTCAATGGTACCCAGACGTGATACAGCGCTTTTGTGCACGTGTCCGCCTACGTCACAATCATCGCCTCGCCGTTCATAGTATTCTCGGTGAGTGGTCGAACACAGCATCGTCGTCAATGGTACCCAAACGTGATACAGCGCGTTCGTGCTCGTGTCCGTCTACGTCGCCATCACCGCCGCACCGTTCATAGTGTTATCGGTGAGTGGCCAGACACCGCATCGTCATCAATGGTACTCAGGCGTGATACAGCGCATTCGTGTACGCGTCCGTCTACGTCACCATCAGCACCTCGCCGTTCATAGTGTTCTCGGTGAGTGGTACCGGACACGGCATCGTCATCAATAGTACCCAGATGTGATACAGTGCGTTCGTGCACGTGTCCGTCTACGTCACAATCATCGCCTCGCCGTTCATAGTGTTCTTGGTGAGTGGCCGGACACAGCTGAGTGGCCGGACACAGCATCGTTGTCAATGGTACTCAGGCGTGATACAGCGATACTTTCGTGCACGTGTCTGTCTATGTCGCCGTCACCGCCTTGCCGTTCATAGTGTTCTCGATGAGTGGCCGGATGCCGGCACCATACAGGAGCGTATCTACCCTAAGGCCATGAGGGCCATGGCCCAGGACGGCTGTAAGAGATTCAAGGAGCAGCAGAAGCCATACACAGATTTGATTTGAGCATCCCACGGGCGTATTTAAAAATCTGCTGCCCCAGGCCATTTGCACCCCCTCCCCTGTCCATCAAATATAAGGAATCCTTCCATTGTGTTGGGATAGATCATAGCCGGAATGGACTGAGCGGCACTCGCATGAAATCAACAACTCTCTAGAAAGAGAAAATGTTACAATTATTAGCATAATTTTACTTTACATCTGGAAAAGGAACGCTCCATCTGTCAGTACAAACAGTTACTGTACAATTCATGCCAGGTTTTTCCTGTTCCTGACCTACTCGTTGCAACTTTAATAACCTTAATTACTCAAGTTGAAACTCCTCGAACACGTGTTGTTATAGGACAGTCTTCTACGAGAAAGATTGCCTATGTACTTCAGTAAGTGAAAATTGAGCTGGTAATCCGTTGTGCACTAAACTTTTCTTTAAGCTTTTGGGTTTTCTCTCCAGCTTACTATTACGTATTCCAGGGCCGGTTCTGGTCGCCCCTGCCGTTACTGATCATCGGCGGCCTGTGCTTCGTGGCGTCGGTGTTGTCGCTACTGCTGCCGGAGACGATGGGCCGCGCCATACCGCAGACTGTGCTCGACGCCGAGCAACTCATCATAGACGGGTCGCTGTGGAAGTAAGTCACTGACTGGGTGCCAAAGTTATTGACACTTCACGGGGTAGGTTGGGGTTGAGTATGGGGTGTGATCTGACTAAACAATGCTGATACTCTAGTGTAGCAAGCGTCTATTGCCACTCGCAAACTGAGCTCAACGCTGAACAAGTCATCATAGATAGACCGGTAAGGAAGTAATGATGGTGCAAAAATTTTACGGGGGGCTCTAGCGCAGCAATCGTCTATAGGCCGCGTCATACCGCAGACGTGCTCGACGCCGAGCAATACATTATAGCAGAATCACTATGGAATTAAGTGACGTTGCCAAAGTTATTGACACTCCACAGGTGGGGGTAGTTAAGAATCATTCTAGGGCCGGTTCTGATCATCGGCGGTCTGTGTTTCGCAGCGTCAGCAAGAAAAAAAAACCTATTATAACTAAAATTGCTAGATTTTCTTTCAAATGTTTATTACTTGTAAAGGTATTCATTTGACATTATGGGTTACTTAAAATGCGGAGAGATGGCATTGCCTTGCCTTTTCCTTGAGAAGTACTAGAGAAAATTCGACACGGCCATCGGGGCCGCGATACGCGGTAGCATAATGGTCAGTGCATTCGCCAGGATAGCGAAGGGTCCCGTCTGCTGCTTGGTCCGCGTGGTTTTTTTTCTGGTATAATTTTCTTTAATGCATTTATTGTTTCCAGGAAAAACAAGACAACCAAGCACAACATGCAATCGAACATTGAACTGGCAACAATGCTAAAGAAAAATAAGGAGTTGACATAAGCGAAAATGATTAACTAACCAAATGCTGGCAGCCGGCCGTGGAGTAGCGTGGGGTTAAATGTATGAGATGCGGTGGAGGATCTTCTTAATGTTAAAATAATGAGATTGAATATGCGGCATGAAACAAATTATAAAAGTCTGATAGTCATTAAAACATTTGTAGGTAGGTAAACAATTAATTTTCAAACTGAGTGCAATGTATTATACAGAAAATATATTATTTTGTAGGTAACAGTAAAGTATTTTTGATACCATAATTATGTGTAACATCTAACATGGATATGACAGCAAGTAATGATGTAGCGCGAGTACTTATATCAAAAGGGTTAGTGGGCAAGACTGAAAATTACGATATGTTTATTTAGAATGAAGAGCTATCCTATGGAACGTTTTATACATAGAGTCTGTGCGGAAAGAGAATGGGATTTACATTGGAGGGCGCTGTAGTGCTTTTCTACCGCATTTGTAAGGTTTTACCCCTTTTAGACATGATTAAATACAAGAAATCCCAACAACAAACAAATCCGTATCAATACAAAACTTTGACGTTTTACAGATTGCTGGGTTTGATTGCCAAATAAAACTCTTAATGTTAGTTCCGTTTTTCGCCATGCCATTCTCTTTCCGCACAGACTCTATAAGCATTGTTTATTTCAATAGCTTATTAAAGTTTTTCTAATTAGATTTTGTCTTATTTACTTATCTACATTCTCCTAACTACCACCTACTGCAAAAGAGACCGGTCTGAGAAGAGAACTCAGATCGTATAGATACTCAGTTCCGACTTAATGTTTCGCTGATTCAGCATGCGGTACAGGGCAGTATACCAATATTTATATGCCCCTTTGCGCATGCTAAATGCAGATCGACAAATCGCCATAAATGAGATGGGGCATTATATGTATGTATTTAAATCCCTAATTCCCTATTATAGTAATGTAAATATTATGTTGCAAAGCGCAAAATATGTTATTACTTATATAAGTAGCACTCAGTGCGTGCGAGGAGCCCGATGACGCAGTGGTTAGTGCATTCGGGGTTCGATATTGGAAATCAATCAACTTGCGCAATGGCCGGTTATAGAATGAGTGACCAAAAATTCTCCGCACTTTGGAAGGCTTTAAAAATATTAACATTCGCATAAGCAATGAAATCGTTACATAGCATCCACCAATGCCAACTGTCATTGCTAAATCTCTCTATTCCATCCAAAAGGAAGGTCTGTGGCCCAAAAGTGGGACGTTATAGTCTGATAATAATGATGATGCTCGAAATAAATCTCAAGTTTAACAATTGATAAATAGTTTATTAGATGATTATGAAAATAAAACTAGATTCATACAATTGGTAGGAAGACAGTTTATTATCACGTGGGCTTGAGGACGTTGATTTTCTGCTTGAAGGAGTTGATTCTCTTAAGAGTCTGCGTCATGGTCTGGGAATTTATATTCCCAATCGCCTTCAGTGGCGATCCCCGCGGGGGCGACTGGGAATAAAGGTCCATGAGGCGCTCAGAGCTGAGACGTCGCTACGTTTGGACTTGAACTTGGTGAGCAGTTCTATGGCGCAAGCGCTCAAGAGCTCCTACGCACTGTCGACAGGTTGCCGGCGACTCGGTCTTTCGGCGACCAAAACATAGGAACTAGGGCCGGAGACCAAGCCCCAGTCGCCCAGGCGCCCGACAACAAAGTGCATTAACACCTATTTAAACTATAGTAAGTTACAGTCGCCATCGACCGAGTAGCCGGCGACCAGCTGACAGTACATAATACAAAACAAAACTCTTTAATTTTACACCACAGAAAACATAAAACATGAAGTACATAAAGAATACAGTGTAATAATGGGCGGTCTTATCGCTAAGAGCGATCTCTTCCAGACAACCTTAGAATGGAGAGGACAGGAAAGAAGCTGCAGAGACGGCGGTGTAATTAACTACAAAACAATATAGAAATCATTCTAACAAATATAATCAAAATAAGTACCTACATATATAAAACAATACATACATATAATTATATACCTACAAGAATACATACATAGTCATATACATAAATATATATATAAATAAATATATACATAAATACATACATACCTATGTCTCATTCATTCAGCTAAGATCAACAAAAATGGAAGACAAGGACATATACTGAGATCTAACAAGGTTTTTGAAAATGTGGAGAGATTTTGCACGTCTTATGGAAACTGGCTCATAATGGCTCTTAGGATCTGCGTCAAGGTCTCCACAAGTCGTTTGGAACTGACGCCGCTGCATTTATACTTAAATTTCGTAAGTAGTATATGGCGCAAGTGGTTAGCGCGCGATCCTAGCAGCTAAACTATTTTCGCAATGGTCGCTTAGGATGGGTGACCGAATATTTACTATCTCGAGTTCCATCTGCAGTCCTAGGATCCGTCAATCCGCACTGGGCGACGTAGTGGGTGTGATTCATAGCATGACCCGATCTCCTTAATCCGTCCCTAGTATTAAGGCCAATTTTCAAAGGGCCTGACAAAAATCCTGACATTTCGAAAAAAGTCCGGACTTTTTAGTCACACAAGAGTTCCAGTCCTCAGAGCGTAGTTTTAAAGATCCAAGCATACATAGGGACATAGGGACAGACAGTGGGAAGCTACGATACTTTATAGTATGTAGTGATGTAATTTTATTATTCATATTCAACGTAATATAAAAATAAAACTAGTTTTTACGGGTTAATGCACGAAACTTTATTTATTTATTGACGTTTCGTACTAATAAAAAACCGGACAAAGTCCGGACTATAGTCTAAAAGTCTAATCAGGACGGATGGTAACCCTAGTCCCTAGGCAAAGTCTGTGTCGAAGCACTGGGGTCATTAATAGGCTGGTGATGATAACTGTGACATTTCATTGGAAATAAAAGACGCTCTTTACAATAAAATTGGTAAGCAGTTTATTACATGATGGTATAAATAAAACTAGATCTATACAATTGGTAGGTATTTTATTGTTCTTGTATCACCTATCAGTCTTTCAGGTGGGTTTGATGCTTAAATACATCTTGCCGTTGATGTTCTGCTTGACCGGGTTGATCCGCTTCAGGATCTGCGTCATGGTCTCCACGAGTCGTTCGGAACTGACTCCGCTCCGTTTAGACTTGAATTTAGTCAACAGTTCCGTTGTGGTCATGGGTTTACGGGCCAGGTAACGACGAACAGCTTCTTCGGTCACGCCGCATTCGCTGATAAAAGTAACACAAATTTGATTAACGTCGAAAAGGTTATACTTTTTAAGTATTGGCATAAATTAACCAGTGTCAGGTCCAGGTAAAGGAAAGGAGATTTCACGTAGCATTTTACGATCTAGTTTAAACGCTTATTCCACCTGTCTAAATTCAGACGTTCTAAATCATTCAGTAACTAATTCAGTCAAGTGAAATAGCATTTAGGAAGTTAGGATCCTAATTAGCATCCTAAATCCCAGTAACAAGCATCAAATTCCACCAAAAATCATGTATGATGGAAGTGTTCCACTTCAAAAGTTCCAAAAAACTGTTCTCAACAAATATAATTGTCTATCCTTTGACGCCGGAACTTCACTACAGTATCTCCTTTTCAATCTCTATAGAGTATGATAAGGACAACCTTCTGTCAAAACGACAAATAGCAAACACGAATAGCCATATGAAGTGCTCATAAAACTGCGCGACAGAGACTTCCGCCCAAAAATATACGTCTCCATCGAGATCATCCATCATCAAATATGATTTTTGGTGGAATTTGATGCTTGTTACTGGAAGGTTAAGGTTTATATTGTTATGGAGAAACGAAACTCAAGGAAACAAATGGCAGTCGTACAAAAGAATGTTTGTGCGACGGCTTTTTGAAAAATGCTACTAAAAAATCATGCCTTAATATTTAACTTTGACATTTTCAAATTTCGCGCGTTGTTAAACGAGAACGCTGGACGCAGTGGACTCAATATTGCTCTGCGATCTTGACGTCATTATTACCGTAAACAAACGCGTAACTTAGTTACGAAAACATTAAAGTACTGAGTTGACAGCTGACACTTTGGCATATACTAGCGGTGTGAAGTAATAATGGTGGCTACTACGTCTACTACTTCACCGTGTTTTAAAACAGATAAAAAAAACTGAAAACTTGAAACTGAATTGAATTTTAAAATGCATTTTGTTATTTTATGTACTGAAACTAACATTTTCCGACACCTTTTTGCCTAGACTAACTAATATAATGACGATCTCCGTGGCCGTGTGGTTAGTACGCCGCGTTCCATGGTGTCGCCTACTCGAGAGGTCCCGGCTTCGAATCCCGGTGGGGGCAGATGTTTGTGTGAAGAATACGAGCATTTGTACTCCAGTCATGGATGTTTAATATGTATTTCTATATAAATATACTTATATATGTACAGTATATGTATTCTAACCGTCACCCTAGCATCCCATAACACAAGCCTTACAGTGCTTACTTTGGGGCTAGGCTAATTGGTGTGAGTGTTGGAAGTATTTTAATAATTATTTAATATACATAAATGTTATGTCAAGTAGAGTGAAATATCCTACTGTACGCTAAAAGACAGTAGTAATTGATACAGCAAAAAATAACAATAAAAAACTCACAGATAGGAGGGGTCGAGTTTGGCCCTCTTGGTAGGGGGCGCGTGCGACGCGGTAGTAGAGGCGGGGGCAGGAGTAGGGGTTCCGCTTCGAGAAGTACTAGCACTGCCCGGAGCACTCGCTGACATACAAAAAAACATATAATATATTAAAATCACCTAGTAACTTAAATGTATTATGCAACGATATTAATTATTAGACGACCTTCGTGGCCGAGTGGTTTGTACGCCGGGTTTCATGGTGTCGCAGATTCAAGAGGTCGGTCGTTCGAATCCCGGTGGGGGCAGATGTTTGTGTGATGAATACGAGCATTTGTACTCCAGTCATGGATGTTTAATATGTATTTCTATATTGATATATGAACATGAAATATATTCTATCCGTTAAGATAGAATATATTTCATGTATTTTCCAAGGTAACCCCTAGTATCCCATAACACAAGCCTACAGTGCTTACTTTTGGGCAAGGCTAATTGATGTGTGTTTAAAAAAAATGAAATACCTTAGATACAACATCACGTACAAAATTGTGGCCGAAACATGTCAAAAAGGTACATTGAACGATCCACGGAGCTCCGGAATATGATCGTGTAGTCAATAACAATGTAAGGCATTATTTGAACATTCAAAGTCACCATTAACGCATATGAAATAAGGTCTTAATTTAAACGCATTTTTTTTATGCGTCAAACTCGTACTGACGGTTCGAAATACAAGCTCGTTAAATTTTACGGAAGAGGAAGAATATAGACTTTATTTCTTTGACTCTACACGCAATTCTGAATGCGCTGTAGGCAATATAGCAGGTACGGAATGCGAGGAAAAGAGACGGCTATATAACTGACCATGCATTTAAATATCACAAATATTTTCTATTAAATCAGTTTATAGTAAGTATTAGAACAAAATTTGCTTCAAATGCGTTAAAATAACAAACATTGACAAGATACCTGTTGATAAAACTTTCGTACTCTAAGTATTATTTTCGCATTTTTTCGCGGAGCTCTGTGGCATTTTGACTTTGCAACGGCCGGTGACTGTGAACCAAGAAGTGCTTGAATGGTGTTCAAGCACTTCTTGATTGGGACACATTTTGAGCGCACTTGGTGTGTCTATGGTATTAATATCGCTGGTATTATGGCGCCATTACATTAATTTGGTCGTTAACCCGTATTCGCGTGCATGAAAGACATTACTCGAATTCTAAACATCATTTAATTCACATTTCTATCCTAACACGTATTCGTCGCAGTCAAATTTGATGATTTCTTTTATACTTTTATAGGGCAGGAGAACAAGTCTGTCGGTCCGCAAATCTTATATGAAATTGCTTTCTGAAACCTCTAGAAAGAAAACACAATAGTATTTTATATTTACCCGTTGCATTGTTTGTGGATCCGTTTTTGTCGCTGCCGTTTTTGGCTTTCTTCGGTTTCTTAGGCGCGCTCTCCGGGTCTGTGTCAGAATCTGAACTAAATTCGCTACTTGATTCTGCAAAACATAAACAAGAAATTATATTTTAATATTTTAAGCATTTAAATGCTAGGTGTATGCGCTGCCTTGCAGCATAAGAAATACTGGAAAAAAATAGATACGGACTATTAGGGCCGCGGTAGCATAATGGTCAGTGCCGCCCCGAAAGCAGTGGGTTTCAAGACTTTTTTAGAGATTTTTTTCTAGGAAAATTTTCTTTAGATATAAATAATATTGATGATGATTATTTGTAAATTAATTTATTCCCGTCCCGTCCGCTGCCTGGTCCGCGTGGTTTTTTTTCTAGTAAAACTTTTCTTTAGATTTAAACATCTAGCAGTTAAATGCTTAAAAAAAAAAAAAAAATCATAATTAATTTATTGTTTATTGATTGCTTGGTTTTTTAATGGGTGATATGGGCTGCTGTTGTCCGAAATAAATAATTTTTACATTTGTTTTTTTTAAAGAATAACTTTTAAATTATAATATCTTCTAATAATAACATAACTGCTACTTTTTTAGTGTGAGTGGCCTATTGCAGTGTTGTAATTTTATAAAATACAAGGCAACGCAAACAATGAGAGAATGAGGTACTTTTACAAGTATCAAACTTATTTTTCATTTAAGCATCAAACTGTTAGATTTTTATAACTAAAGTAAAGAAACAACGACGACTAGGAAGAGGTTTTTCTTTCAGACCTCCCCTATATCATATTGTATTTAATAGTTTCATAAATGGGAACGAAATCTTATATTTTACTACTTATTACATAGTAATTTCGCGTTTTTTTTTACTAATTTCAACTAAATGTTTTTATCAATCCTAAATCAAAAGTACTAAGCATATACCTTTCTTAATATCCTCCTTCTTCTTGGTGGACTGGTCTTCCTAATTCGGCGCCTTCGCCTTCCGTTCAGGCTCCTCTTCCGTGTCCTGCTATACCAATCCTACATGTGAAGTATTAAGCATATACCTTTTTTAACGTCCTCCCTCTTCTTCTTTTTGGTGAGCTCGTCTTCCTGTTCCAACGCCTCCGCTTTCTGTTCCTCTTCCATGTCCTCCTATACCAAACCTACATGTGAAGTATTAAGCATATAACTTTTTTTAAAGTCCTCCATTTTCTTGTTCTTGATGAGCTCGTCTTCCTGTTCCGACCCGGAAGGCGGAGGCCTTCTGTTCCCGGTCCTCTTCCATGTCCTCCTATACCAATCCTACATGTGAAATATTAAGCATACGCATTACCTTTCTTAACGTCCTCATTCTTCTTCTACTTGGTGAGCTTGCTGGCGTGCTCCTCCTCTCCTTGACGGGCTCGTCTTCCTGTTCGGACTCTTCCTGCTTCAAATCGTGCTCCTCTTCCGAGTCCTCCTATATCAATCCTACATCTAGTATGAAGCATATACCTTTCTTAACGTCCTCCTTCTTCTTCTTCTTAGTGAGCTTGCTGGCGCGCTCCTCTCCCTCCTTGGTGGGCTCGTCTTCCTGTTCCGATGCTTCCTGCTTCTGTTCCTGCTCCTCTTCAGAGTCCTCGTCGGAGGTTAGTAGTTTCCTTCACGCCAGATAACATAATTTCAAATCTAAAGACAATTTTTTAGAAAAATTTCCACACGGTTCAGGAAGCAAACGGGACTCAAACCCCGCTATCCGGGCGGATGCACTACCAATTACGCTACCGGGACCTTTAATGGCCGTGTCGAATTTCTTCCAGTATTTCTGAGGTTGCAAGGCAGCGCTATCTCTTCGCATTGTACATGGCCCACAATGTCAAACGCCAATCTTTTACGAGTTTTAAACATTTGAAAGAAGAAAAAGCAATTTGTAGTGTATTATATTTATTTAAAGCATTTATATGTTTGTGGGTTCCAGTACCAGTATGTTCAAAGTCAATTGTATGAGAGAGAAAGCGGTAAAGTTTGATTACGATACGTAAGGGATGTCCACAAGATATTTCGTTGTAGCAATAGAAATGTAATTAATTAATTAGGGAACATATCTGAAATATGATACTCTATCCTTTTTAAGCGTGGATCTGCTGCCATTAACACAGATTTTAACCGAATATTTTGTATGTGGCGCTGTAACCAAAGCGTGGTCGAAACACAACTGAATGAAAACTCTGCATAACAGACGCGAGTGCAGTCTTTTGCTTATGACTTTTGAAGTAATAACTTCTTATGGGCGGATAAAACGCTTCGTAACGTAACGCGTTACGGCGCCAGTCTGTCTGGCTTCCCTTTCTCTCACGCATACGGCAGCGGTAGACAGGCTCCTCCTCTCTCACTCTAATTTAGTTAAGTTTAACTTACCCCACAATAACTAAAATCTCTTATCTATTAGACAAGTCCGTCCGTCTGTCTGTCTGTGGTGCTGTTTCAGCGGTCAAACCGTAAGAGATAGATAAAGAGAATATTTAAGTTATAAGTTAAGAATAGTCTGATAAGACTACAAACCGGATTTGAGTAACGTAGCACTTCCGGTTTTCGAGAAATCACGAATTTCAAACGAAACCACACAAAATCTCCGAAGTTCTCAATTAATTAAAAACATTTTTTTTTTAAATCAGGTTTTGGTGAACATTTGGTTCACTGGTTTGCTAGTAAAGTAAATAATTACACTAATAATGAACATGCACTTTCTAATGTAAATATTCAGAAATTTGAAATAAGAAATAAAATTTTCTTCAGACCTAAACATCTAGCAGTTAAATGCTTAACAAATAAATAAAATATTTTATTAACAAATTAACCTTTCCTTACATTATCATATTAATAAGCATAAAATTTAAGTTTATTACTCAAATTGTTTGGTTAAGCCTGAGCTTTTCTCAAGTTAAACAATGTCAATATTAAATAGTTCAACTAGGATTAGTTTAAGTTGTCACTTTTGTCGTGACGTACTTGTTTTTATATGTCAATTAGTTAATTCCATAATTCTCCTGTTTATTAACGTACCTCAGTGCGTCTTCTTCTGCGACTCCCTTCAACTCTTTACTCGCCTTTGTTTCGTGATCCGATTCACTGAAAATAATAAAAAAAAACAAATGAAAGGTGGAGTAGACAAATTACTTTATTATTACTTGCTTTCTATTTTATTTGCTGAAACCAACATAAATATATAAAATTGTGGAGAAAAGTTTTATCATTAAAGTTTTAAAATTTAACTTATTATTTGATTAAAAAATTCTAGCTGCCGGGTTCATGCTGAAATAACCTTTATTCTCACCTCACAAGGTTACCTTTCGGAGGACTAGGATATATGGTTACTTTACGTCACAGTAGTCATCATTCGGAGCAAGCTAAACCAATCTCTATTCTACTCTACATCGCCATTGCTATCAGTAGCAAGCTATAACAGCCTTTATTTCCACAGTACAAGGTTACCTTTCCGAGGAATCGGATATGTAGTCCCTCTCCCTGCCCTCCTCGTCGCCGTCGTCACTCTCTTCGAAAGCTTCATCTTCCACCTTCTTCTTCTTCTTTGCCACAGCCCCTGATATTATAAATAATAAGATTTTTGATTACGGTTAACGCTGTCACTGTTAAGGCTATATATATAAATATATATATACAGACATATATATATCTTTATATATATAATTCTTCTGTGAGTGTGTATGTCACTGAACTTCTCTTAAACGACTGGACCGATTTTGATGAAATTTTTTGTGTGTGTTCAAGGGGATCTGAGAATGGTTTAGATTCACAATTTTGTCCGCTGGACAACCCCTATTTTTTTAGGGCGATACGAAGTTCGCTGGGTCAGCTAGTATATATATATATGTCTGTGTGTGTGTGTACAATATATACATGTATGTAAATATATTATTATATATATCCGTAATTTGAAAATTAGTCTTACAATCCCTTAGGCATTTTAAAGTATTAATACGATACCCTACACGATGGGGTAGATAATGAACAAAAAATCATACCCTATTCACATGTAGGGGAGTTACCCGAAAAAAAAATTTTTTTTTTTAAATATATTGTACTACATTGTCGGTTTGATTGACACACCCTCCAAAAAAATTACAGCTGTCTAGTGCCAATAGTCTCCAAGCAAAACCGGGGACGGACAGACAGACGGACATGACGTAACTATAAGGGTTCCTTGTCCTACGGAACCGTAAAAAGAAAATAAAGAACCTCATAAGCGCATTCCAACATTACACCACAGTGCTTTGAAAATTATCTAGGTGCGACGTTGCCACGGCGTAATATATACTGTCGCATGTTGCAAAGGCCGCAAAAAAAAACTTTTTGTAGCATGCCACCAGATGACCCATGCCACGATAAGGCAGGTTGTTGCCTCAGCGTAAATCAGTCTTAACAATGTAACTTCAAAAGTGACTTTTGAAATCATTTAGATAAGTGTAACCTTTTTTAGTGTAGTGTAAGTAGTAAGTGTAACCTACAGTCTTTTTTAATTTTTAGACCAACCTTTTTTCTCCTTTTTCTTCTTGGCAGCCGAGTCACTATCGTTGTCTTTCTCTCCAGCTTCTGAATCTGACGAGTCGTCATCAGAATCTATCCACTCGTCCAATTCTGATATTTTCAAATCTAAAAAATAAAATAAATAAAACCCAATAAATACAATAAGTGGCCCTACATTTTAATGCATTTTAGTTGCTTAAATGAAAGATAATCTCTGAGCTCAATCTAATACAACTTATCACACTAATACTATAAAGGCAAAGATTTGTGAGTGTGTACGTTTGTTACTTCTTCACGTCTAAACGGCTGGAGCGATTTTAATAAAATGTGGTATGAAGTTAGCTGACACCCTGGATTAACACATTTGCTACGTTTTACTGCGGGAAAATATTCCTAATAAACCGCGGTACAGCTAGTAACGTCATAACTTTACTTTTCATCATCCATCATAATACGAATTTTAATGTTATTTTTAGAATTAATAAATTTGACTGGTAATAATTAAAAAGATAAACCACAGGGCCAAGGGCAGATCCAGGGGGTCATGGGAGTCATGACCCCCCCTCCTGGGCTGGGTACATACCTACTTTTTACTTGTATCTTTTATTAACAAAATTTAATTAAAACTTTTTATGACTTGACCACGACTATACGACCCCCCTCCCTGGCGCCAAAGCTGGATTCGCCCTTGCACAGGGCCAAAGTTATGTTAAAATTAATGTCCGTCTCATTTTTAGCAAACAAATGTGTCAATTTTCAAACCCGTTTTAACTTAGATGAACCGTTTACTATAAGGATGTAATAGATTAATAAAATCTTATTCCTTAACTATTAAGCTCACCTTTAGCTAAAATCACACAAAATTTTACCAAGAACGTCAAAACTGAGGAATATATTGTCACCAGCGTTGTTTGTGACCAATATGACCCGAAAACCTTCAAAAAAAAGAACATACTTCCCTAAAAGCAGGCATCGCATTTGTGATACTCCTGATGTTGCAGGTGTCTATGAGCGACGGTGATCATTTACCATCAGGTGAGCCGTCTGCTCGTATGCTCCATATCATCATCAGCTTATTAATGTCCCCACTACTAGGGCACGAGCCTTCCCTATGGATGGAATAGGGAGATTTGGCCATGACCCACCACGCGGGCCCAGTGCGGATTGACGGGTGCTAACGACTGCAGATGCAGCCGGGACCAAAGGCTTAACGTGCCTTTCAAAGCACGGAGGAACTCGAGATAGAAGATTTTTGGTCACCCATCCAATGACCGACCACTGCGAAAGTTTTATTAACTTCAACGAACGCAGCCGAACGCGCTAACCACCCACGCTATCGAGCTCCATATAATATCTATAAAAAAAGAAAAGGTCACCTTTCTTAGCCTTCGAGCCTTTAATTTTTTTCTCGTCAGGGTCGTCGGCGTCGTCCGCTGCATCATCGCCTCGCATCCGTTTCCGACACATGAGTGAAAAGTAATTCAAGACTTTGTTGCGTCTGCAAAAGGCACAATGTTGAACGACAATTCTTTCGACTAACTGTTGTTATTAAATAACAATAGCTTGAGGTCACTCACCTTCCGAATTCTTGTTCCGCCTCTTCTGCAGACAAAGCTTTGTACCTTTGAATTGGTTGAAAATTGTACCTGAAAAAAAATACTAACTATGCTGTAGAAGGCGCAATAATTCATTGGTTCCTGAAGCACGAATATTTCTACTGCTGAAAGAATTAATAAATATACCTCCACACCACAAGTCCACCAAGTTATGTGCAGTCTTTAATTCCTTATTTTTTATATAATTCAAGTACCGTGATAGTACTTGAATAAATACTAAATGTGAATTATTTTTTACAGGTATAATATATGTAAATAAATTATGATGCACAGATCTCCTAAATATACCAAATGAGATACAAATTTTATAACTCGAAAATTAATATAAAAGAATATATATTTAATATACCTAGATATTTTGAATATTGACCATAAATACATAGATATTTTTTTGGAATAATAATGATATTTTGATACATCATTATTTTTTACCCAAGTCTAACACCCATCATTCTGCACTGAGCCCCATGATCGGTCGTAGCCCATTTTCCTTATTTCAAGTATATCAATGAACAATATCCCAGCAACAGGAACAGTTAAATGCTGCTGATGATGATAGTATGAGATGCAGCAACATTCTTAACTTGAAAAAGTACTCCCATTTTTACTTATGTCAAAAAGCAGAACTTAATAAATTGATGATTATTGTAGCAATAACGACAGGTGGGTATCTCAAAATGTATTATTGATATTTTTGCATGTTTCTCATTATAAAACTAAATCGGGTTACCATTCTTGTAAGGGATAAGCATCAATAGCTCCATCTGCCGCATGGGTAAACACATAATATGCAGCATTCTCAGAGACACCACCCTCACGGATCCCCTTGAACCTGTTCAAATAGAAACTTATTTATTAAAAATATGTTTTATTGATTCAGAATAATGGATCATTTATTTATTGATTGCTTCTAGATGAGCTATTATACACATATTATAAAAATAGTCTGCAACTACATAAGTATACAGGTAACATGTTACAAAGTTGCACTATAAACTTTGCCATGTAATGACAGATTGTGAAGAAAAAAACTACATTTTGGAAATTTCTATTTAGTACAAATTCTATGCAGTCTCAATATATAAATATTTAGTGATTCAGAAGTAAGTAAAAAGTATGTATAACATACTTTTTGCCAGTCTTTCCTCCAACTTTGAGGATCCAAGGTTGGTCCTCTGGCTTATACTTTCTAGATATGATTCCAAACTTCTTACGTCTTGCCTCTTCACGATTATCACGGCCATATTCTGATCCAGCACCAAATCTATAAATTATTAATATTATACACATAACAGTTAGACGAAGAAAAAAATCTACAATTTCAGTGGTTGTTTGTCACACTTTGCTGATAAGTCGAAATTTCAAAATTATTGCAAATATATATAGATATGTTGATTGCCAATGAAGCAAGAAAAAAGCTTATACATAAATATGATTCTTCATTATAGTATGGTGAATAATTCACTTTAGGAATTGCAATTAATGAAACAAATAAAATAAAACATTCTTTGGTAATAATAGATGATAGATCTCTGTCTCTCTCTTAAAATTCTTCTCGAAAGGTGAATAAATATAGTTACTTGGGCATATCTTCCTCGATTCCTTTGAATTCTTTTATATTGTTCTCTCGCTCCATTTTCACGTGAGTCCATTTTGCAAAGTCTACATTCAGTGTCGCATTAAACCTCATCACATGATACTTTTTTTTTACATTCTTTGGTACTCTTATTTTAAACTCTTGTACCGTGGGTGCAGACTGCTGTGAAACAACAATTATTATGTTTTGTCTAAAGAAATAGTTATTTAATTAATATATAAACAAAAAAGTTCATCAGAAAACATTACACTCGATCCAGCCGTGGACATCATTGAGATTTCTTTTGATTACTTTTCAGAATAATTAACTTGACCCTTATAAAGTACTCCTACGTACTTATATTTAAACTTTATTATAATTTATACGTATTATTTAATCATAATTAAAAGAAAACAAAGAAACTAGACACGACACAATTTCAGTAAAATTACAATCATCTGATTCTATGACACTGTCTGCTGTCAGTTTGACACTGACATAACTATGAAGAATGTAATGGCAAAGACTTCATGGTATACCTAAATAAAGTCTTTGGGTAAAGGATATATTTTTTTTTATATATTGGATGGTGCATTCTTCCGGACCATTTGTCCGGAATGAATTTTTTTTTCAACACTGAACTTAGCGCACTCTGCTGGTGCATTTGAAAATTAATTCTCATGTTCCAATTCAGCATCAGCATAGTCGGCATTGTGCGCCACTGATGTCGATTCTGGCATGATTCTCTACAGCTAAACTTAAATTTGCCAACAGTGCATCCTTGCCATTCTCTATACAGAATGAATAGGAGAGACAGGTGTAAAATTTAGTTTTAAGTTTAGAGATTACTCTAGAATCGACACCGAGGCGCATTGTGCTCTGTAATAGAATGGCATGGCCACAGCAGCCAGCTAATCTCTTGAGTCTGTGGCCAGGCCAGGCTAACTAATCTGTGGTTGCTCTTTTTTGCGGCATTGTTTTGAAAGAATTCAATTCAATAAATAATTTGGTCATCAGAGTTAAAAAATGGGAAAGAAGAAGAATAAAAACAAGGTTAGCGGTGCAGTAAAAACCGCTGCAAAGACCGAGAAGAAATTAGCTAATAAATTAAAAAAAGAACTCGCAAATTTGGGAGAGGTTAGTTATCCCATGCATGCTCTTGTTTATATTTTGATAAATCTAAGAAATATAATTAACGATAATTTATTATATCACCATAAGTATGTCAGTATTACAGAACACAACCTGTTAGTATTCATTTACAAAACCCATCATCAGGACTGCCACAGCGTGAATTGCATATCTATTCATTTTATATCTTGTTGTAAATAAATCCTTAGGGCTTTTCACAAGCAAACATGCATTGTGATTTAACAGCTATAATACCAATCCCCTTAAACTACTAAACATCTTGCATTTAGTTCATTTCATATACATATTAGTATTGAATTTAATATAACCCACAACATTGGTTTTTATTCAGGAAGATATTGCGAAGGTGATCGCTGAAATCGAACGCGAAGAAGCTAAGCGTTCAGCTGCTACAGAGAAAAACCTCCCTGGAGTTCCATCACCGAGGGCATATGCTTCTTTAACTCCCCATCCTATTAATAATGAGTTGATTATGTTTGGGGGAGAATATCATAATGGACAGACTGTAAGTAGAACCTTTCAATTAATTTTTCAATCAAATATGTATTGTATAATTAATTGAATTAGGTGATAAGAATATACTATACCTGCTTCTTGGATTTAAATCTTATTGGAACTGGAAGGTGAAGCTGGGAGTGAGGATTGTAAGCAAGTTGGATATCATAATGTCCTTCTGAATTCTGGCAAGTTTTTTCTCTTAGAGAATATTATATCACATTGGATTATTTGATCTGGCCATATTATTGTAAATAAAAAATCAGAATCACTAGCTACTTCAAAAATATGATAACTGAGGAGCTAGCGAACATAACTGTATAATAACTTAAAATTATTTTTTACAGGAGCTGTATAAAATTGAATCACATACCTACTTATACAGCTTTTGGCATGGTTTTCAATTCATAAATTAAGTTATTTTAATTCTATTTTAGGTGGTTTTAATGGAAAATTATTTGAGATTAAAATTCAACGGACCAGAAACCTCCGCACTGTAAAAAAAAGTAGTTCGACCATATGTGTAATTATACTGTTTTGTTCGCCAGCTCCTCAACTACTGGTTTTTCCTATAGGAAATACTAATATGTAGTTTTAACAATATTTATAAAATAAAACCTCTATTATTTGAAAACCAAGCAATAAATTTCTCTTTCCCCTGATCGCTTACTAACACCAATATTTATTTCTTAGACAGTAGTCTACAATGAGCTGTTGTTCTACAATCCTGAGAAGAATGTGTGGCGGCTGGTGAAGGCGCCAGGCGCTCCACCACCCAGGAGTGCCCACCAGGCCGTCGCCACGCCTGCTAATAAGTATGAATATGATTTAGAAAATAACACTACATTTATATCTATTCAATACTGTTTTACAATGTAAATAAGTTATCCATAACAGAAAATTAGGCTATTGTTGACTATTAATTAATCTTTGTATATCAATAATATTTATTAAGATATTCAACAGTCACCGCAGAGAAATATTGGCCAAACCCACATACCGCTCATCTGAAGTTAGGAACTCATGTAGCCTATTTGCTGATTTCAAACTGGCCAAAATATGTAAGCAGAACTTGCTTAATCTTACCTATGGGTTCTGAGATAAATCTTACACTACATATAATCATGACTTCAAATATGCTTATATTATGTCACCCTCCATACAACATGGGTTTGATTGTAATTAAAATAAATTGAGTTAAAAAATACACTAGATCCCATGGGAACCTTGTGAATAGAGGCAATATGTTTGACTTGATTGACCCATGAAAAATGTTATTTGCGTTCCAGTTAGAATTTTAACATTTCGTCAGACCTAAAAAAATCATCTTTTCGGCTGTTCAATATTTATTAAAATATGTTTTATTTTCTCTAGAGGTGAACTTTGGGTGTTTGGTGGAGAATTCACAAGTCCCACTGAGACACAGTTCCACCACTACAAAGATCTATGGTGTTTCTCATTGGCAGAAAAAAAATGGGAAAAGGTAAGCATTGTGCTTAATACTTGTGAAGTTTAAATCTAAAGAAAATATAACTAGAAAAAAATCCGTGCAGACCAGGCAGCAGACAGAACTTGAACCCTCACCCTTCGGTATCAGGGCGAATGCACTGACCAATTATGCTGCCGCGGCCCTGATGGCCTCTTCGAAATTCTTCTAGCCATTCTTAAGCTGCAAAGCAGCATCTTCGCATTTCGGATAGAGAAGGGCTATGTCCGCATGGAATTTTTTCTAATAAACTTTTCTTTAGATTTAAATGTTTATTATTTTTTTTTTATTTCATTATAAAGTATTTTTAATCTCCTCACTAAAGAGAACGTTATAATTTACAAAACCTCGGAAAAGTAATAGAAAATATAAAGGGCTTTTACACCTTCCTCTACTATAACTATAATAACTATGATAAACATTGCCAAACTTAGTGCCTCAACTTCCTGTTGTAAGGTCAACGGGCGCCCACAAGTCGGTCACATCTCCAGGTTACGTCCGGAATAGCTTCAAAAGAACATAGAACTTCTAATCGCAAGGCCAGTTTTGACATAGGAGTTTAAAGAGACTAGAGTGTATAATTATGCCTTTTATTTAAAGAGGAAGTTTTATATGTCCTTTATATTTTCTATTACTTTTCTGGGATATTGTAAATTATAAATTTCCCTCATTTCACCACTTATTCACGATAAGCGCCCTCCTGAACTTTATAAAAGTGCCACAAGGTCCTCCTCAGGTTCGAGTGGTCTAGAGGCTCCAGACGGAGAGGAGACTCCCCCCGTGGGGAGATGCCAGCCGCCTGGAATACCTCTAGAGGCACTCACCTATTCTCGGCTTGGATCTCGCCGTCCCCAAACCTGGTGACGCTGTAAAGGTCATCTGCGACCAACAGCACACACACTCAAAAAAAAAAGCCACAAAATCTTGGTTGCACCGTACATCATCGTAAATTCTGATTACTGCACGGTGACTTGTGCGAACTTCACAGCATTTCGGTATTTGTTTAGGTGGTAGCTCCGAATGGTCCGTCCGCTCGCTCCGGCCATCGGATGGTGTTGCTCGGTCGCAAGCTGATAGTGTTCGGTGGATACTGCGATGACGGGCGAGACTACAAATACTTCGATGATCTGCACGCCTTCTGTCTGGACACTAGGACGTGGAGTAAGCTTGCTACCAGTGGTCGGGGACCTTGTGCTAGATCGGCCTGTATTATGTTACCAGCGGGCAATGATAGTGTGAGTGAGTTTAGATTACTTGGCCTACATAATTAAGGTTTTCTGTAAAAAGCCGAGCGAATTACTTTGTGCTATCTGATGTTAAATGTGAATTGTGTCTTCACAACTGTGAAGAAAGAAAGGGTACTCAGATTATAGTATTTTCTAAAGAAAACCTAGAAAATTAATTCATGCTGTTTGATGTTAAATATGAATTGAGTTCATCTTTGACGATACTGAAGATAGTTGTTGTAGTTAGAATACTTAAAAAAAACTCTAGGCTTACACGCAGGCACTTATTCATGAAGCTAAAAAGATACTTTCGCTCTATAAATTTGTAAAAAATATATATATGTAAATTAGTGTGTAGTGTAGTGTGTTAATGTGTCATAGCAGCACATCCTACATCCAATGAAACCGTTTTGAAATTTGTAATGAAATGAAATGTCTTTTATTCAATCTAGGCTGTTACAAGCACTTGTGAAGGTTCGCAAAACTATGGCGGGAGTCCTTGTACTGAGAAGAACCAGCTATAAACTCAGCAAGGGCTGTTTTTTTCCCCTGTATTGTTGTATACAGAGTCGTCAAATTGAAAAATGATTTCAGAGATACGTATGAAGTCGCCTTCCATTACACTATTTAGAATGTAAATATATAGTTACAATAAATTGACTTATTAAATTTTACATCCTCAGCTGATAGTATACGGCGGGTTCTCTCGAGTACGCGAAGGCCGTACGGAGCGTACGCACACACACACGGAGCTATTCCGTCTGGGGGTTAAAGGGGGGGGACTATCGTGGCGCACTCTCACCGGCGGGCCCTCGTCACCGCCCGCGCGGGCAGGACAAGCGGCCGCTTATGCCGCTCATATGGGACGGGGCTATGTGTTCGGGGGAGTCAGCGTGAGTGATATTATCATTGCTTATGCCGCTCATACGGGACGGGGCTATGTGTTCGGGGGAGTCAGCGTGAGTGATATTATCATTGCTTATGCCGCTCATACGGGACGGGGCTATGTGTTCGGGGGAGTCAGCGTGAGTGATATTATCATTGCTTATGCCGCTCATACGGGACGGGGCTATGTGTTCGGGGGAGTCAGCGTGAGTGATATTATCATTGCTTATGCCGCTGATACGGGACGGGGATGTGTTCGGGGGAGTCAGCGTGAGTGATATTATCATTGCTTATGCCGCTCATACGGGACGGGGCTATGTGTTCGGGGGAGTCAGCGTGAGTGATATTATCATTGCTTATGCCGCTCATACGGGACGGGGCTATGTGTTCGGGGGAGTCAGCGTGAGTGATATTATCATTGCTTATGCCGCTCATACGGGACGGGGCTATGTGTTCGGGGGAGTCAGCGTGAGTGATATTATCATTGCTTATGCCGCTCATACGGGACGGGGCTATGTGTTCGGGGGAGTCAGCGTGAGTGATATTATCATTGCTTATGCCGCTGATACGGGACGGGGATGTGTTCGGGGGAGTCAGCGTGAGTGATATTATCATTGCTTATGCCGCTCATACGGGACGGGGCTATGTGTTCGGGGGAGTCAGCGTGAGTGATATTATCATTGCTTATGCCGCTCATACGGGACGGGGCTATGTGTTCGGGGGAGTCAGCGTGAGTGATATTATCATTGCTTATGCCGCTCATACGGGATGGGGCTATGTGTTCGGGGGAGTCAGCGTGAGTGATATTATCATTGCTTATGCCGCTCATACGGGACGGGGCTATGTGTTCGGGGGAGTCAGCGTGAGTGATATTATCGTTGCTTATGCCGCTAATACGGGACGGGGATATGTGTTCGGGGGAGTCAGCGTGAGTGATATTATCATTGCTTATGCCGCTCATACGGGACGGGGCTATGTGTTGGGGGGAGGCAGCGTGAGTGATATTATCGTTGCTTATGCCGCTCATACGGGACGGGGCTATGTGTTCGGGGGAGTCAGCGTGAGTGATATTATCGTTGCTTATGCCGCTCATACGGGACGGGGCTATGTGTTCGGGGGAGTCAGCGTGAGTGATATTATCATTGCTTATGCCGTTCATACGGGACGGGGATATGTGTTCGGGGGAGTCAGCGTGAGTGATATTATCATTGCTTATGCCGCTCATACGGGACGGGGCTATGTGTTGGGGGGAGGCAGCGTGAGTGATATTATCGTTGCTTATGCCGCTCATACGGGACGGGGCTATGTGTTCGGGGGAGTCAGCGTGAGTGATATTATCGTTGCTTATGCCGCTCATACGGGACGGGGCTATGTGTTCGGGGGAGTCAGCGCGAGTGATATTATCGTTGCTTATGCCGCTCATACGGGACGGGGCTATGTGTTCGGGGGAGTCAGCGCGAGTGATATTATCGTTGCTTATGCCGCTCATACGGGACGGGGCTATGTGTTCGGGGGAGTCAGCGCGAGTGATATTATCGTTGCTTATGCCGCTCATACGGGACGGGGATATGTGTTCGGGGGAGTCAGCGTGAGTGATATTATCATTGCTTATGCCGCTCATACGTAGGGTTGCAACGATATATCGGAATATCGATAATATCGAGACCAAAATATCGATATTTATATCGATAATTAAAATTCACTGATATCGATAATATCGATATCGGAAATTCCAAAATATCGATATTTCGTAGACTAAATTTAAACACAATAACATCAATTAATTTACCTGCTATGACTATCTAAATTTAATAATATCGAAATAACTATTGCTTTGAAATCGCAAGAGCTTATAGATGTATTAAAAAAATCTTGAACCCCAAGAAATATACTAAACTGGTGTGGATTCTGGCATGATTCTCTCAACCTAAAATTAAATTTGACAACAGTGTATCCTTGTCATTCTCTATACAGAATGACAAGGAGAGACTGATGTTAAATTTAGTTTTAAGTTTAGATAATCATACAAGAATCGACACAACGTATATAGGTATAATCGTATACATAATGGTAACTCATGCACTTAAATAAAATCCTTGCCTCTCTTTCTAGATAATTGTCAACTACTGATTAATTGAAATTAAATATCATTGTAATATAACACAAAATAAAATTAAGACACTTATACAAATCGTAAATTTTTAAGCTCGCCAAGTCAAGAAAGTAAGATAGGTATAGTAATTTTTGAAGCTTTAGGCTTACCCTATTCTGAAGCCATGGGCACGCCCCTGATGTGTGGGAGACTAAGCAATTTGCGTATTTGATGTGCGTTAAAAAACCGACATAGCTTGGAAAAGCACGAATGTAGTGAAAACTTAGCGAAGGCATTCGCAAATGTCGTCCCACATATGCGGGTTGGCGCATTCGTGCTAACAAATGTGAGTGATCTGATCAGGATAATAATTTTAATTTTTTGGTTTCCTGTCGTGGCAGAAACACAAACCGTACGAGCTAAAAAAAAATCCTGCTTGGCGCGATTTCATCAAGCGTGTTTAAAGAAAAAGCTGGCTCAATGCATTTTGCGAGAAACTCGCCAACAAACATATGAATGTGTCACACTCACCCCGTATTCTAATGTTTATAAAAAAAAAGAAAAAAATATCGATATATCGATATTATCGAGTTAAAATGGTCGATATATCGGATATCGATATTTTCCTGACTTCGATATAAATATCGATATAATATCGATATTTCAAAAGACTTAGCATCCCTACTCATACGGGACGCGAGCTGTATTGTATAGTCCAGTCAAATTACGGAATCAAATAAACATGAGCGAACACAGTTTGGGGATTTTGAGGATCGTTAAGGGGGTGCATCCTGAGCTTAAGTTCCAATTTGAGGGGCTGTACTGAGGTCAGTTCAAGGTCATTTCGATGCAAACGCGTTTAATTCGATATCTCGAGAAATATCAGTGTTAGCCAAAAAATTATAGAGACCTTTTTTCTTCTAAATAAAATTTATTAACTTTTTTATTTAAAACTTTTTTTTGTAACATCAATATTTTTTAAGTTATTACTCCCGCAAGGCAAAATTTTCATTTTTTTCCGTATTTTTCGTCGTTTTCTCCCCAAACATTCAATTTTATTGAATTTTACCGATCATCAACGTGTATATCTTTTAATTATGCATAATTTTGATCTTAAACTTTTTTCTGTAACTTCAATACCTTCGGAGTTATATATTATTTTACCGAGCGAAATCCAAAATCCAATCCAAAAGCAATATAAAAGGGTAAATCGATTAAACTATTTAAAAATTGGGTATTTAATTTGGGTAAATTTATGGGTTTGTTTGGGTAACAAGTAAATTAACAATTAAAACTGTTTCACACATTTATTGATACAAAAAATAGGTTATAAAATTCGGAAAATTAAGCACCCGAGGTCGATGGAAGTGATTCGTGAATATCGAAGGCCCTGACGGTATCGGGGCATACGTCGTCCTCGTCCATAACGTCAAGATCATCATCGTCGATAATATTGGCGATATTGGAACAATGATTTTTTTGGCAATTATTGCAAATCACTGAGCAAAAGAGGCCGGCCTTTCTGCATCCGCACGCTTTGCCGCAGTTGGTTTTGTTTTTTTTTTTTTTTTTTGTTTTACCCCAGGTATAAAAATCGAGGACAGATGTTCCTTACCCGCACTAATACACGCAACAATGTATCTGTGGATACACGTTGCGACAGTGGCGTGGATTTCGCACGGTAAAATAATATATAACTCCGAAGGTATTGAAGTTACAGAAAAAAGTTTAAGATCAAAATTGTGCATAATTAAAAGATATACACGTTGATGATCGGTAAAATTCAATAATATTGAATGTTTGGGGAGAAAACGACGAAAAATAGGGAAAAAAATGAAATTTTTGCCTTGCGGGAGTAATAACTTAAAAAATATTGATGTTACAAAAAAAAGTTTTAAATAAAAAAGTTAATAAATTTCATTTAGAAGAAAAAAGGTCTCTATAATTTTTTGGCTAACACTGATATTTCTCGAGATATCGAATTAAACGCGTTTGCATCGAAATGACCTTGAGCTGACCTCAGTACAGCCCCTCAAATTGGAACTTAAGCTCAGGATGCACCCCCCTATCGATCCTCAAAATCCCCAAACTGTGCTCGCTCATGTTTTTTTAGCCCTTTTTTCCGTAATTTGACTGGACTAGTAGAATTCGATTTTTTCTCACCTTTTAAACCTTCCCTAGATCTCCACGAACATTTCAAGACCAAGATCCATTCAGCCGTTCTCGAGTTTTAGCGAGACTAACGAACAGCAATTGACTTTTATAAATATAGATATAAATGAATATTAAAGACTAGAGAAATTTGTACACGGCCGTCAGGGTAGCATAATGGGCAGTGCATTTGGCCTGGATAGCGAAGGTTGCGGATTCAAGTCCCGTCTGCTGCCTGGTCCACGTAGAATTTTACTAGTAAAATTTTCTTTAGATTTAAACTTCTGGCAGTTTACATGCTTAAAAAAAAGCAAATATAACTATAATTGCTATTGCTTCTTTCAAATGTTTAATACTTGTAAAGGTATTCAGTTGACATTGTGGGTTACCTACAATGCGAAGAGAGGGCGCTGCCTTGCAGCTTAAGAAAGGCTAGAGAAAATTCGACCCGGCCGTCAGGACCGTGGTACCATAATGGTCAATGCATTCAGCCCTGATAGCCAAGGTCGTGGGTTCGAATCCCGTCTGTTGCCTGGTCCGCGTGGATTATTATATTGTAAAATTTTCTTTATATTTAAACATCTAGCAGTTACATGCTTAAAAGATAACAAATATACAATACCAGGGCTTGTAACCGGTTTCGAAAATACCGGTAAATAAAGGTCAATACCGGTTTTTAGTAAAGGTTTCGTTCTCAAACCTTAATAAACCGGTTTAATCCAGAGCGACACGTGCACGCGTCGGCATCGCTTGAAGTTTGTTTTGTTTGAACTAATCAAGTCACAACTTGTTAATGCTACACTCACTAGACACTAGCAAACGTGTCAATAAATGAATCAATCTCTGTGATTCATTTATTGACACGTTTGCTAGTGTCTCGTGAGTCATATTATTCATTTTGTAGTTGTGTACTGAAACACTACTTCACTCACTCGCTCTGTAGTTGGAAAAAACTGACATAAATCATTATAAATCGCCTAAATACGGCATCGCTTTCGCCGCTTCGCATTCAATGAAACGGCGAAGGCGATACCGTCAGTAAGAGCGAAATGAAACCTTTTAAAAACCGCTAAATCGATTCTAAACCTATTTCGCTTTTTAGAAAAACCGGTTTTTAAAGGTTAAGGTAGAGCCACGCTTCTAATATACTTGATACTGATTAAGTTTGAAAATTAACCGGTAAACAAGCCCTGTACAATACTAGGGTAACGAAAGAATACAGATACATATATAAGTATATTTTTATTTAGAAATACATATAAATGCATGAATAAATGATATACTTAATAAATTATTCCATCTGGCCTAATAGGGCGAGCATTCTTAATTAAGACATTAATATAAGCATTTTGCTTCATAGACGTTCTGCAAATTAGTCTTTGTGATCATAGTAGATTTTTTCATCTCATCAGGACGTAGAAGAGACCGAAGAAGACATCCGCGGCGAGATAAGCGACGAACTCCTCATGCTGGACCTGGAGGCTGGAAAATGGCACAGCGTTACCCTGAAGTCGGAACAAACCGCACAAACGGCCAGTACTCAACCCAGTGTGGCCGATGAGAAACCGGAGGAGTCTGTCACTGGTGAGAGAAAATATCACTAATTTCGTGACAACAGAGCAATGTTTCTATCTATATAAATACTAGAATTTGATGTTTTTTTTCGTAATGATAAGGTAATCCGACAGAGAACCAGAGTTATCGACATAGCCCACCGGATTAGCAAGCTGAAGTGGCAGTGGGCTATATTTGCCGAAGAACCGATAACCGTTGGGGTAGACGAGTTCTGGAGTGGAGACCGCGTCTAGGCAAACGTAGTGTGGGACGTCCTCATTAACGATGGGGTGACGATTTGCGCAAGGTGGCTGGCAGGAGCTGGATGCGAGTAGCCCAAGATCGACCTGAGTGGCGTGCAATTGGAGTGGCCTATGTCCAGCAGTGGACTAGGATAGACTGTTGATGATGATGATGATGTTTTTTTTCAACCTTATTTATTTAGAGGCTTTTACCTAATATAAAAGATATGCCAATCCCATTATATCCTAACTTTATAAATCATAAAAGCATTTAAAGTTGAAATAAAAAAAACAACGTGATTGTTGTGGAACACTTGGTTGCAATGAATTTAAAACGATACAACAAATCTTACCTTTTTTTTCGCCGTCAAGTCTTAAATGTACCATCCGAAAACGGACTTTATTCCAAAAATACTGACGAATTAAGATTCTTGTCCTTTTTTCAAGACGTTTAAAAATATAATAATATTAACTACATAATTAACAATAACTGGCAATTCGCATCATCTTGTGTAGACGAGCAGAAATTTTACAGTGACTAGACCTTTTGTCTCATTGTTGCCACCTGCCGCCCGTCATTCCAGAAAACCCACATTGATAGTGTATTATTTGTTATTTTCCATGATTAAGAGGGTATAGGCGCGCAGTGTTTTTTTCTATACAAACGTTCTCGACCGATTCCTTCTTGATTTTAATCACTAAAGAATTAATTTACAATTTACATTCATAAATTATAATTTTACTCACTCTATGCTCCTATGTTTTCCTTTTTTCGATAACTTGTGTTTTTAAGAAACTAGAAGCCATCGAAAAAGGCCATAAGTAAATAAATTTTTATCACCATTAAAGTCGTCTAGTGTGAGATTTTATAAGCATTTGCAAAAAATCTAAACATAGGCATAGTGTAACTACTAATTTTTAATTGTGTAAAATTTCTTTTACATAGGTATATAACTAATTTTCGAGGAGGAAATCGTCGAGAGCCAAACCTCGATTTACGCAATTTTTATACGCATTTTTCAACGTTAACTACTGTTGTCCTTATCACACGGTATTTGCCAATGCGTGACAGCAATAGTTTTTTCAAATACAGGCAGTCCTCGTACTTACGGCATGTTAGGTTCTCGAAATACGCGACGTAAATCGACATGACGTAAGTTGATACAACCCCACGGACACTGACCTCGCGACAAGTGAATTCTCCTATGCCGGAAATCGAAACAACTGACGTATGTTTGAGGAATAGTGTCAAAACATTGGTCGACGTAACTTGAAACGACGTAAGTCGAGGACTGCCTGCCTCGCGACCACTCTTAATCGTGTCTTATTGTCGTAGTGGTAACAGACGAAGTATTCACCATGAAGCTTGGTGGGGCCGCTCCCCCCTCTCAGGGGGTACAATCCTCCTCGGTGGTGACGTCACGCGCCGCCCGCCCCTCCCCCCGCATGTCTACAATGATGGCGGTGCAGCGATCCACCCTCTATCTGTACGGGGGAGTGCTGGAGAAGGATGAGAAACAGTTCTATCTCAGCGATATGTACAGCTTGGGTGAGTATATGATGATGAAGTAACTAGCAGTGTGTTAGTAAAAATAGGAGATTAGGATCATCCCGATTGAGCTAAATTTCAAACGACTGCAACGCATTGAACCGTAAACGAACCGCCTCTTATGGAGGTTAGAGAGAAGAAAAACGATCGCTATAGAAAATAGTGTCCTAGAAATATGGACAGAATAAGTGAAGCGCTGCGATCGCTAAGTTGTCTCAATAAAAGCGGGCTAATTTGGAATGACTAATGCTTCGAAGAAAATTTGTACAATATTCAACTAACTTCATCTACTTGTACTCATAAACAGCTAACTTCACAGACACTACTTACGACGGCAGCGCGGCTGGTGGCTGAAAAATGAACTATAAATTCTACAAATTTTTAGGGACAGGCGGGCTAATGCTAAAGTACGTAGCGATCTCTCTCCTTCTGTCTAACCTCCATGCCGCAACTTTTTATGACATTTCGTGTCGGGCTAAAGTTTTGACAGCTAGTTGAGATGTAAACGTATCATGATTGGACCGTACTTCGATGAAATTCAGTCAAAAACATAAAGTAAACGTAGATGACGGGTGAAAATTTGATTTCGTATAAAGTTGAGTTTGCAAATAGAATTGGACTAATATAAGATTAAACCATAATTGAACTTTTGCGGATCGTACAAAATAATAAACACAGCGATTGGCCTGCAGTACCCTTAGCACAAACTAATATCGAATTCAAATAGGTGAATTCGGTCTCGATATACATCTGTGTCAAGAAGCCATTCGATAAAAGAAGACTATCGATAGGGAAGATAACTGCCAATTCATAAATTGGTCCATTCCCTAATCTCCTTTTTATCTCAAACAGAAGGAATATGTACATTACATTGTGGAGATAAGGGTGAATTTGCTATTACTGTTACTGAAATTCGGCGCTAGTATGAATTGATCATTATTATATCATGACGCGTCAGAAGCGTATCGATTTCTTACATTGAGAGATTTTAGTATGGTGACAAAGATTATTTACTCTCTAGATAGAGCATCACCTTGTAAACATTGCGATAAAAAAACTAAAAACACGCTTTAACTTACTGCACTAAAAAGTCAAAAATAAACAAAATATACTCTCTGTTTACTTCATTAAGGTTTTAGAGTAAGCCATGTTTGTAGTTACCCCACGCTAACTGCCAAAAGCGTGGGGCGCTTTTCATTGTTATATTTATCAAATTAATTAATATATTACGTGGTGCATAATGTTCAACAATTCAGTTGAAATTTAATAATGAAGCGCCCCACGCTTTTTTCAGTTATATATATATATCTTAAAATCAACTATAAACATGGCTTACTGGAAACCTTGAAAACGGACGTTCATACCATTCTGCCACGGAGGTCGTCAAATAGCTGGAAAAATAGCCTGATTTTATCATTACTGTATATTTCATAGACCTACACAAACTGAGCGAGTGGAGGACGATCATAGAGCAGCCCCCACTGCCGGACTGGCTCGGCTCCGACTCTGAGGACGACGACGATTCCGGATCCGGTTCCGGCAGCGAATCCGACGATAGCAACAGTGGAGACGACTAAACTTTGTACTAAGTTCCAGCATAGTATGTCAGTCTGGGGCAGGGATGGATACTACTACGATTTAATCTAATTTTATCATCCGACCGTGACGTCACACTGACGTGTTCTAACCAAAAAACACCCGAATTAGTAAATTAAATAAAACTATAGCGCAGTCACTCGATTAGGAGAAGCTGGATGGCGCGGGTGGTTAGCGCGTTCGGCTGCGATCGTTGAAGTTAAGCAACTTACGCAGTGGTCGGTCATTGGATGGGTGACCAAAAATCTTCTATCTCGACTTCCTCCGTGCTTAGAAAGGCACGTTAAGCCGTTGGTCCCGGCTGCATCTGCAGTCGTTAGCACCCGTCAATCCGCACTGGGCCCGCGTGGTATGTCATGGCCCAATCTCCCTATTCCATCCATAGGGAAGGCCTGTGACCCAGCAGTGGGGACATTAATAAGGTGATGATGATGATAGCTCAGTCACGCATGTAGATGTGAAGGCAATTGATATCGTTTTCAGCCTGCCGAAAACAACCGCTTTTTTCGCTAATCACCCATAAACGGCGGTTGGTTACGGTCGAATTACATTTACATAATGACTTTCTTCATATAATTATTAACCTTGCGTGAAAATTTAATTAACTGATAGTGTATTTTTTTGCATAATTTAAGACCCGTTGTATAGAATGCACCATTTGCTCTGCTGTTAAAAAAAGTGTGTCCCTCTTCCCATTGGTCCATGCCTTTATTATTAAATGTATCTAGTCACGCAGTGGTTTGTAAACGCATCACTTTTATCACTCATCGTCGTCACGTCGTATGTTTCTAATGTGATTCTGATCAAAGGAATTAGTACATTTGACTCAACATGCGTGGCTTGGGTGACTTCGCGTTTCATAAGTCTGACTCGGCAATATTGGTTTCATGAAAAATGTTGCAAAAACGGGTAAAAATAGTTGCACAAAAATCATGTATAACGGAATCGTTTCCCTTTAAAAGTTCTATAAAAAAGTCCGCGACAGTATACATCAATCTTTTAAGTTTGACTCACTATAACCTTTTTCCTCAAATTAACGCGGGTGAAACCGCGGGGGATCTCTAGTTGTAACATAACTGTAATATTTAGACATATTGTATAGCCAACTATTTTCTAGATATTGATGTCCTCTATATAACTTTAGTTGTACATCACTTTGCTTTTAACTGTAAATTGTTGACACCTTTCGGTATTGAGTCGGATAGACATCGGTTGTCAAACGCTGTCTAAACGTTAATATCAGCTACTTTTCGAGTCTGGCGAAATCCACAAAAGTGCACCGCCATTTTCCAAAAAGAAGAAGAAGAATCAGCTACTTTGGATAACTTTCCGAGAACAACTGCTGTTTTACAACTATAGTCACGCAGGGTAAACGCACTCCTGAGTTTCCTGCGAAGTAAAAAATATTCGGAAGCGGAGTTGTCGGAACAGTGGCAGCGCTAGACCACATGTGGACGTCGGCGACATCAAGTTCGCGAGGCCTGTTTTACTTCGCAGTAAAAAACCGTTAAATTAAGTGAGCCAAATTATAAAATAACGTATGAGTAAACGAGTTTTATTGTTGATAATGAAATGATAACAAAAAAAATAAAAAAATAGAAATTTAATTACAAAAATAGTGTTGCCAGACAGACGATTCTGAATACCCGTAAAGTACTACTCGCTTCCATCACGCACGTGTTCGAAAATAATAAAAGTTTTTCCCCGAATTGTTCGGGGTCGGCTACCTAAGCCAGGCCAGGAGAAACGAAAATAAATAGGTAACTTGTAAAAATTTTTAGCGAGGCCCCCTCAGGCGCGATGCCGTCGGCGGTGGCCGACGTCGCCGACGCCTAGCGTCGCCACTGTGTCGGAACATGTGACAAAATGGTATTCTTTGGTACCTTTGATTTGCTGAGAATGGTATTCTTTTTGTTTGGTCGCGGGCCGTAGTTTACTCATCCCCGGTCTGGGGTCTCCTTCAGAGTACATATATTGTTCTGGGACTTGTGACTTTATAGGCTGTTTAAAAATCTTATTAAGTGCAGATGTCTGTATACTATTGTGATACTGATATTTTTAATGTAATATAAGAGAAATCGTAATAAATATTTTTTAACAGTAAGAATAAGCAGTTTTTTTGTTCTTCCCAGTTTTTATTGTGATGTGTATTTTATGGAAGTTTGGTCAAAGCAGATGGATATTTAAAGGATAGGGTATTTGACAGTGTTAAAAATAAAGTGCCAATTGTTATCTGTGTTAAGAATGAATATTGGCAGGGGTTTTTACTATTTTTACAAAAAAAATATTCATAATTTTACTAAAAACTAACGAAAAAGATAATAGTTTTCTTATCTATTGTCACGTGACCCAAAACGCTGGGGATTGGCGGAGCCTAAAATGACGTCACACGCAAGTAAACTTCCGGTTAAAGTGACATTACATTGTATCGTTTGACGTTTTAATATCAATCGTGTGACGTCACACTAGTAAGACGCCATATTGTATTATACGCCAGAGAAACGTTTTCGCGGCAACTTGAAAATGGAGTTTTTGATTTGGTTATTTTTACTGAAATACAGAACAGAATGATGAATATCCACTTTTTACGGACTCCATAAACATTAGTCAATAATATTGGAAAGTATGAAAATTATTATATACTAGCTTTTGCCCGCGGCCTCGGTCGCTGTTTTTAGGGGTTTCCCGGCAATTATTCGAATTTTTCTCACCTTTTAAACCTTCCCTAGACCTCCACGAACATTTCAAGACCAAGGCAAGATAAATCCGTTCAGCCGTTCTCGAGTTTTAGCGAGAATAACGAACAGCAATTGAATTTTATATATATAGATATAAAATAAAACAACAGTTTTGCACGTGTTACTTTTATGTACACAAATTCATACCTACATATTAAATCTTTATAAAAAATTTAGTAAATCTACTGATACTTTAATACACTCGCTCTTTTGCTCCGTATAACTCAGTTTCTCGTTAATTGTCATTTACATATTCTTATGCACATTTATTATATTGTTTAAGTAGATACTTAAATTATATTTGATTTTTATCAAGCAATCATAAAAACAAGATGTTAATGAATTATGATACTATGGAAATTAGTAAAGAGCAACAAGTCATTTCTATCAAAGGGTTTTACCCATTTCTCCTATCATATTAGGTCAGACAAAGCTGCCATCAAAACAATCAACATCGAAAGTTAATGTATGTACATATAGTAAATAATCCTTTTCTAAATCCGATCCTGGAGCCTTTTATAATTTGCTTTCGATGCTGACTGCACAAGTATCATTATTACGTATACACTTCGACATCACATCTCAGTAAGACATCGCATAACAAAAAAACTTTAAAAGTGCACGCAATAACGACCTCTACTGTATTCGGAATAAAATAAATTTTCGAGATACCAATTATTTTTTTCTATCTACCAAACTGACCTAATTACTTATTTTGTCGTCACTCAAATGTTGCTATCACACGAAGTATGAGAAAAAATTACCGCTGCCATCACACATCGCCGAACAGCTTCAAACCAAAAGAACTGACTAGATTTTTTCTCAAAACACATGTGACGCAATAATTTTCACACAATGTGTTATTTCTTCTAATTCAAATTAATGGACATGTTATGCAATTATGTATCCTTTTTTTCTGTGGCATATATATATATATACATTTTGCTATGCAGTCTTCATTAAAAAGGGTAAATGAATCTATACAAACACTTGCAGAAACACAATAGCAAAATTACAAATGTCCTTTTCCTGTGAGCATCTAACAAACAGATGAGTGATGCAACTCTTTACCCTGTTATACGACAAACTGATTAAAACTTACACATTCCCTACTAACATAATTACATAACCACCAAATGTGTAGTCATATGACGTTTACAAACATCGCAAAATGATCTATATTGTGTTCAAAATATATTGTACAATGCGTTGTTTTAACCAAACGTCATAATACACTAAACATTTGTTTCAAATCTAGATCTCTTTCAGTTTATATAAAATGTTAAATAAGCTAAATGCTATATGTACAACTTAGAATGAAAATTTTAATATTCTAGTAACAATGATTTTCGATTACTCATGAAAAATAATTCCTAGATTGATTGTAACAACTAAGCAATAAGATTGCATGATAACCACTCGCACTATTTTTATTAAAAAATATGGATGTGAAACTCATGGGTGAAAAACTTTTATAGTAAAGATTTTTTTCTTTCAACCATGTGCAAGATTAAATCAGTATAGACTAAGTATTACAAATATGATCATATGTATAAATTAATCTTAAGTAGATGGCACATCACACTGATATACATGATTGGTCCCCGTAACTTGCATGACTGTACTCTCTGCAAGCATTTTTATGTGATAATCAGTAAAAATGCCACAATACTGTGAATATCTTGTTTAAAGTATAATTCCTTTAGGAAGATATGCTCCGTTATAAAGTGCATGACTACGGGAGTTTAAATTATCAAGAAAGTTAAATAGACTAATAAACCGTACAAAACCTGATGAATTGCTATTTTCAAGCTTTAATTTCCTGCATATATGCATTTTCCAAATTTATCAAGCAGGAAATTAACAGATCTTCTTTGATACTGTTTAAAACACTGTTAAGTATATTTAACTAATTACTAAGCACTATGTTGCAGTATCAAGAAACCGTTACATTCAACTGGTGGCAATTCAATATTCACATGAACATAAACTAAATATTAATCCATTACACTGATATAACTTATAGAATAAAGTTAACTAGCGAAGTAAAGCTGATGCCAAAATAATTGTTGAATAAATAATTTATAAGTGCTAGTGATGGGCGATTGATTATTTGTTAATACATTTTTTCATTAAGAATATTAAAATAAGTAGGCGATTTAAATGTCTAAAAGAATTTTTGGCGTAAAACTTGTATAAATAATACATCACTACATAACAATCGCCCGATTAACCAATAACATAAGAAATGCCATTATCAATAGATCAGTCGATTAAACACAATTCATTCTTATCAAAAAAATGAAATAGAAATAGTTAATTTTTACCAAATAATCGAAAGCAAATCAGTCTCTTACGTTATAAATGTTATGACTAAGTTATTATATACATTTATTTTAACCATCCAAACATCATTATAATACAGACACGCATATATAAAGTCTGGGACTCATTGGTAGATACATTTAACATTTGAAGTGCAAGTGTATCCAGTTGTCCTGGTCTTTATTCTATTGATATAGTAAAAAGTAGATCATTAGTATGGAGCAAAGATTAATTTAATTATATATTATTATGATATATAATAACAAAAAAAAGTGTGAAATCACAAACAGTATAAAATCATATACGCACCATACATATGCATGTAAAAGTAACATAATATTCACTATCTAATTATAATGTACACTTGATATTTACAAAGACAAACGTCCCATCATTTTATAAAATAAATATGATAAATTTCCTTGTGCACAAACATTTGAAGTGCATTTTCAGATGAAACTTTAGTGTAAAGAATCAAATAAATATTAAGTAGTACAAGATTTCATATTATTGTCGTTGAATTGAAGTCCAGGTATATAACAATTTATTTTCACTCGTGTGCACATTGGTCAAGTCCATCCCAACTATATCACAGTAGCTCACACTGACTAGGCTAACTATAAACCAGTTGTTCACTATTCCACTGTTTTTTTTACATCAAAATTTTCAATAAACCCTCTATTTAACCCTTTGTGTTTTCATGAAAGTGGATAGTTACAATGGTTCTTAAAACACATTCACTTATAAACTCAAGACTAGCCAACTGAACTCTCACTCAAGTAAATTCAACATTTGAGTATCTATTATTGTGAGTTGAGCAAATATTTGAAAACTATCATTGTCTCCTTTTGTATTAAATATTTTCACAGTAGCACCAGTAGCCGAAGCTACTAAATATAAAGATGTCGACAAAATTAGACAATTATACTTTCCAAATCTTATTGACTTGTATTAAGCATACATCTTATATTGAGGATTAAACGCTTCTGCGTATTAACAGAGGATACTAGTTGTAATCAACCACCATGTTTAAGTGCTGAATAAATAGACTATTGTCTATCTGATTGTCGAATATAAAACATCCAAAATTTTCAAAATAACAAACTGCAAGTTCTCTTAATCACACACAGACTGAAAAAACCAACGAACTGATTAGAATCACTACCAACTCTTAAGAAAACACAGTTGACTATCCGAAGCACGTTTATCTCTTCACAGTTCTCATGAAACACTCGAGCGCTTGATTTCTTGAAATCACAAAGTTTTTCACATAGAATAGATCGCACTGTTTGAGATCACCACTGATTTAATTTAAAACAGATCCGTAACTATGGTACCGAACCATGCGCAAACTACGGGCAAAGCGTACGTGAATAGAGCCTTTTGTAAGGAAGGCCTTTGCGCTGAGCCCGTTAGCGTTCTGTCCACGGGTGCGGATTCTTGGGGCTTATCCGCGGATTGCGGGGAGATATCGGCGGTGCTATCCGCGGTATCTACTGGGATAATGTCGTCGGCGATGCGGCCTCGAACATTGACGTTGTTGGTGCCGGGCCCGTCAATGACGTTGGGCACGAAAGGTGTTTCCGGTTGCGGCGGCGCCGTTTCCGGTTCCCGTTCCGTTTCTGTTGGCTCCTCGAATTCTGGTATATGGCCTGAACCTATGGAGACAAAATATATTTGAGATATAATTTTGTTTTCTTAAGCATTTAACTGTTGGATGTTTAAATGTAAAGAAATTTTTACTAGAAAAATATGTATAATTATAATTGCAATTTCTATTATATGTGATTGTGGGTTACCTACAATGCGAAGAGATGGCGCTGCCTTGAAGTCTAAGAAATACTAGAGAAAATTCGACACGACCCTCTGGGACGCGGGTAGCATAATGGTCAATGCATTCGCCCGGATAGCGAAGGGTGCGGGTTCGGGTCCCGTCTGCTGCCTGGTCCACGTGGAATTTTTGTAGTAAAATTTTCTTTATATTTGAAATGTTAAGTTGACCTATACATAAAAAATCGTTAATCATTGCGCCAACGACCTCATCGTTGGCGCAATGATTAACGATTTTTGTCTGCAATCCTTGAAGTTAAGCAGCTTTAGCAAAGGTATGGGATGGGTGACCAAAAATTGCCTCCGGCTTAGGAAGGCAGTTTGAATTGTTTTCTATTTTATTGGCCATCGTCGCCAATTTGTTTAATAATAATCAGTAGATTATGTTCATAGCATTTATTCAATAATCAAAAATGACATAAAAACAACGCGATAACCAAGGTAGCAACTGCTTCGTGTTCTCTATTATATTTGAAAGGAGACTAGTATACAACAATAACGTATTATAATAAAGATATAATTTTATTTTTATAATTTATATTAATTTATTGTAAAGAAAAGTTTTAATAGAAAAAAATACACGCGAACCAGGCAGCAGACGGGACTCAAACCCGCACCCTTCGCAATCCGGACGAATGTACTGACCAATTATGCTACCGCGGCCCTGACGGCCGCGTCGAAATTTTCCTACCCTTAAGCTGCAAGGCAGCGCCATCTCTTCGCATTGTACGTAACCCACAATGTCAAATGAATACTTTTTCAAGTATTAAACATTTGAAAGAAGAAATAGCATTTATAGTTATGTTTTTATTTTTTAAGCATTACTAAAACTTAATTTATTGTGTAAAACTATGAGTGTTAATTATGTTTGTTTATTACTATTATTTAAATTCATTAATGATTATATATTTTTATGATTCATTGAAGGGTTCTGATACAACTATTCAAGTTAAGAGGATGAACTTATTGTGCTTAAAATTAACATTAATTATTATTAAATGCGGGTAGTTACCAATCTCGCCGTAATCTTCATCGTCGTCTGATTCGTCATCGTCGGCTCGGTCGCCGGAACCGGATCCAGAGCCGGAATCTACTAGATCCTGCCGCGATTGCGACATCTGCGGACTGGTGTCTGTGGCAACGTAAAACATTTATTAGATTCGATTAAGTGAAAAATTGAGAGTTAATCTTGCACGAACAGTTAAAAATATCGGAAATGAGCATTAGGAAAAACAAATTTTCGTAAGAGCTTTAAAAACATACTCAAAGCAGTATACTTATATTATAAATGTGAGTTTGTATGTTTGTTACTTAATCAAAAACTACTAAACGGATTTGGATGAAATTTGGTACGCATATAGTTTATGACTTGGATTGAGACATAAGATACTTTTTATTCCGAAAAAATGTTCGTTTCCTGAGGGATTTTCAAAAAAACTAAAGTTAACGCGAACGAAGTCGCGAGCGGCCGCTAGTTATTTATATGTAGTATAAAGACAAAGTCCCAGCTACTGTTATGTATACTGTAGTTTAATGGCTTAGCGGAAAAAAAAACCTTATTTTGGTCCTCATTCAAATACACTAGTGGTGTGTTCGCGACTTCGTCTGCGTGGAAATATTGATTTCCTATACAAACTTCCACCCCTCTTTTCACTCCCTTAAAGGTTAATTTCTAGGTGTAAAACTACATTATGTCCTTTTCCGGGACTTGAAACTTTCTATATACCAAATTTCATTTCAGTGGTTTAAGCATGAAGAGTTAACAGACAGACAGACTTTCGGATTTATAATATTAGTATGGAAGTATATATTAATTCTCCACCCCGTTGTAGGCGTCGCGCAGGGAGGCGGTGAGGGCCCACAGTCTGTTCTGCTGAGCCCTAGCGGAGTATGCATATCAGCAGAGTACAAATAATATAAGTTTGGTCCCAAGACCGATCCTTGTGGCGCTCCCTTATATATAGTCGTATTGTCCGATAACACTGTTCGACCATCATTAACACACTGTTACCGTTTAGTTAAGTAGCCATTAAACCATTTAATTGCTTCCAAATCAAAACCATAATTTGCTAGTTTCGACAAAAAAAATAATAACATCTTTAGAATCGAAAGCCTTGGAATAATCAAGTCAAGGAGGCGGTGAGGGCGCGCAGTCTGTCCTGCAGCGCCCGAGCGGAGGCGCCGGCGCCGGCCCCGAGAAGCCCCGCCCCGCACCTCCGGGGTGCTGGCTAGCCCTATATAGTATACTAGCTGACCCAGCGAACTTCGTACCGCCCTAAAAAAATAGGGGTTGTCCAGCGGACAAAATTGTGAATCTAAACCATTCTCAGATCCCCTTGAACACACACAAAAAATTTCATCAAAATCGGTCCAGTCGTTTAAGAGAAGTTCAGTGACATACACACTCACAGAAGAATTATATAATAAAGATGTAGTGCGGTACTGACTGGTGTCGCGCCAGGCGGTCTCCACCCCGTTGTAGGCGGGAGGCGGTGAGGGCGCGCAGTCTGTCCTGCAGCGCCCGAGCGGAGGCGCCGGCGCCGGCCCCGAGAGCCCCGCCCTGCACCTCCGGGGTGCTGGCTAGCCCTATATAGTGTATGTAGTGCGGTACTGACTGGTGTCGCGCCAGGCGGTCTCCACCCCGTTGTAGGCGTCGCGCAGGGAGGCGGTGAGGGCGCGCAGTCTGTCCTGCAGCGCCCGAGCGGAGGCGCCGGCGCCGGCCCCGAGAGCCCCGCCCCGCACCTCCGGGTTGCTGGCGAGGCCGGCCGCCCCTGACCCAGCAGCGCTTAGGGTGTAACTGCAACGAGAACACGTAAATTTATAACATACTAGCAAAACCAGCGAACTCCGTTTCGCCACCAGATAGCTTCGTTTTATGTAACATTTCGTTTTGTGATTAAAAGGAAACGATTTTTTTTTATTTTTTCCTGAATTTTCTTTGCTATAAACCTCACGGAGCCGGAGACCTTTCCAACGAATGCAAAACCGTGGAAATCGGTTCGTGCGTTCTGGAGTTATAGCGTCAGGAAGGAAAACCCGACTTATTTTTATATAGTAGATAACATGCAATGCGACAGCGCCATATTATAGCCACTTAGGCGAATGTAGGCTTGCAAACAATTTAAAAAACTTAATGGCGCGATTACATTTGGATTACGAGTGCTAATGGAATTTGGGTAAACGACTTAGTGTGTGTAAATGGACGGAGTCGAGTACCGCCGTATTCGGGTAGTTTTTGTTTTGGTTACCCGTCACCGTTTTCCAGTGTAAATATACCTTCGGGTGCCCGAATTCGAGTACACTTTTAACTGGCTTCCGAGCAGTAAACATCCCAGATACTACGGTCTTTCATTTAGACACTCATTTTAAAGCGAGCACTTCTGTTAAGATCTTGTGACACTTAAATTACATTGACAGGACTGCACTGATGATGAAATAAGGATTAAATAAGTACGTACAATCTCCTCACTTAGGGAACGTTATATATTATTATATATTAAAACAAAAGTCAAAAAATGACAAAGTATACTAGATCGGTCGGTTAACTAAGATAAGAAAAGATACAATCTATTTTGATCATAACAATAAATCATGTTTTGATAATAAGAGATGGTAATTAAGTTGTATTAAATAGTTCAATCAATCAAACTTATGACTGTAAAGGAAACAAAAGATTGTTGGGATAGTAGTTGATAATATTAGTAGTTAAATTGTTTAAAAAGAGGTATAATTGGAAGGAAAAAAGATGGGTGCAAGAACTGTCCCTTGTGGCACTCTCTTTCTATTTATAATCTTTATGTATGAATGTGAGATAATAAATAAACTTAGATTAGTTCAAAATTTTCCAACTTTCCTTTTTATCACGGTCAGACCGTAATTTAAAATCTGTCGCCTCAACTTTCCTGTTTTAGGGATTTTAATTCGGTGTACCGCCAATGCACCACCTCTCGCATGCTGTCCCGGAACATGGCCCTTTTAATTCTAAGAAAAATACATCCGTAGAAGCATTGCTATAAATAAAAGTGAAGACTCACCTAGCGACAGCAGTGCCATTGAAGCAAGGCGCGCTGGTGACACTAACTGGAGCACACAATAACGCGGGAAGCTGCGCCCAGTACCGCCTCCAGGTGTGAAGCCTAGCGCGAGCCTCTCGTACCAATCTCTCTAACGCCGCTCCGCCCCATTCTGAGTTACCACCAGATCCCCCGCTAGCACCCGCACCTATTGAGCAACGATAAAAATAATAAAACTACCGAAAAGGCTATTAGGTGGTTGCAAATTAACTGAGTAAAGTTAGTTTCTAAAAGAAAAGTTTTGCACTGGATAAATGCGAATTTAACTTTCTAGTTATTTCGAATTGAGTTGAGTAAAATGTAAGTAACTACAATTTTGAATCTTATTCATTTATTTCATGAAATTAGTTGATAGATTGCAAATTACTATCACATGGATAAAAGTAATGGAGAAATACGTCAAAAGCAAATAATAAAATAGATACACGATTGACAATAAATTGCGTTAATCGATAATACATCTACAAAATGTTAGGATAACTCACCATTAACGTCGTCGGATTTCGCCGAAGGCTTCTTCTTCTTTGATCCCCTCTTCCCATCAAAATCGAATGCTCTGTAGTCGATTTCAGAGCTAGCGGCCGCCGGCTCCGGCTCGGCGTCTCTCCGCCTTCTTTCATGTTCGTATTGTTCGTATTCCTTAAGGTCCATATTGCCCCTCATGTACTGCAAAAATCGTTCCCTGAGCTTAGCCTGTTCAGCCAACTCTTGTGTCGCTCGCTTGATCTCTGGAACTCTGAACGCGAACCTGGGATCATCGCGAACGCTCTCAAAAGAGGTTTCGATTTCAAAATCATCAATGTCGTTATCTCTATTCAAGCTGTAATCCGATTGGCGGACGGCACGTTTACTCCGGTCCGGTGCAAAGAACGGTCCGGCACCGCCGCCTCCCCCGCCGAGGACTGGCTTCCCGCAACCGGCGAATATCTTCTGCGATATCTCCTGGTTGTGCTCTTGGAAGCTCATGATCGCCTCAGATATCTTTATGTCTATAGGCTCCACAACCATCGCTATGTTGAAAGGTCCGAGTAACCTATCAGCCACTTTGTCAATAGCCTCTGTAAAATACCAATGGTTTTATTAGAAAAGGACGTAAATTGATAGGATCATTTCTGAAAATACATCTCTAAACATATTGTTATGTTTGTCGTCTTCCATTTGGAGCTACTTTGGATGATCCTTTCAATCAAATTCAAAAGACCATCCGAGCTTAATGTCTTATATGGCTTCAAACTGTAATATCTCATCTGTTACAAGCACTCATAAATCTTTATAAGCTATGACACTCGCATATTATATAGGAAAGTAAAGTGAAAACATCAATCGAAATTCTCAAGAGTTTAAATTATTATTTTTATATTATTTATTTATAATTAGTTTTTTTTTGTATTCTAGATTGCAGGTTTATATAGATATTGGCATGGCCATTAAAACAAAAAATGGTTGCCTGTAAAGTCGGTTTTACGGGCGAAGATTTTACGTGACAACGTCTTTTTCTCGGTAGAATATTTATTGATATGAATATAATTAAATTGCACAATAGGAACAAGGAATTGAATGAAAATAAGAATTGCACAAATTTTAACTATAGAAATATATTTTGTTTACTAAAACATTGTACATGTAAACTTAAACTCATCGTAACGTTACCGAGCGTTACACTTTTTCATAAGTGACTCCCAGCCGCAACCTAATTTAAGACGTTGTCACGTCAAAAGGTAACGCAATTCAATATAATCGGAAACATAAGTAGTTTTTATGTAGGTGTAATAAATGCTCTCTCTCTCTATTTGAAATTGGAACAGTTGTTTGATTCTTTAGTTAGTGCAACCTCCTTTTCGGGACACTAAACATGGTCCTTCGAGCCGGATGGAATGTGAATATGAGGTAATTTGTCCATGGACTCACCGACATACGCGTCCCAATGGTCGCCCAGGTCCGCGTGCGCGGGCAGACAGCCTCGGAGCACATTGTGGCAATACCGACTGCACGCAGGCGTATCGTCGCCGGCACAACTGCCGCAGAACCGCATACGGGACCAGGCCGTCACGCATTCCGATGTAAGTTTTACCTGCGAGCAAATTGAAGGATGCTTTAGGACAGGGATGGGCAATCTTCTTCCTTACAGTGCCAATAATAACTACAAGAATCTAGGATGCGTCAAGTTTTTGCTTAGGCTACGAATTTGTGAATTAAATCAAATTATAACTCAGTCACGAATACCCCTCACCCTGAAGCTCAGCAGCAGGGTAAATACGCCTTTGAAGTTTGCTGCGAAGGAAACAGGTAGGTACCAGGTTCGACAGCGGGGTGTTCCTTGTCAGTCACACACAGAACATGTGAAAACATTGTACTTTTTCGGTAAAAACCCTTGAATTTTGTTTGATTATCGTGGGCCTGAGTGTGCCAGATAGTGTTCATGTATGGTGTACGCTCTTGTCCGCACTGATGTTATAATAGGAAAGAGAACTGTGTCTACCTGTCTTTTCAACGCCTAAACCATTACTGTAACCTTTGAGGAATTTTAACATGTGCAATTGTACATTGATTGATATTTAAAGAAAGTCAGCTTTAGTTGCGTAAATAAAAGTAAATGGACTTGAAATTGGGAGAAGTTTATGAATAAAACATTTCATCTCAATTTCGCCCCCTCTCGATAGTTTGTATCTACAGAATCCAGACTAGCGAGTTCCGGCAACTAGAAGACTAAATCAAGTGCTTTTTAAATGTGAAAGGCTTGTTGTGGTCTTACTCGCCTGCTGGGAGCATAGCGCGACAAGGATCATCATCATCATCATCAACATATTAATGTCCCTACTGCTGGGGCATAGGCCTTCCCTATGGATGGAATAGGGAGATTGGTCCATTACCCACCACACGGGCCCAGTGCGGATTGGCGGGTGCTAACGACTGAAGATGCAGCCGGGACCAACGGCTTAACGTGCCTTCCAAAGCACGGAGGAACTCGATATGGAAGATTTTTGGTCATCCATCCAACGACCGACCACTGCGAAAGTTTCTTAACCTCAACGATCGCGACTGAACGCGCTAACCACCTGCGCGATCGAGCGACAAGAATAAGTGGGTATTTTTCCCAGTTCTCATTTCGTCCAGATGTATGTCTCGACGATATGACCCATACAAAACTTACCCCCAATGTCTATATTGGGACGATAAGAGAGAAAAACTATTGAAAATAAAATACCTATGTTTACAGTATCTGCGTAGGCTAATAGGGTTTGAAATCATCAGTGTATTATCAAATGAAATCTCACATTTTTACACTTGAGCCCATTACAATCCTGTCACAATAGTAATAGAACATCTGTCTAATATTTTCTCAGACCGTGTGTGTGTGACAGTGTTTTACGATAAACACAAACGAGTTAGAAGCGGTCACTTTCCTGTCTTACACTCTCCCAACTTTTATATTAAACAATTCATCACGTGTACTAAATGAGACGACATCGTTTTTCAAAAGAAATAAATGTGTCATACTCATCATAACCAACAATGAATGTAATTCCAAATATAGTGTTGCGAGACAAGAACAATAAAGCCAGACCATCTGAAGAGTGCTTAGCCTTATAAGATAATAAATCAAGTGATTCAGGCGCTGCTGAGGTCATCGTCGAGTGAGCCGCGAGTAGGGTTACCCTTTAGGAATTTCAAAAGTCCTTACATTTCGAAAAAAGTCCGGACCTATTAGTCACAATTTGGTACCATTACTCACTTAGTTACAATTATACCATTGTATTTAAACCAATGTGTACTTTTATTATTCATATTCAATGTAATATAAAAAATCCGAAAAAGTCCGGACATGTCCGGACTTATCCGAACGGATGGTAACCCTAGCCGCGAGTGATCTATACGACGACAAATACTCGCCACGAGTATACAACAACAAATACTGGCCACTCACTCTCGAGAACTGTGATACAATTACGAGTTGTCCGAGTCTGTTCATGCTATACGGTCATATAAAGGCACTGTCCCACGACGTGTGTTGGCGCGGGTGAGGCCGCGCCGCGCTAAACGCTAAACGTATGAGAACTCTTAACGTTCGATATTTATCAGTATCTATACATGATACGAGGTAAATAGAAATCTCTTAAACTTTTATATGAGATTTCAACAATGTTGACTGTTCCAAAAATCAAAAATATTATCAGAAAGTAAATTTATGTCCACGCTATCACTCAATGCATCCTTATTCATATCATCACTTCGTAGCATTTACAGACTGCTAAATCTCTATAATACGTTTGGCAACCGTGTGTGTTTCCGTGGCGAAGCCGCGGCCTCGCCCGCGACAACACATATCGTGGGATAGCACCTTTATATAGAAGTGAGGACCCGCGTGAGACCGTGCCGTGTGGATAAATTGCTTTCCCATACAAAAGTCTACCCCATTTTTAATCCCCTTCAAGGATGATGCAAGTACCGAATCTTCAATATCGCGCGCTTTCGCGACTTCCTGTTACACACTTCCGTCCCATTTCACGAAATCACTCCCACAAATTGCAGAAAAGCGAGAGGAAAGATGTTACACATCAAAAAATGTATTTAAAAATCTCAGTAATAAAATATTCTGGGTATTTTAAACAAGCAACTTTCTTAAACTCCATACGTTCAGTCAAGAGCCCTCGAGTCGAGGAATTGGCATAAAACATAAGACAATCACGTGGTATTGGACGAAAAGCATATTTAGGGAATAATTAGTAGGTAATAGTAAAGTTTCCCAATCTACCATATCCGTTGACCCGCGGGGTAAAGCTCTCAGCTGGCCTATTCTATTTCTTTCACTATCACTGTCACATCAGCATTGATAATCAATACTAGACAAAAGTAAAAAACTCAATTCAAAATTAGAAATCCAAGTCTTTTATCAGCGGCTGTAATACAACGCGGATTCCGCAGTGAAAAATGAGTTTGTTCTTACAGAATAGCGGTGCTGCTGAAAAATATACACGAAATATTTTAATAGTTGGCGCCAAACGAGATCAATGGACGATAAATTAATTTGCGGTTAGTTACCCATTATGATTCATCTTTAGAGTCGGAATTTCAACAGCCGAAGGTCGACATAGTCTCGAATGTAAATTTAATTGAACACAGAAGAGCATCAATATCCTTTCAATAGCATAATTTAATATTATATTAGTTTAAAGAGATAAGGTTCTAATAAAGTCCATTTGCGAGTTAATTTTGGACATGACACAATCTTGATGTCGATTTAAAGACTGAGTACCTATACGTTTCGACAAAATGTTATTGATTGAAGCATAATTAATTACAACGAATATAAATTTGACCAATAAATATTCATTAACTTAATATTGCGATCGTAATTTTCAACCAAGCTATTTAGATAACGTACTTATATTAGATTCGATTGTTAAACATTTCAAGGATTTTAAAAAGTTTGAAAATAATCATAATTAGGTTATTCAAAGAGTAGTCGAGTACATTTGAATGCAGCTGGATTAACAAAAAATAGGTATCTAGGCCACTGTCTGGCTAAATATATTTTGTTTTAATTTTCATGCAAAACATATGTATTCTCAGCTTTGAAGGTGACATACGGTAACCCGCTGAGATTGCGGTAATAATTTTATACGTGCGTAGATATCTCTCAAAGTTATGCGGAGTGCGAACCACCATATTTGAATAATGTTGCCATTCTGATGCCTCTCGGCTCTGATCGACGGTACACATATGTCATCGAGAATGTAATATAACAGATGGTAGTACTATTCTCCTTGCAAACATGCTCGTTTTAAGGGTGACATCAACGCTTTACTGTGACTAATACATTTTCAATATTTTACAAAAACTTTACTATGCTGGTTGACCTTAAAGTCGATATTTCCTTGGCAATAGCAAGGCAATACGAATTTGTCTATTAATGTCCCCACTGCAGGAGCACAGGCCTTTGCTACGGAAGCAACAGAAAGACTGGCTCGTGAGTGACCCACCACGCTGTCTGGCTTAACGTACCTTCCGAAGCACGGAGGAGCTCCAGATAATTTTGTTTTTTGGTCACCCATCCAATGAGCGACCATTGCAAAGTTGCTTAACATTCACGAGCACAGGCCGAATGCACCATCGAACTCCTTTTTCATAACTTATAATAATTTAATGAACACTATAAAGCTACCTACCACAATCTCCATAAAGCTAACGAAAAATGTTTTTAAATAACTGCTAACTATTGGGCCGCGCTGTTAAGTCGTGCAAGAATGTGTTCTCATAGCCGCTCACACATTTTAATGGACAATATTACAGAGAAAATTAATGTTTATTATCCAATTAAGTTATAAAGTGTGCACGTGAATTGTGCAATCAGGCTTCGTTAAAATATCTTATATCAACTATGGAGAGGACAGCTACTAGCTGTCGTTTGTTCATGTTGCTCTTGAAACACATAAGAATGCCTTAATAGTAAAAACAAGAATCTGTATTCAGACAGTCAAATAATAAACTTCCAGCTTTGATTGAATTATTTGATCAAAAGTTTAGTACAACATCATGTTTAAATATATCGCCAGTGTCGCAATTTACATTTGTATGCACCTCATTGCTTTTATTTAGAATTTGTAACATCTCATTGTTTTAAAAGTTATCAATTCTATTTTTACACATGTTACTACGATTGAAGGCATTTTGGGTTTAAAATTTGTGAAAATGACAAATAATAATTTATTGACCACTTGTATAGTGTTCTTAATTCAAATTAAGGCTTAATTGTGTTCAGTGCATCATTCTCTCCGTGTCAATTGTTATAATTCAAATAGAGATGGCATGAGGCTGAAACAGGACCGATGCATTTTATATTTGAAATAAGAACTTTGGTCCAAGTGGGCCCATAAAAAAATCCCACAATTGGTACTGTGTCAAATAATTCATTAAAAAAATAAACCCATTACATATTACAATACTTTCAAAGGCAAAGAGAATTACGAATTACGGCTCAGGCTTTCGCTCGAATTGAATGTTCATTTGGGGAAATAACACACTTTATAAATAAACACTACTTGGTGGTGTTGTTGTTTTTAGAGCTGGCGAGGATGGCTTTGTGCCACATCATCTATCTTCGCAAATGGACTTCACTTACGCTTAATAACAGGTGGAATTCGCAAAATCTCTGGCATATGTATAAAAATGACAACATAGCTTTTGTTAGCTTGTCTATGATCTGGGTTAGATTTCTAAACGGTCATAAGTGTTTTAAAAATACCCACCATTTAGGAAAACAGTAATGTTAGTTGAGGAGCCAGTAAGGAGTAAGAGGAAATCGATGGTGCATATAGTTAGCGCGTTCGTCAAACGTGCGATCGTGAAGTTAAGCAACTTTCCCAGTGGTCGGTTATTGGATAGGTTACAAAAAAATCAACTATCTCGAGCTCCACCGTGCTTCGGAAGGCACGCTAAGCCGTGGGTCCTGGCTGCATCTGCATCGTCGTCAGCACCCACCAATCCGCACTGGGCCACGTCGGCCATGGTCCAATTTCACTAATCCATCCATAGGGAAAGCCCCGGGCGCCAACAGTGAGGACATTAATATCCTAACAATGGTGAAGGTAAGTTACCTGCATCATGTTCCGTACGACGTCTGCGCCGGCTTGCAGCGCCTTGTGGAATGTGCGCGTCGCGACGAAAGCCCGCCGCAGTTGCACCGACAGCTTCTGCGGCACGTCCTCGAACGGTTTTATCTCGCGCATGTGCTCGTTCACGCACGACAAGTACCTGCGGAATATACTCTTCGTCAGATACGGTGATGCTATCGCATCGCTAAACTTTAAAAATATTTAAATGATCTGTAAAAAAATTTATGAATGGTCACCTAAAAATACAATCGGTAACTTAAAGGTTAGGTTAGGTTAAAAACTCCAGATATATGGTATTAAATTTTAACCCTGTACAGTTACGAAATAATTCCGGGATTTAACTGGGCACTTTACTCTCTCTTGACCAGACAAATAAATCAGACCGAAGGCAGGTAACGTCGTTTCGTTAGATTTTACAGATGGTAGGAAAGCATTATCTGTGGTTCCTCCAATACAACGGTACAAATCGAAATAATCCTATTTAGACTTCGGTGATTGTAATATTCATTAAGAGCTATGAATAGTAAGTGGCTTCTGAGATATATATATATATATATATATATATATATATATATATATATATATATATATATATATATATACATCTTGCTGATCATGTTGCGTCTTATATGGCGATTTTTGCTATTGATCCTGCGTCCGACCGACTTGATGCGTCCGGTATACGGACGCAAGATTAACCTAGCCTCATTTTTGGTGCAAAGACGTCTTTTCATGCATAGAATGCATGGGCAAAAATTTGGCGTGGACTCAATTTCATCACCAGAATGCTTTTTAACGTATTTCATAGTGCAACCATTGACCGTGCGGAATTTGGAGGGTGCTACCGTGCAGTGTATATTTTGCAATGTATATTTCGGGTTCAATTTACAGATTTTATTGCGTCTTCCTATATATATTTAAAAAAGTTTTTATCAATTCTCTACGATGATTACCTTGCATCCAGTAGGCATCTTAATTTGCGAGATCGCGCGACACCTGAGGGGCCCGTTTTGGGTGCATGGGAGAGACGAAACTGGGCGTTCTACGGGTCGCGTGTGTTTGTATACAGATCCGTGCTCCGTGGACGCAAACTTATTACCGGAGTGAAATTTATCGTATTATTTGATAGAAGTAAATAAACGTAAAACAATGAAGAGATTTTTTTTATTTTAGCAATTTTGATATTTTATACCATTGATAACTATTAGGATATTATTGTTTTGTTTCCGTTTTAGATTTTTTATAATGTAGATACATAATGAACCTACACGATTAATCGATATTAATGATCGAGAGAACTTTAACAACGTTAATTATTAGCCCCTATTTTATTAAGAATGTGATTCATTTGTTATTTTGTGGTAATGTACCTACCTACAGAGAATTCTTGTGGAAACTGTTAGTTAAATTGTTAAGTATACAGTATTGTTCAGCCTTTGTTATGGTATTTATAATATCACATCTAGAAAACTTGTTAAATATGTCACTGAAGTAAACTCAAGCTTATTTCTATGCACCATTTGCTAATTTATATCATTGATTTTTTTTTGATATCCCAATTAACCTTACCTCTTCACTATCACTTAGTATGTATACACGTATTCACCTTCCTTATAACTTATACAAATTCAAAATTCGAATTCAATATCAACGCAACCGTGCCCCCCACCAACACGACAAGACGAGCCAAGCAAAGTGCAAGGGCTCCACCTAACTTTTCCCGAAGGACTTCGTCATTTTAGTGGACCTTTATAAGTAGGGTTTGGATTATCCACATAAAAAAATCTCGAGTTATATAAGTAACGGTGAAGTCCAGACGCGAAAGCTGATACAGCAGTTCACCTGCCACACCAGCCATCCTCACCCTGCCGGCCTGCATGTTGCTTCTTCACGCCTCTTTTAAAGAATCCCAGGTTGTAAGAGGGAGGGAATACGTGAGCGGTCAGCGCATTCCATCTATGGATAGTGCAACAAAAAAATGAGTCAACAAATTTCTTTGTACGCGTTGGAATTGTGGCAACAGTTAGTCGGTGACAACGTAGGTCAGCGCGCGAGGTCCAATGAAGGAAAGGGGAAGGTGGGATAAGAGAGAATAACTCCTCAGAACACTCGCTGTGGTACAGACGATAGAACGTGCTTAGTGACGCCACGTCACGGCGTAATTGTAGAGGCTCTAGGTGTTTAGTCACCTCTTCATCGCCTATAATGCGGATCGCGCGCCGCTGTAACCCATCCAAGGTATCGAACAAGTACTTGGTGGAGTCATCCCAGAGTTGCGAGCAAATTTCCACGCAAGACCGCACCTGCTCCTTATACAACAAGCACAGTTAAATTGCTCGGGCGTGAAAAAACGCCGAAAAAAACCTTGAAATAAACCTTGTTCAGGTCTCCAAGACATGAAAGGAATGGCAACGTTTTTGCCGTGAAAGCGCAGACCTGGGTTTTGTTAGCATTGAACTCAACCAAACCTGGTACCCCATTCAGAAATATGGTCCAAAGCCTGATTGAATTCAATGACAAGATTCTCCCGTTTCTCCTTGGTTACCGCCTGCCCAGCCGCTGCTTGTCCGAGATACCCCGCATGCACTGTACTATCGTATGCATCGCAATGAATATTCCCAAAAGGAATTTTAGAATCATAGTGGGGGATAGGACGGAGCCCTGAGGAACGCCGTCATTCACTGACATGAACCGCGAACTGTTACCATTCGTAAGGACACGAATTCTACGTTCATGCAGGAAGTCAGCTACCCAAGAACAGAACTGTGCCGGCAGACCGTATGCCGGAAGCTTGGAGAAAATGCTTTTGTGCTAGACCCTGACGAACGCCTTGGCAATGTCAAGGCTGATAGCCAACGACTTGCCCCGCTTGTCGATAGCCTCACCCCAGATATGAGTCAAGTACGCTAGAAGATCACCCGTCGATAGTTTGGGTCTAAAACCATATTGAAGATCATTAATCAAGGATTCATCCTCTAGGTAGTGGGTCAGATGGTTGTTAAGAACCTTTTCTAGGACTTTATTGGGGTGACTGCTATTGGCCGGTAGTTTACCGGGTCTGACGGATCCCCTTTTTTGGGCACCGGTTGCACGTTGGCATCTCTCCAAGTCTCCAGCACACGCCCCAAAGAATGAATATTGGTACAAGCGCGTGAAAGCGGAAGACAACTCCGCTGCACATTTTTTTGGTACTACTAATGGGATGCCATCAGGTCCACCAGCTTTCCGGATGTCGAGTGATTGCAATTCGACACGAACCTCATGCTGCCTGATTTTAATATCAGGCATCGTTGTGCCACAATGAGGTAATGATGGTGGCAGTGCATTGCAAATATCGATTCTGGAGTTAGCTGCAAAGAGTTTTGCCAGTAAATCGCCTTTCTCCCGTGGCTTGATGAGCTAGTGTTCCGTCAGGGCATCTCAGAGGTGGCAGCGAGAGCTGGCAGAAGTTCTTTTGCACGGCCTTGGCCAAACGCCAATAGCTACGGGAGCCCGAAGGATGCGTTATAAGTTCGTGACCAACACGTGTAACGCTCTGGGCATCCGCTGTAATCCTTCTTACAGGTCTTGAAAGTAAAATTATAGGCTGCTTTTAGTGAATCGACCCCGGGATCCTTAAGAGCGCCTTAGATCCAAGCACGATATGCCGCTTGCTTACGCGAAACAGCTTCAGCACAGTGGTGATTGAACCAGAGGTTACGTGTGTCCTTACTGATGAGATTGGAATACCTGGGGGTATGCACCGCTATACTTAGTTGTTTTAGAGGCTGCCATGGTGGAATTGAAAAAGAGACGTGAAAATGAGCGGGCGGTGTCGCGAAGAGTCCTGGCAAATTAGGAAGATTTGTTTTCCCGAATGACTGCCTGCAGAGGCGATGCGCCGACCCGCCGGACGGAAGGGCCCCCGCACCCCCCGGGAGTGGCCGCCGGGACCCCACGCCCCGGTCACCAACCGGCACGACCCCCCACCCCGAGATTATGCGTGACATGGTAGGGCAGCCTCACGAACTGGTTAGGAACGCTCGGGCCCCTGTACTGTGCCACGGGCGGCCAGCGGGACAGCCGTTTCTACGGGTCTCCCTGGACGGCGGGTCGATGCAGTCCTACCGGTATCGGTTCGACGGATGTCTTCCCTGGACTGAATCAGTCGCAACAACCTCCACTCGAGCTCTGGTTGTACGCTGGTTGACCCCGAAACACGCGAGAAGCACTTAACGGGGTTTTCACCATGCGCGCGGTGGTAACAAACCAGGCGGGTGTTAGGCCGTATACAGAAAGAAAGCCGAAAGTCGATCGGCGCCTATTGACGCTGATCCTTTTTCTATGGACCGACACGCGCTGGTCCGAATAATAAATAATTTGTATTTGAATTATTATCCTTAGATTAAATCAATCTAAGTTATAATCTTTTTATAAATCTAATAACTTTATCTTTTATTAACTACGCGCTAAAATTATTTGTTTCGTACTTACCGAATGGTGACAACAAGTCTTTCTTCTGGAAGGATTGGTTGTTTATGCCAATTGCCCCAATTTTTCATCAAACGGTTTTTCACTAAATCCAAAATGTAATAAAATGTTTCTTGAAACATTCTTGTATATGTATAAAATCTTTGTTCATCAAATTTAATTTTTTTTACAAATAAATGATGGTATTCTCCGAAACGTTTCCTTTCTCTATTTATAGGATGTATAGCTGTTTTTCGCATTATTAAATAAACATTTTCTAACAAAACCAAATCATCGTCCGATGAGTCCGACATTTTGCTTGATCTGCTTTAATCGGCTTCCTTCATGTAGGAAGGATCGGCGCCGGTCGGCTTTCGGCTTTCTTTCTGTATACGGCCTTAGGCACCGTAGCATCAGAAGAGCGGATGGAAGCTCCGATGTCCCTCATTCGCTTCTTACGACACCCACGCGAAGAGAAGGGGCGGTTCCGTCACCGCACTGATAAATTTGGTCTTAGTGTTAGGGCTTGTAGAGATAGAAGCATGGCTCTACGTACGATCTGATAACTTTTTGTCGTACGAGTGATACATGATCCCGTCTTGGCAACATTTTCCATGAAAATGTTTTGGAGAGATCTTTTATTCAGTTCAGGCTTTCAGGCACTTGTGTACGTCAAGAAGCTACCCCATACAAATCTACCTTGTACTAAGAAGCGGCAAGAAACTCAGCAAGAGCTTGTGTTTTCACCCTGTAGGTTTCCGAGTCATCAAATTAAAAAATGAGGACAGAGATAATTCATGAAGTCTTTTTCCATTACATATTTTTATTCTTTATTTCGAGCCTGAGTTTCGAGCCTACCTACTTCGAATTAATCTATTTACACCAACTTTTCTTATTGTCTAACTATTATTATCTTTCCTAGGTACAACAAGGCTGGGTGGCTTGTATTGCTTTCAGATTACCTTTATACAAGGATTTATTATGGATACCCACATTAACCTGACTAACTTTTACATTGGGAAAATGAATAATACACCTAGACTTGCGACCAATCTCAGTGTCTGATCATAAGCCTACCCACTTAAAACCATACAGATCGCCATTGGACATCTCTTGGCAGTACCAGCATCAGGCAAGACACCGGAACAGACAGTATTCTAAGTTATCCTTGGTGGATCCCTTCGACTCCGTTGTCGACGATGTACACAGAGTACGACTATATTGTCGTTGGGCCCGTAAATTACAGGGTCAAAGGACAACCAAGCTCGAATCCCACCGGTACTCTTGAAATTCCAGACCAGCCGAGCTAAAAAAGTTATCTTAAATATGATCATGACTTTAATAAATAAAAATATAAAGACAAAAAGGTACGGACCAATGTAAACTTTAAAATATAATAAAAAAAGAACTTCCCTGTCTACCCGACTGATCTGTGTAAAACTCAAAAATAACGATCAAGCTTTGAACATAAATAAGTAATTGTAGGGATCTACAGGTACTTCTACATAGGTATGTACTACTCCAAAGAGAAGAGTGCTGGTGCACCTGGAAGCCGGTGGACTAGCAGGATGAATATTATTGATATACAGTACCTACAGTATCCGGAACTAACATATCTCTTTTTAAATTTGAGGGACGTAACTTTGTAAAAATAAATCGTATTATGCAGAATCAATTTAAACATAAGTTTGGACGGAGGTAGGAGCATTTAAGCAGTGCATAGAAGGTATACGTACATATTCAGTGTGCTGTATGGTTATGGTGGTGAACGGATGCGCTAAATTACCAGGAAATATTAAAATCGAATATTGGCATTTTATATTTTAATGCAATTCCGCGTAAACACAAGAAATTATAATAATAATAGCTACTTAAATACGCATTTAAAACATTCAAAATCGCGTCGAGTACAGTGGATGCCGTAGGGTGGCAGTTTGTAAAGATGCAAGAAGTCTTAGAAGATGTAAATATATATGTATATATGTATAATAATAATAATAATAAATATTCTTTATTGCACACAACAAAGGACACAAGACATAAACAAATAAAACAGAAGAAAGAGTACAATAGGCGGCCTTATTGCTAAACAGTAATCTCTTCCAGGCAACCTATGGTGGAAGAGGAATAATAATATAGAAAAATATAGAAGGGTGCAAAAGAAAAAAAAATATATGTACAAAAAAGTAAAAGAAATATATAGTCTCTAATCTAAAATGTTTTCATAACATCGTGTTACAATTCAAGAAGTTTAGAACACTTATGCTGACAGAGTTTCAATACAAATAAAATACTATAAACTAACAGTTACCCAATGTCGCCCAACGCCCGACTATAATCGATGTTCTGAATAAAAAATCATTCGTATTATTTAGAGTTCAGACATGCAATACGAACTTGAAGTGTAAGGAACCCATTGTTTACAGAAGAGGGCCCATAAAACACTTAAGCGGACAGTTTTATTGTTATGGACACGTAAACAAACTATAAAAACGATAGTAAGGCATAAAAGCTACTGAAAAATGCGTTATGATAAGTTTATAAGATGAGTAATCTGACCCTATGGACTATTTAAAGCGATTCGTCACTTTGTAAAAGGGTATCGTTTATATTCACAATTACTTTATTCAAGTCCCGCCTTTTAGCAGTTGACGTGTGACACACAACACACATTGATTGGACGCTTTTTTATATATGAAATAAAGATAATGTGAATTCAGGAACAAAAGATATAAATGTTATTTTCGCTTATAAGAAAACCGCGCTTCTGTAATTAGGCATAATCTGAGAAGCGAATGATGATTGCGATATTTAAATGACCTTTTTATTATTATTCTCTTATTGTATATAATTTGTAAGGAGGAAACGTTTTTTGACATAATTTGGGGCTGGGGTTTTATTAATAATGCGGGATCTAGTTGAGAACCAGCGTCAGCTCTTTGAGCTGACACAATGCTGAACTTAGATCCTATTTGGCGCAGGCAGGCATTTTCTACCAAGTTTGGATTATTTACCTCTTTTTTGTTTTTCGTAATACAAACTGTATCTCTCTTTTCTATTGTTATAAATATTCCTTTATATAATTGCATATAAATTGCAAATCTAGCTATTTTGAGCCTACCGTGTCAAATAAAATTATTTCGATTTTTTTTGTCTTTTTGTTTTTAGTGAGATCTTATTGTGACATTAATGTAAGTAATAAAATTTATTTAGTCCAACGGTTATTTTGAATTACCGTGAACCACAGATGATATCATCATTATGGAAATGTCATGCGCAGCCATTATAGCGGACCGAGCTTGTGGTCATGAAACAGTATAGGACGACTGTTACTTATGTATAATTAACTTAAGCGTTTGAATACGTGCAGTATACTGTCATATACTATTAAGAAATTATAAATCAATTACGTACAATAATACGTTGTCGATACAGAAACTGTTAAAGTAATATCTACCTTTATTTTATAAACGCAAACTGTGAAGAATACATAATAATTAATCAAAGCTGAAAAGTGAAATAATTGCAATAGTGATTCTACTAATTGTAATACCTCATTTATGAAATTTTACAAGTTGCAGTAACGATTATAGAATATAGATATTATTAATGACACAGTGTGTGCGCGCCACTTACTTTTCATCAAAACTGTACTGGGAGTTGAGTACCGTGAACATCTTCTGGTAGAGAATGCCGAAGAATTTGTCCATCATTGCGTCAAACTCTACATCGCCTTCATTATAGTACCTGAGAGCAAAAAAAATATTACGATATAATTAATGCTTTTTATGTAATTCATAAAACTCTAAATCTTGGAGAAGATAAATTCACTGTCCTTTCTTTTAAACTTAACATCTTTAAAATTAATAAATACTATTAAATTTATTAACATTGCATAAATTCTTATTTCATGAATAGGTAATGCAGAAGACCCAATAGTCAGCTGAAAATCAAAAAGTCCTTGGGGAAATGGTATGTGGCTAGATTTCATCCTGCGAAATTGCTATACAGCTACAGGAAACCCGTTCGATACTTAAATTCGTAAATTGTTGTCATGTTTGTTAGAGCAAGACTACATGTGAACCTTGTAATCTATAAAGAAATTTAAGTGATAATTTTGAAGGTATCGAATTATTAATCGTCGCATCGCATCGTTCTAGCTTTGACCAAAAAAAATTAATCGTATTAAAAAGCATATAGAATTATTTAGTATGTTTAGTACTGTGATGTCAATAATCTTCTCAATTGCATTCAAATACAGAATGATTCGTACTTCTTGCCTTTAGTTCAATAAATAAATGAAGCGAACTTTCATTATGCCATACAGACCATCGTTCTATTGTTCAAATACATAGGCGTAAATCGCATCGTGTACTGTCTCAACACTAGGAAATAATAAATCTGATTACCTCTCGAGTTCTTCGAAGAGTTTCGCAAATACATAAGAGTGTTGTTCGTAGATCATGCCATACGTTCTCTTGAACATCGCGTGAAACTCGGCCTTGGACATGTGTAATAACTTCTGGAAGAAATCTGAAAAGAAAAAAGATAACTTTAATTCAGAGTTTCTTATACTATCCTAATTGAAGATTGAAAATAACCGAATGTCTTGGTATGGACAAATGTGATGAATAAATATTAATAAATGGACATGAAAGGGAGAGGTAGACCGGAGACACTTTTAGACCATCGAAAGAAATATTTACCATACATACAAAACATGACTTTAACATTATAACGAACACTCATAAACAAGATGTTCACTAACGAAAGATCGAAAAACATCATTCTATATATTCTTATCTAGTGACAGAAAATTATTGTTTCAAAGCTATTTATCTTCATTCGTGTATAAACGTATTTTAAGAACAGTATCACATATTGGGAACTTAAGGAAAACATTAATTAATCCTGATATAAACAATATTTATTTCTTAAGAAACGATGATTCAATTACTTCGTACATCGATCGTTGGAAAATTGTGTTTACACCTCTCTTGCTTCTTAGAAAGCACAAGACATTTTCACGTCACGCGGCTAAAAATAAAAGTGCACGAAATCTTCATTTTGAAACAAATGAAAACAGATGTTCGCAATCGCTACACGTGAATTTTTCAGGAGTAGGTCAATGACATCAGGAAACCGAAATGGTGTTTTTTTTTTTATATTGTGAACGCGGCTGTGGTGTCGCGTGTAACCATTTGTATTTGCGTGATAAACTAAGGAGCATCGTTCAAAGTCTTTTTCTGAGTGTAGACACATTTTATGGAAAACATATCTACAACATTGTTTGCGTGGATAGAATTTATGGAGCAAGAGGTTACGTAATTCAAATCAAGTTCATATATTTCGACTGAACAATTAACAATAGTCATTAATATGTCGTATTCCGACGGTGTGAATCCTGGCTTCAAACTGACTGTCTAAAATAGCTATAACACCCCATTTTTAAAAGAGGCCTCCATTCTTTCGTTATCCCACAACTCATGTCCGGTCTTGGGTGCCACGGATTTAAGATCACCTACTGAAATTTTTAATTCAACGACAGAACGAGTCCGGATTTAATCTGGTACACATTTAGGTTATACCTGAACCCAAAGGCTCATTTGCAATTCTCACATCTAATACATGTTCGCACACGAAGTTTCTGTGGGTATATTTACGGGCCATTTAATTTTATTGTTTATAAGGAAATGCCATAACATCCTAAACTTTTTGAATTTGTTTTATTATCATTTATCAGTTCTGTCTTATAATAACCTACTTAATTAGAAAACTAGTGGCCCGCCCTCGCTTCGCTTCGGTGTAGAACAGTAGTGTAGGTAGACTATTGTTTTTGTTTTCAGGCTTGTATTATATACACATTTTTTTTTATAATTTTAAACATTTATTTAACTGATAGTTTTTTTTTCACACCCTGGGTTACGTTATCGAAGTTTTCATACGAAACCCAAACTTTTTTGAAAATACTCTATAGCCTATGTTCATCAGGGATAATGTAGGATTACAAACGAGAAAGAATTTTTCAAATCGATCCAGTAATTTCGAAGTCTATTCAATACAAACAAACAAACAATTAAATCCTTCCTCTTTATAATATTAGTATAGATAGTTTATATGATGATGCTATATAAAAAAATGCCGTAAATAAGGACAATTACAATGTTAATGAACTCAAGATTATACTAATCAATATACTATAATTTGCGGTTGTCTCATAAATTCTGTTTAATAAGATGACTTATTAGCAATTTATTAGCATGATTCACATTTGCACATTAATGAATCAGTTGTACTTAATTAAACTCATTGAACATTAATACAACAACGGAATAGATAAAGGTCCTTTTAACTAATCCGTGAATAACGTATTTTATAGTAAACTAATGGGCACGCGCGACATAGCGTGAAAAAAATTATTTCCCATACAAAATTCTACCCCCCTTTTAAGGTGATCTCTAGGATGAAAACGATCTCCTTTCAAACTCAAACTATACAAAATTTCATCTAAATCGGTTCAGCGGTTTAAGCGTGAAGAGGACAGACGGACAGTCTTCCTTCGTCTTTATTATATTAGTATGTTAGTATGGATGGATATAAGAATTTAGTTTTCCTTTCTACACACAATTGGTAACTACGCCCTTATTTTACAGGGTCAGCAGATCATTTTAATGACAGACAAACAAACATGGCATAAATATTGCACCTATAGACATACCTTGACGGCCGACTTCATTTTACATTACTGGCACTCAGTCTGGTCGACATTATCTTGGCCGGTCGGAAGATACCGAATTAAGCAGTTTGGATTTTTAAACGGAATAAAATTGTACTGCGCATCCAAACAGCTCATCTTAGAGTTAAGTTAGACGGCTAAATTCTATTCCACTGTAATAATTTGCTAGCCTTCATCCATCGGTCGGAATAATTACCAAAAATCCCCTAACTTAGAAAAACTTCAGGTTTTTCGTTCTGTTTGCACATTCCATAACATTTTTTTGGTTCCCAGTCAAATTTGGTAATTCCCAATAACAATATGTGTACACATGCATACTATACTGGTCAAGGAAAATAATCGTCCATGAGTTCTTAATTCATCTTGTGGGCGTTTCTATTAACTTTATCGATTACTAATAAGCATTTAAATATCAGAGCTTCGACCCACGCCTCAATGCGTTTTACCTATCGCGACTTCCGAAACAAATTTTTAATTATAAACATTCATAGTGTTTTGTGGGTAGCGTCAATCAAAGGCTATCTTTATATTAATATAGTTGGTGTTATAACGACCCCTAAAGGTAAAAAATGAGAAAGAAAAAAGGTATTAGACAGAACCAAATATATTGATTTGATCCTAAAGTACGTAGGTGGTGCTAAAGTACTTGTGTTTAGAAATCACAAATAACGAAGGTCGAAAGACCATACACAGACCTAAGACAATATACAAAAGTAAGTTTTTTAGATTGCCTAAATTGACTTACCGGGAGTAAATAGAAATTTAATCATCAATACTTGAAATTCACAGAAGGAGAATAAAAGATTCTGATAACCGCCCTCAGTCAAATATACATAATTATAAAAAATCAATCGAGTCTTGCCAAATGCACTTAGAGACTTCGAATAACTTATAATTACAATCTGATGCTGTCAAATTCTTTTCTATAACAACAGAATAATATTACAAGTGACTTAATGCATTATGTTGGTTACTGGGTGCACCTTTAAACCTTTCTTTTTTAATATATTTGTAATGCGCCACACTCACGTTGAAACGGCTTGATTGCATGTCAGTCGGCAGATGGAAAATAGATCCTTCCGTTAAGTAGCATGTCCTTCCTAACCTATTTGATCAAACCTATCAATATATCATATATCATCAAACTTATTTGATCAATAGACATGAAGATGAGTGAACGCCATTACTCCTTTCCTCCACATTTCACTATTGACACCTTATTCTCGATTTGTTTCTTTCTAGAAACAAGTAAATATGATTTACAGGAAATGGTACTCTATTTCCTGTTTCTGTGCTTGTACTGCTATTGCTACCATTGTATTGTGAACACTAAAGTATAAAATCAATATTAGCTACGTGTAATTCTCTGCTTTCATCCGATTATTACTTATACAGTCCAACGCTCCACAACAACACAGTGCGACTATGTATAAAGGTGGGACAAACGACTAGGAAAAGGAAGCTATTTAGCTAATACATTTCTGAGTTCGATCACCGCACCGTCACAGTTAGATATATAGCAGGTAGACATATCGCACACCGTGCTCTAACACTTCTACACGCTCTAGAACTGGAACACGACATGCTATCGGTAAAGAAAATAAGAACAACGATCAATGATTATTAACAATCATATAAATAACATACTATCATGTGTATGTAACCACAGTAAGAAACTGGTGGAAATTCCGTGAATAATAATAAACCATAACAATTTTATTAGCAGTTAGGAAAAATAACGCCTAATATCAAACTCGAAAGATACCTGATATTCAGAAACTCTGAAGTCCTTTCCTTATCGCAAATATTAATCAAACAGTGTATTTTTTTTTATTTCATAGACAAGACTAGAGGACAAGAAGAAAAGGTTTGTTTAAAAATAACCAACTACTTTAGCGCATCGGTAACATAAAATTTGCAGTTTGCATATCCGCTATATCGGCCGGCTGCCAAAGGCGACGCCGCGCTTCTGTTTGAATATAAATAGCATATCCGTTACTTAAACATTGACGTCATTTTCTAGCAAACTGCATACATACGTGAGTGAGACTCAGATAGTGGAATCGGGAATTCTGATATTTCGTTTGAAAAGTTTAACAATACTGATTTTAACTGTGCGTTTCCTACGCACAACGGTTGTAACGATGCATACAATAAATCTTCAACTACATTATCAACCCTTCAGAATATTATTCATTTATCGGTACAATTCCAACAATTTGAAGGATTTTCGATATCAGTATTTGTCTAGACAAAATTAGTCAAAAACCACTTTTCTATTTTACTCACATAACGGTCGCATACAATTATAAATACAGTTTTTTTTAAGATAAATAAAACACTAGCTACTTATATCAGTTTCAAAATAAGGTTAAAATACAACGTAATTTAAAAAAAATGCGACTGTTAAGTTAGTGAAATTGAAAAGAAAGCCAAGCCAGCCACATGAAAACGCTTCAAACAAAAAACAAATGATTACTAGTTCTCTATCCATAATATTTTTATCGATAAGCCGACACTTTAGATCTCTATCTATACTACTCGTTGGTTTATGCATCAATAATAATTTTCCTCCTTCGCTGACATTCGTAATGAGGACACGATACAAGTGGACACAATCAGTGTTATTATAACTAGAGTATACTGAATTACATATCGTTCAATAAGTTCCTACTTTGAGATTGGTAAACGTGTCAAATGCCAATCATCTGCCAGCGTTATCGTGTCGTCCCGTCGGATCGACTCTTGCGCACGTGCGCCGGCGCCAGCAGCTGTTTTAGGGGCTAAATAACGCGTG